TATTACCACTTGTTTTTCCATCACCTTTTCTGTGTTGCTCTAATCATCAGTTAATTAAAAAGCTGAAATCTGTTTAATATTTGCACCAGGATTATTTTTAAGAATAAGGGCGATTAGGTAGAAACTTACAAGGTAAGGTAGCTTGCAGGTGTAAAAAAAACTCCAATTTGAACACAGTTGTTTCAGAGATGTCAAAATGTGGCACTCGGTTGAGGTATATTTCTACAGAACTTAATGTTGCTGTGACCTCATAGCAACCCATAATCATGCTGGAAGTAGCTGGACAGAGTAGATTTCAGTGGCACCAAGCACTGGAATGTGTATTGGTATAGACAGTTTCAACTACAACAACAAGATTACATTTGTATAGCGCCTCTCATGTCGGGATGACGTCCCAAGGTGCCGGACAGAGTACAGCATTTCAGACCTGAGAAGGGGTCAGGGGGGGAGAAGTGGGGTGGCCGATAGCATGGTGGAAGAGGAGGGTCTTGAGGTGGGACTTCAAGGAGGCTAAGGAGAGGGCGAGGCGGAGTGATTGGGGGATGGAATTCCAGAGGTTGGGGGCAGAGTGGCTGAAGGCTCTCCCGCCAATGGTGGAGCGGGTGGGTCGGGGGACGTGGAGCAGGCCGGAGCCGGCTGAGTAGAGGGATAGGGCGTTAGGAGGTCGCAGAGGTAGGGTGGGGGCGAGGCCGTGGAGGACTTTGTAGGAGAGGATCAGGATCTTGAACTGGATCCTCTGAAGGATAGGGAGTCAATTGAGTCAGGTGAGAATGGGGGAGATGGGGTCACGGAGTTTGGTGCGGGAGAGGACACGGGCTGCAGAGTTCTGGATTATCTGCAGCCTGTGGAGGGAGGAGTTGGGAAGGCCGACAAGCAGGGCTACCATTTTGATCATTCCCAATGGTTGCCATCTCCTTCATATATGCTTTATACATGCAATTGAGCAAAAAGCAAGCCTGTTGAGAAATACAACAAAATGTTCTCAATATACGATTCTTCAGATTGAGTGTCAGGCAAAACAGAACCGTGGGGATTTAATTAGAAGCACTCTGCAATATGCTTGGCTGCCAGTACTGTGAAATACTCTGTTTATATTACAAGATAACGACAACAGCACACAATGAACATATGCAATTTATAAATCGATTGTTGGACTGCTGAAGCTTTCCTGAACTCTGAAATAGATTTGAGCAAAATAAATGTAAAATAAAAGTTGACCAGATCAGATGGGGCATGTTAAAGAGGGGTGGTGTTTAAATATTTTTTCCCCTCTAAATTTTAACAGGCATACTAGAATACTAGGCTCATTAGCTCAGCTTTTTATAGAGGTAATGCTAGGTAAATTAAATGCCTCTATAGACGAGGAGTACTACATCAAAAAGATTGGGTCAGTGCCTCCAAAGAGAGAAATGCTGCCTTTCAGCCGAACCTGTGGATGAGCAATCTGTGATGTGGATTAACATTGCTGGCCTGTGTAGATGTACCCCAGAGTTCAGCAAAAATTTGGCAGTACAGAACAGTCAGTGTACAACTTGCATCTGTGCAGTTTATGGTTGCTGCTGTTATCTGGTAATTTTAAACGGGAAATTCCATGATGCTGGCAACCCAGCATATTTCGGAGCGTTTCTAATTGCATTCTGTCCTCCACTTGATCTTAGTCATCAGGGGCATTTGTTGTATTTCTCAACAGACGTGCTTTCTACTCGGATGCACATGTAACAGTATATATGAAGGAGGTGGTAATTATTGGGTTGCCGTTATTGGAATCCAAAATGGTAATAGTTTCACTAAACGTGTTGTAGTGCAATATATTAGAACCATGTTACGTAGTAGTTGGAACTCCTAAAGCCCCAACTGGCCCTATAATGAGGCATGTTACCAGTCAGTGCTTCACTTCCTGATGTCACTAACCGCGTCATTTTGGGTACCTGGCTCCGTCACCACCTTAACAGGCCAGCAATTTGGGCAGAGCAAGTTAACATTTAGCCTCCATATTGCAGCTTGTTTTCTTTGCAATGTGGATTCCTGGAACTAGCAAAACAAGATTGTTGTTATGGCAGCGATATAGAAATTAAATTTCAACTTGTTGACAAAATCGGTTGTCAGGGTGTGCAGCTATTCACTCCTGTGCCAAGCAGAAAAGATTACAGCCAATGAGGCTGGAAATCACACAGGCGGGCAAGAATTTAGTTTATAGTTCTGCCTTTTGGGTCAGTGCTGTAAGATAAATTACCTGTAGAAATGTGGAGGCGAATGCAATGCCATACATTATTGTATCACGCCCTTCACATAAAAAACAATTTGAAGCGCTTTAAAGAATTAGATTAATCTGATCTGAAATGAATGGTGTTATGTAGAACTTGCAGCTGCAAATCACGACAGTATGAAATGAGCAAAGAGATCACAACTTAGAAATTTATTTGAACAGTATGATGTCACTGGATATTAAGAGTGGGAACATGTTCCTTTAATCTTTCCTCGTTAGCTCAAGTCGCACCATAAACCCCTAAGCTCCTAACCTGCTTGAGGTCAGCTACCGGAACACAGATCTGGGGTCAAACCTTCAAGGTCTAGATTGTGGCATTGCAAACTACCATCAGGAAATATTTCTCTAGCATTTTAAATAAAATACACCCTCTTAACAGTTTTAAATGAATACAGCATTATACAGTAACAACATAGTGAAAGTATCTGGAGAAAATGTTAGACTGTAGAGGACACTGATTCGAGCCAGTCATTAATAATAATAATAATAATCCTTGCATTTGATATTGCACCTCATGTCTTTGCGACCTCTCCAAGCACTTCACAGAATATACTGTAAAGTGAATTCACTGTATATATAATAGTTCGATTGTGAATCCGGCATTATTTCTGTGAGTAAGCTTGATCACATTTTTATTTTTATAAAAAAAATAGGTTGATGGAAATGTTGCAAAGATGATGGTCACTACACTGGCATTATTTCACTTAGCAGGCCTTAACAGCACTATAATATGGTAAGGATTGAATTTGACCTCCGTTGTGTACTGAAACACTCCAGAAGCACAAGCTGCTGAGAAAGTTAAAGCAGCATTGTAAGTGAAGTAAGCAGTGCAATTAGAAACGACATACAGGTCATTCATTGAACACCACAGTAAATAGTACTGACAGGCTGATGGATTAGGATTTTATTTTGATAGCATTAACGTTGGCATATTTTCATAAAAAAGATTAAAGGATTGGGTGTCATCGCCTTGCCACAGATCTAGTTTAGAGAGCTAGGCCAATCAGTATTCAGATTGAAAGCCAGTTTGTAGTTAATAGATTAATTCAATGCATTTTCAATTTGCTTCTGGTTCACCTGGACGTTACGTATACAGGTTGGTGAGTAGACAAGTGTGCTAATTTTATCCATGATTAACTTTCATTTACGCACCTAACATTTTCATCAGAAGCTACAAAATAATTTTTTTAATTGTTCTGAACAATTAACCACAACATTGACCAACAACTAGTGCTGCTGTGAAAATGTAGCTCGTCTCCGGGGAATGAATATTTAACTGGAAAAATGCACTGATGCTTGAAAAGTAAGATTCGCCACATTAGTTTGCAGAGTTCTTTGAACAAAGGTTTTTTTCCCTAAGTAGTTGACGGATAGAAAAAGTGCAGATTTATTGCTGGTTTCTAAGATGTCCAATGCATACTCTTTATATTGCTGCATCTGGCTAAAAGGTGTCGAGTATAATTTTGATTGTGATTTTGTGAACATCCTCACATCTCCTCTCCTCCCTTCCCAGTTATCCCCTTGGTTATAAAGACGCTTTGAGACATTTGGTCACCACACTCAAAGACCTGCTCCTTTGCCTCCCTTCTTGGCAATCCCGATTCGTCAGAGAAGCGTTTTGAGACTTTCATCGTATGTAAAAGGCACTATATTAGGTGCAGGTTGTATACGTTTTAGTGTCGTTGGAAGTGACAAAATTCTGAGTAGGTGAGCTCTCATCTTGGATAAATGGTTTGGATTGAAAACCACATACTTATGAAATGTTTTTAACTTTAAAAGAATTGCCTACTCTTTATATTGAAAGGATGCAAGAAAATTCGAGCTCTTGAGTTTCATAGTATGTAAGTATTTTCGGTGCAAGTAAGGATAGAGAATTACGTCATCTATTTCTGTTTTCCTGTGGTAGAGTGCTAGAAAGCAATTCCCCAGAATAAGATTACATTTTATAGTTTGTTCCTGAATGTATGAAAGGCAAAATGACTATTAAATCGGCACTAGTTCTATTTAAATTACAGGTTATTGTCGGCTTAATATGAAAAGGGGTAATAGTGTGAATGCTTGCAGTTGAGTGGCTGACAACTGGATTTGGGTCACGGATTGTGGTGGGATTATATAATCAGCGTTTTTTTTGTTAAATCCGATTTTGCTGAGCAGCTGAATCAACACTCCACCTAAGTGAAGGACATTGCTGGGAAAATACACTTAGGGATTCAGTTAGACTATAGCAAAGCACTTAGGACTAGGATATATGTTTTTTTTAAAAAAACTCACAGAATTTTTGTACGTATTTCATAACTGAAAGGGTTAATATATTATCCATTTCATCTTGAAGATAATTTTCTTACCGGAAAATAATGCAATACAGATCTCCGCCTAAAAACTTTACACGTTACAGCAGTCTATTTGCATATTAGGTGTCGGAAAGAAACCTTGTATTCAGCATTTAACATTTTAATAAAATAATGTCACTTTTTGTGTATATTTAGCAGGTCTGCCTAAAGTATGTTTTAATCCATTTAGTATTTATCTCCGCTCAGTTCAGGTTACCTTGTTGTTTCTACTTTTTTGTTTAATTTTTCTTAAAGCACTTCATTTCTAAACCTTCTCTCTTTCCTCTCTCCAACCCCTCCCTCCCACATATTTAAGCACATTTTAGTCATAAAGAGTTTTTGGTTGGCAGAATGAATTCTCAATATTGTAAGCATCTTGTGACTTGATACTGCTCTGCCTTTAGATCTCGTGAGTGTCCGGTGGAGGCAATAAAGCACACTTCAGTACAGGAAAATGAGTGAGTTGGACCAGTTACGTCAGGAGGCTGAGCAGCTGAAGAATCAGATCCGAGTAAGTATCAGTTCCCTCATTCCCTCATTAATTACAGAATTTAGTTACTGTTTAGTTGGAGTGCAGATTTCATTAAACTTGAAAATAACAGTATTTTTGTGCATTGGAGCACTTTAAAGTAGTACAGTGTAGGTTTGGGTGTAGTTTTGGGACGTCCTCCCGACGTGAAAGGCGCTATACAAATGTAATCTTGTTGTTATTTTGTCTAACCAATTCTTTATTTTGACCTTCCTGTTCAGTGAAGAGGCAGGTAGAGTTTGGTAGGGATCATGCAACTTCTGCAAAATGGCCACTTGTTCACCTAGCAGTTGCCCTGCTCCTCAATAGTAGATAGAGCCTTTAGCCTGTCTGTAATAGAGGATTAGGAAGAAGAGCAAATGAAGTAAACAGAAAAATAAAAATGAACCTCTTAATATAGCTTTTTGCTAAGATTGGACAATTTTCCATGCAGCAATTTTCCAACTTCTCTCGAGCAAGCTTGATTTAGTCAATTTTAAGCATACTATTTCTTTGATTGTTTTCTTAATTGTAAAACCCACCCTGTTTGATCAAGGGATTTGCATGCCCTTTATACAGGGTTGTGATCATCAAAAAGTCATAGTAATGATCTGCTCTAGGACTTTTCTCACAAAAAAGCTAAATCCAGTTCTGTCTTACTCAAGTTACTGAACCACACAGTTGATTTGTTCTGTGTGTCCTAGATTCTTTTTGTCATTCGCCATTGCATATGAGGAATAGCCCATATTATGTGTTTACCAACCTAGTCTGTAGAATAAAATTAGAAAGAATAAAGAACTTGCATTCTTGTAGTCAAAACATTCTAAAGTGCTTCAGATGGAGTTGCTGTCGAACGTAGTGACCTTGTTTAGCAAATTAGTTTTCAAACAATGTGCATACATTTGCCAATAACCTCTTGCGTCAGTATTTTGTCCTTTTGCCCTTTCCCCTCAAATTAGTAATTACTCAATGGACTGGTTAATTTATTAGTGAACTGGTTGCGACACTTAAAACATTACTAGATCCAGCGCAGTCCTACAAAAAGTTTTTCAAACAAAATTCTAATGTCCTGGAAGCTGATCAAAGATGGTACAGAGATATTTTTGAACCCATGTTTGCATTTTCATTCTCAATTTTCTACAGTATTTGAGTGAGTAGAATTGGGAGGGTGGGGAGGGAGGAGAAGTCCAGAATGATGGAAAGTAAGGAACATTGAATTCTTATATTTGTTATTAATTTCATCTTTTGCCAGCTTCACACACAAGCAAATAATGAGAGTTCATCTATTGGGTTCTACTAGTTCACTACCTGGGTTTTAAACATTTTCAGCTGGAAATTATCAAATCTAAATTAATTGCTTGAAAGCAATGCTGAAGTTTTAATATTTTTGAGTTCCTGACAAGCTCAGACTAATAAGCATTATCTCCGCGTGCGAGAATAATGGGCGATGTGGGATTTAGTGTACATCTGTAGACAGAGCAGAATCTTTGCAATTCAATATAAATTGTTTATGTTTAAAAATGTCTTGTGTTTTGAGAATGGGCTGCCCCAGTTATTTATGTTGTGGAAGAGTAGTTTGTGGGCATTGTAACTGCTTTGGTTTGGGTCAAAAGTATGAGTGTACAACTCATTTTCACCTACAGATTTGAGATTCCTATCAATGTCATTTGAGGGCAAACTAATTCTGGCTAAGAGAGATGAGCTCTAATGTAGAAATGATATCCTTTTCTTTGTTTAGTTTGCATTGCAACAATTTCCGTTGCTCATTACCATTATTTTTGCTAAATCTGTAGGCAGAATATAGAAGAGCCCTATTGGAACACTATTAATGATAATTGCATTTGAAAATGCCTTATTGCATCATGGAGGCATCTCAAAGTGCTTCACAGAATAAACTGTAAAGTGGAGCGACTGTATTTTGTAGTTGGAGTCCAAAAAAAATCAGCCAGCCGTATAGTGGAGCCGATCAGCAATCGGCACTTCTGCATCTTAAAGTCGAGAGATCTTGTGGCTGTTCCCCTTTTCAAAATTAGATTGACTTAGATTTTGCGGACAGTTGATTTTGAAATACTGCTGTGCAGCTGCGATAGTTCAAAACATTCCTTGGGTTTACATTTATGCCGTATAAACTTCTAAACCATTTCTTATGTATGTTGAGATGTCTCCAAATCCCTGATTGTCCAGCACTTGGGACGTCCTCCCAGCGTGAAAGATGGTATATAAATGTAATTTATTATTGTTTATTCATGGTTCTGTTTTTTTTATTATTAGGATGCCAGGAAAGCATGTGCAGATGCCACGCTGGCCCAGGTAAGGAAATTTTAGTTAAGAGGTTTTGATCCCTTAGATATCTGTTCACAATTGAGGATTTGGGGGAATTAAGTAGGAAGAAAGGTATTTCCACTGGTCAGTGAGTCAGCAACTAGAGGGCAATAAATTTAAGACTAAAACGAAAAACGAAGGCAGAGGTTTGAATTGGTTTTACACAGAAGGTTATTAGGTCATGGAATGCTTACTTAAAACTTCAAGCTAATCATAGGTTTGCAATAGTCAAGTCTATTGTCTTCTAGCAACTTTACTGTCTTCCCAAACTGGTAATCTCATTCTTTACACCGCCTGGAATGAGATCTGAAATAATGAATTCAAGTGCCAAAGCACGAATCGAACCTGGGATCTTCCGTTTTTTGTGGCTTATTGGTGCGCCATACACATTAGGCTAATGGAGGATTCATAAACAAAACCATTTCTTATGTTATTTGAGTTTAATATAAATGCTCCCTTTAAATATGTGGGGTTATTTACATTGCTGATGGTGGAAGTAGGAAACCCAACAGGTTTTGGTGGCTCTACTGAACAGATTCTTGGTGGGTGAAATACCAAAGCTGGTGTATCCGGATCCTGAGAAGGTTTTCCAGTAACTTTGTACTGTGGATGTCATCAATCGTATCGTGTGTTTGTGGGGGGGGATTTTCCTTGTGAAATAAGTTCTGATCTGATTTCTCAGATGTACAACTTGAGTTTTTTTTTCCTGTTTCAGATCACAGCTAACATTGATCCTGTGGGTCGAATTCAGATGCGCACTAGACGAACACTACGAGGCCACCTCGCTAAAATTTATGCAATGCACTGGGGCACTGACTCCAGGTTTGTACAGCACCAGGCCTTTTCTCAGCACTGTTGTTTAGCAGAGCAGTCAACCTAGGGTTTAAAAAAAACTCATTAATAATCTATTTTTGAGGATGCAACGATTCTTAAGATTGGCACAGCACCATTTGAAATTGGATCTTGGTTGCATCTATCCTCATAAGACTTCTTTGCACTGTCTGACTCTAGGGAATGAGACTGTAGTACACAACATGAACTGTTGTTGTTCTGTAAAAACACTTGCGTGATGTTCACCTTTATTGAGTTTGGAGTAGAGTGCAATTTCCACCATTATCTTCAATGCTTTTAGCTGCCAGTAGCATGTAAAATCTAGTCATCTCTTTCGTACTATGTTACACAAACACACACACCTGATTTGCCCACAAAATGCAGTATATTCTGTGAAGCACTTTGAGACGTCTCAACGATGTGACAAGACGCTATAACAAATGTAAGGACTATTATTATGGATTCAGATACTGGACCTGTTGACAGTTTTAGGGTCAGGGTGCCAGCATGTTTCTCTCCTATGTAGCTTTGTCGACCTATTGAGATATTAAAGCTGCATTTTTGCAATGATGGCATTACGGCTTAAAGCAGGTGAGACATTCTTAAGAAATATGCAGTGATCATATCAATGGAACTATTTGTAAGAGAAACCCGTCTGGTTACATTCCTATTTTCAAGCCCACTTAAAAAAATTTGGCTCACATTCTTAAATAACACTGCTCAAGCTAAATTCTCATATGATGACAATAATTCAAAGAAAATGAATTAAGTTTGTTTAATTTGGAGCTGCTTAAAGCAGCATATTTTGATGAGCCCAATTTCAAGAAATTTCATTTTCAACAGAAACTCGTCAGTTTGGTGTAAAGAAGGGTTAAAACAGATTTTATGGTGAACAGGATGTATTGATGCATTAAAAAAAATCTCAAACTAATTAAGATGAAGCAGGTGTGGATTAAACCTGTAGGGAAATCTAACTGCTATATGATCTGTGCACCTAGACTCTGTAGTTTATCAGCCAGTGGAGCTTATTCAACTATAAGACAGACCGCACGACTAACATTTCTTAAACTTTGCAAAACTTGAGCATAAAAATCTTTTTCTAGTGTCTTTTTCTGATTCCGCGCTGTTATATTTAAACTACTTTGCTCTCGCTGTGTACTTTGAAATAGCATTGCTTAATAACTGATAATTGTTCTGTTCTCAATGAGCCACAGCTAAATCAAGCAGAGGATGCTTTTTTTAATCTCTCCAGCAAGCTTTCATAAACATTCCATTGCCCATTGCATGACAGTTGATCAACAGGCTCTATCTGCTTCCTTGACTGAAGTCAGGTGACTTGCTGTTTGCGAATTCTTCCAGCTGCTGTTTGTGTCTTCGTGCAAATAAGTCAAGTCCTCTGCACTTATGAATCATGACATTAAGTGTAATTTATAGGGCAAGGTAGCTTTCAATGTCTCCAACAATAGCCAACTTTGTTTACAAAATATTTTAATCACCGTATGAATACAAAGGGATATATTTTTTGAAAAGACTTTTAGGATCACCTCTAATTGCATTTTAAGATTTAATTCAGTATTCAGTTAACTATACCGGTAACTACTTGACATGTTTCAGCTAATGATGCATTAATATGATGGTACAATTCAATTGTGATCATACAACCTGCCTTAAAAAGATGTCCTGCATCAGTGACCTGCAAATATTCCGATGCACTTGCGTCATTTTCACGTAATTTTTCAGTGGACGTAAGCCTATTATATGATCATAAGAAATACATATTGGAATTCAATTTACATGTGAATTGCAGGCCTTCGTTTTTTTTGCTTCAGCTTGTTAATAAACCTTGATAATGTATGACGCACAGATGGAGATCTCAGGGGTACGCAATTATCGTGAGGATTGTTTGTTGTTATGAAAATGTGAAATGTTCCCATTGACTTTATGTACTTGATGATGATGATTGGAAAACAATAATAGTACATTTGATATAAAGCCCTTCATGGTGGGTGAGCACTCCAAAACAAAGCATTTCAGAAGATATACTGTGAAGTGACTGTATTTTGTGGACAAACACAGCAGCCACGTTGCACACAACAATCTAAACAATCTTCCACAAACAACCATGAAGTGAATAATAAATTTTATTTGAGGCATTTTTTGGTGCAATATTAATATTGAACAGTGCATAGCATTTACAGGACCAGACACAAACGAAAAAAATTTCATACTAAGTTCCTATTCATTCATTTTTAAGTTCAGTGGTTTAAATTGACACTTTTTTAATTTGTATAACTAAAGCTGCGTATTGAAGTTCTTGTTTGTGAGCTGAACGGAACAGTAGTTTTCAAAATAAATATTATATATTGCTGCATTTAAATTTATTGGTCTAACGAAAGCATTAGAATGAGAGATAAATTGACCACTTGTGTGTGTTATGTGTAGTCCCTACAGATGTAGGCTTTCTTTAAAATTCTGGCTCATTTTGAATGGTATGAAACTGCTGAAGTTATGAGAGAATTTGAAGCTTCATTCTGAACTGCATTGGCTGTTTTTTTCCATGCAGTTCTACGATGTGGTGTCAGCTGTGTGTTTTTTGTCCCTGTAGACTGCTTGTGAGTGCCTCTCAGGACGGGAAACTGATCATTTGGGATAGCTACACCACAAACAAGGTTGGTGGAATCTAAATACTGAAACCTAGTCTCAATTTCCATAACTACTATCTAACACTGTACATCAACATTCAAAATATACCCACAGCAACAGTAAACCACGACATTAGTCTTTTTTTGAACATATGACCTTTTTGAATTGCTGTAGTTATATAAATTGAGGCCACTAGTCACTAAGTTGTTAAATTCATTGCTCAGCACAGTACTGAGCTACACACATCAGGGAGATTTTATGGTTGATTATATTATTAGCTGATCTCAGCATTCCAGGGTGGGAAAATGGATCAAAACAACTATTATTGGGCCGATAGTACATTTATTTCTGCATTATTTCAAATTTCCATCACTTCATTTCAAGTTTCAGGAGCAAATTGTATAGATTTTTGCTAGAAAATAATATCTCGGGATACAGTATAAAGTTTGGGGCACGACATCAAGCGACTGCCAAGTGGTGGAAAGCGAACTAGATGGACCTTGGTCTTCTTTCGCCTAGCAAATTCTTATGTTATTTTCTGATTGATCTGCATTCAATAGTTGTGTGTTTTCCTTTGGACAATAGGTTCATGCCATTCCCCTGCGCTCTTCCTGGGTAATGACCTGTGCATATGCTCCTTCTGGTAACTACGTTGCTTGTGGTGGTTTGGACAACATCTGCTCCATTTACAATCTGAAAACCCGTGAAGGAAATGTCCGTGTGAGCCGCGAGCTGGCTGGGCATACAGGTACGTCCTCGCATTCATTCGATAATGGAGTGGTTGCAGGCCAGGTTCATGTGAATTCTTAAGAATAGAGAAGAGTGACTAATAATGCAGTATGCAGATATTGATCTTGGTTTTATGTAATTATTGGTTTTCAATAACTTCCGACGGTCTTGGTTGCAGGTTATCTTTCTTGCTGCCGTTTCCTGGATGATAACCAAATTATAACCAGCTCCGGAGACACCACCTGGTGAGTGCTAGAAGTGTATTAGAGATTTTAAGAGACTGGCTAAATATAGTATGTTGTTGCTATTTCAGTAAATTGCTACAAATGTTTCGTCACTATAAAGCATAAAAGTTTTCACTTTGATTTGGATAATTCCACCTGATCAGAACACAAGGGTCAGTTGTTGAGCTGAGGCCCTCACTGCTCGTTTCCCCCCTCACTCACATTCATACATGGGCCAACATCAGGCAAAGGATAGCAAGTAGCTAAATCTAGTATCTAGACCTGGAATGTCCCTTAGTTCCAAAGTGAAAAACTGAGTATCCAAGTACCTTTCCTCCTCTATCCTCAACTCCACGACCACCGATGTCCTGACAGCTGCCTGTCTGACATCGAGTCCTGAACGAGAGACAACTTTCTTCAGCTCAACGTGCGCAAAACTGAGGCCCTCCTGATTGGCTCATGTCAGCGCCTCCGCACCTCAGGCGCTGACAGCATCAGCATCCAAGGCCGCACTCTCCACCTCTCAAAGCCATCAGGAACCTCGGGGTTCTGTTCGACCCTGAGCTGTTCTTTCTTCCCCACATCCGCGCCACAACTGGCACTGCCTTCCACCACCTCCGGAACATCGCCAGACTACGGCATTACCTCACCCCTCACGCTGCTGAAACATTGGTCCACGCCTTTATCACCTCAAGGCTGGACTACAGAAACTCTCTCTTCGCCGGCCTTCCCACCACCTCCCTCCACACTGCAGGTCATTCAGAACTCTGCAGCTCGTGTACTGTCCCGCACCAGGCTTCGCGACCACATCACTCCCACCCTCGCTCGCCTCCACTGGCTCCCCATCCCCCAGAGGATTGAATTCAAGATCCTCATCCTCACCTACAAGGCCATTCACGGCCTCGCTCCCTCCTACCTCTCTGACCTACTATCCCCCTACCTACCTGCCCGTACCCTCCGTTCCTCTGGCTCCGGTCTGCTCCACATCCCCCGCCCCAATCGCCCTACCATCGGTGGCCGGGCCTTCAGCCTCTCATCCCCGAGGCTCTGGAACTCCATCCCCCAGTGCCTTCGCCGCTTCCTCCATTTCCTCCTTCAAGGCCGGTCTCAAGACCGTTCTCTTCAACCGTGCCTTCACCCCCCCTCTCAACTCTCTACCCCCTCCTCGCTCCTTCCCTCCCCTCACCCTGACCTTTTCCCCCTTGCTCGGGTCCCGACCCAACTGTCCAGCGCCTTGGGACGTCCTCCCAACGTGAAAGGTGCTCTATAAATGCAATCTTGTTGTTGTTGTAGATGGAAGAGAATACCTAATCTCGTTTCACCCACAAAATATACAGTCAATTCACTTTACAGTATATTCTGTGAAGCACTTTGAGACATCTAGAAGACCTGACAAGGTGCATGAATTGCAAGAATTATTAAAATGCAAGAATTATTATTTAATATTGAGGATAATTAGATGGATGTGGAAAGGAAAAAGATAGCTGTGCATAAAAATTTTTGAGTAACTCTCACTTTGAGGTTATTATTTTCCACCTCTTTAGGGAATAAAAACTGTTCGAACATTAAAAGCTGTCTGTCTCTGGATTACAGTCAAGGATGTGGAGTCATTTGTACATCCCATTCCTGTGTAAAATTTGATTATAATTCATCCCAGGTAAATCATAGAATCATTGGAATTATTTGACAGCTTTGTATATCGAGGGTTTGTTTGGTCACATTGCAGAAATTAGAATATTTCCTTGTGGGTGCGCTCTGATTGTTAGCCAAGGGAGGCAAGGGCAACAGTTCATCCTGCTTGTTTGTTTTGTTTGTCTCTCAAATAATAGTCAAATGCTTCACACACAAGCACTAAATGAAGTGTTGTGTTTTGTTGCAATAAGTTAATCTCCACTGTAGGGTATATCCTAAACCCTGACTAATTGTTAAACTGTGCAGTGTAAATTTCTATTGCAGTTCAAAATTGTTTATTGCAGGGTGTCCATTTCATCTAGCCCACCCATCCCCCTCCGTAATCCGTCAGTGTTGTCTCAATATGGCATCAGGCCCTCAGCAGCCAAAAGGTTGGACCGCTCTGTTTTAATGCATCTGATAAGTTATTTATCTTTTTTAATTTCTCTCTCACCATTAGTGCTCTTTGGGACATTGAAACCGGGCAGCAAACTACTACATTCACTGGTCACACTGGTGATGTCATGAGCCTTTCTCTTGCCCCTGACACAAGGCTCTTTGTCTCCGGTGCATGCGATGCTTCGGGCAAACTCTGGGACATTCGAGAGGGCATGTGCCGACAGACCTTCACCGGACACGAATCTGACATCAATGCCATTTGTGTAAGTTTAGCTTCGATTTTGTAATTGCATTTGGGGGAATGAGAAGCTTTGCAGGGCTACAGGGAAAGAGTGGTCGTGTGGGACTTGTTGGATAGCTCTTTTCAAAGACCGTGCACGATGGGACGAATGGTCTCCTTCTGTGCTGTCGGATTCTGTGATTCTATTCTAAGCTTGTATAAAAACCACGCTCATATCTGAAGATTTCTTAACTATTTAAACTTTAAATCGAAGTGGTTTATTCTTCCACATACTATGGTATTGATATTTGAAGTACAGGTGCGGTTAAGCCTAAATAGATTTGTATATCCTTACATTTAGTCCGGGGATATACAAATCTGTGGTGGAGTCCTGTGGCATGTGGCGCTTTCCTCTTGGGAGTTAGACAATTAGACAAATTTCCTTACTCCACACGCCTCTGTTTACCTAGCAGTAAGTAGGAACCAGGTTGTTGGTGGATTGGCGCTTTTCTGAGGGTAATAATCCCTTCAAAAATAATAGCAATAATTTGGTCACTCAATCCACGACTGTTTGTGCACTATTGGCTGCCGAGTTTCGCCCACAAAATATAGTCTAAGCACTTTATATTCTATGAAGCGCTTTGAAACGTCTCGGAAGATCTGATATGCGCTATGTCAAATGAAAGGACTATTATTAATAAACTTTGCCGTGTTGTCTTTCAGTTCTTCCCGAATGGAAATGCATTTGCAACTGGTTCAGATGACGCCACTTGCAGACTGTTTGACCTGCGTGCTGATCAGGAGTTGATGGTTTATTCCCACGATAACATCATTTGTGGCATTACATCTGTAGCATTCTCCAAGAGTGGTCGTCTCCTGCTCGCTGGATACGACGACTTCAATTGCAATGTCTGGGACACCCTGAAGGCTGATCGTGCCGGTAACTTTTTTTCCAAACTATTTCAATTGTGTTTTCTTGCATTCGATTCATGGTGGACATTTTGAGGGCTCGGGTTATAACGAGTTTGCTGTGCAGTGACAGGAGGGAGTCAGACAGACTATTGGGCATCTTATTGCATCGCAACAGATCTTTTGACCCTTCTTTTCAATTCACCCTTATTTCCCAAGTTTCCAGCTCCTGTTAAGCATCCCAATCCATTTTGTCTGCTACCTCTTGAATATTTTAAGCACCACCACAGGGTTGATGCATTTGTATGTCCTGTTTTGGTGGTGTGGAAACGTCTGATTAATTAATACCTTTTCCCCTTTACTGTTTCAGGTGTTCTGGCAGGACATGATAACCGTGTTAGCTGCCTGGGTGTTACTGATGACGGCATGGCAGTCGCAACAGGGTCATGGGATAGCTTCCTGAAGATCTGGAACTAAACCTGTAGGTTTGCAGAGTAGCATTCTACCGTTGAATGCAATTGTGTGTGTGTGTGCGTGCGTGTCTATACCCATTCATGTTTCAATTATCAAGATCAGCGTCAGAACATATTTGCCTCGAGCACCACTGAACATATTCAGGTTACATGCAAAAATAGGAACAAAAGTGCAGCCTTGTGGAATGCAGCAACATGTATCACACCTCTACCCCACCTCCCTCTAGTAAAGATGTAAATTGTGCTGTTAAGGATAGGAATAGCCTTTTTTTTTGACTTGTCAGCACTGCAGTTCTTTCTGACTTTTTCTAGATAAAATAGGCACAGATATGGGTTTTCAAACATATCGGTGCACATCCGTGCAGTTGTTCATCTGTTATTCCTGCAGCTGTGGAAACCTGTAATAAATGGGGTGAATTTCATCGATTTTTCAAAATAATCTCAAAACATTGACAGGGATCATTAAAGTCTGTTTTTAGCCATAAAATAATAGTTAATGTGGCATTAGTCACATCAGTTAGGATCATATAATTTAATCCGATTTATGCAAAGTGCGAATTGTGTCAAACTTGCGTGGAATATAAACTCTTGAACGGGATTTGGGAGATTATGTGATATTTCCAGATCAGTCTTGTGCAAGTTTTACTGTAATGGTGGGGGGGATTTCACATGCCAAAACATTCCTTTGCTAATTCTTCACTTTTATCAGGTAGCATTTGACAAAACTTTATAGTGTAGAGAATAAGCTAATTCTCAGAAGCACGGTATGTTGTACAGAAAGAGGATTCCTTGTGTTTGAATGTATGAGATCAAGTGTTATCGACTCGGTTGCAGCACTGGGTGGTTTTCCAAAGCGTCACTTGGAAGTGAGGAGGCCCCTTGGATTAGGAGCACACTCGTTGTTTTGGTTTGCTAATTGGGGAGTAGAATCATTTCAGCCAACGCTATGCAGTGTACACCCTGTCGGTTTAACTGCAGCAATTGCCAGAATTCCTTGCGCTCAGCTAAGCTGTGGGCCAGCTTTACAATTCACTCCGGAAATGTGTCGGTTTGTTCCACTTGCTGCCTAAAATACTCACCGGTTTGATTTTTTTTTCTTGTTAATCTCCGTCAGATTGCAGATGGACTCCATGGTGAATGGAAGAGCATTCCACATTCAATGACATTGCATATCCGATCCACTGATACTGACTTGGACACCCCCAAACTTCAAAGGGCAAAATGTATTTTTAATCCTTTGCTATAATGAAGAGCACAATGTTAGCCATTTTTAAATGGAAGATTCTGTGGTATAAAAAAAAATGAGGTTGCGCATTCTTTCTGGGACCATTATTTTGTTTCTGTCTTTGAGAAAACACTATCATCCCACGGAAAATTTAACTAGAGATAATCATGAAATAAACAGCTAATTTTCTCAGTAGTTTAACATTTTTAGAAATGGCGAAGATATATACTGTCAAGTTAAGGGTTGAAAGCTCTGTTTTAACACAATTCTCATTTTTTAAGTTGTGTTTTTAGCTGAAGGAATTTGCTGGTAATGTAATTTTTCTGCGAAACAAGGGAGTCCGAGACTACGGTGCAGCACCCTGGTTTGTTGATGACTGTAAATTAGTCCCAGATCTATTTTTCTTTGGTCTTGTCCTGTGTCACACAAGACCTTTTTGTTGCACAAATCTTGCGAGTGAAATATATGCGTTGGAACGAAACGTAACCAAGCACATACAGTCCTGGTATCGAACGCTTGTTTTTAAATATGTAATTTCCCCACCCACCCCCCCCCCCCCCCCCTCCCCTCCTTCACCTTCGTGGGTAATGTAGAAAACAATGAAGAACTTCGCAATGACGTTTAAGCTGACAGGTTTCTTATAGAGTCGATCAGGGTTCATGCAGTATTGCGCCCGTGCTTGTATAAGATACCTGCTTTTAGCAGCTGCAGACGTCCTGTGCTTGGAACTGGTTTGATGTGTGTATCAAATGATGTAAGTCAATGTTGAAAATAATGATCTTGAAGTTTCTAAGTTAATTTCTTTTCTGGGGGTGGGGGCGGGGGGTTGGGTGGGGGTGGGGAGGGGAAGTTTCTGTTCCTGTTTGCCATGGGGGTGGGTGGGTTCACTCTTATAGAAGCATGCTGTAGAATTGCAACAAGTGCTTATGGAATTAAGTCGATAGATGTTCTTTTAAGACACCACCTGTTAAATTGTAATCATTGCAACTGTAATCGTCGGCTACTCTGTGCATAATGATTAAAAGAAATTTAAAAAGCTATGCACTTTCTGAAGTAGCGCTACCACAACACCACCAACCTGTTGGCCTGTTCAAACGATCAAGCGTCACCTTGAATGATTCTTAACGGAAACAAACCATCCTGTTTATACATTCAAAACCAATCGAAATTCTTTACGTAGAAATTGCTTAATGTTAGAATCATTTTCTAATGGACAGGTATCTGGCTTTCTGAAACTGCGGAGTTGGGACAGCAGGTTTTTCTGCACCCATACTTTACTGTAAACAGAAGTGCACGTTACTAGCAGTAGTGGCTTTCTCATTCTTTCCCTGCGATCCTGTACAGATGTGCTGTAATTGTGTGTAGGCCTGGACTGGCAAACCCTTTCCATTAATTCTCTAGGTCTTTCCTCACTCCTTTCCTTTTGCCTTTTGTATTTAATTTCAAATTCGGTGTACTCTACAAGAAAGCTGGATGCAAGATAGATACTATATTAAAATGTACTGTTATTTAAGATGTAATAAAGCAGTTTGACATGACATTTGCCTTTGTGGTGGTTACTTTAAGTTTGTGGAAATAGCAGCACTGAGCTCTGTCGTTGATTGGAGATTCAAAAATTAACCTTACCCATCATCAGATTTTAATAATAATCAGCCTTGCGTTTGATACAGCGCCTTATCACATCTTCGAGACATCTCAAAGTGCTTCACAGAATATACTGTAAAGTGTATTGAATATTTTGTGGGTGAAACACGGTAGCCGATTGCGCACAGCAGTGTCACACACATCATTTTATTAATATAGCTGATGCAGACTTTACATTTTGTATATTTCTACCAGTGTTCATCTTCCCCTTCCCCCAAGGAATTTATTCTAACAGAAAAATAATCCTCACCCTTCCCCCCCAAATAGATAGTAAGAGCTTTGAGCCCCAATGTTGGTCTTGGCCTTATAATTATGTCAGGTTAGGGTTAAACAAAAATCTGAAAATAAAATATAAGGCAAGTTCTAGCTCTGAATTTGCTCGGCCCATTCCTGCCCTCCCCTATCCATCCCCACGTGAAATATTAGTATAAATAATAGTAATCCTTTTATTTCGTATAGCGCCTTATCACTTCTTAGGGACATCTCAAAGTGCTTCACGGGCTACACTGTAAATTGAATTCACTGCATTTTGTGGGTAAAATGTGGCAGCCAATTGCGCACAGCAGTAACCCACAAACAGTCATGGATTGAGTGACCATATTACTTATTTTGTAGGGATTATTACTCCTGGAAACGCGATCCGCCAATCGAGTAACAACCAGGTTCCTACTTGCTGTTAGGTAAACAGACATGTTGAGTAAGGAAACTTGCCCAATGTTTGGCCCTGATCAGGAATTGAACCCAGATCCTCTCGCTTGCTGGGTGAGTGCTTTTAATTATTGCCTTAAGTGTATAAATGATACTTTGGGAAAATGTCCAATGTTTTCACTTGTAGTGATGGGAGATCTAGGGATCAAATTGACCCCGAAAGCCATTATATCCCAATGGATTTAAGAATTCAAATACAATTGCTAACTTGTTCCTTTGCTGCTCATTACGAGGCTATTCAGTCCTATGATGTGTGGATTTGTCACTCAGTAAACAACTGAACATTTCCCTATCTTCGAGATCGATAAAGCATTAATAATAGAATAAAGAAATTAACTTCCTGGATGATCTCAGTTTACCTGATTTAAAGTGGGAATTGAAATGAGCATATTCCCCAGCGGGATTGTGGTATATATATATATATATATATTGCATGTTTGGCTGGTTAGGTAATTAATAATAATAATCCTTGCATTGATAAAGCCTCTTATCATGTCTTCGAGGCGTCTCGAAGTGCTTCACAGAACATACTGCGAAATGAACTGACCGTATCTTGTAGGCGAAACGAGGTGACAAGTTGAGCGCAGCAGTGTCCACGAACAGATCGGAGGATTATTTATATAATTGTACATTTCATTTCCAATGGCCTGTGAGTGCCGCCCGCTGGTTAAACCAAGGAAATGCCGGGAGCGGAACAGCACTGGGCAGGATTTCCTGCAACATGAGGCAAAATTAAATTACCCCTGGTTACAACAGTAATTACTGTCAAGTGCTTTGAGTTAAAAACTGTATCAAATGCCAGGATTATTTATATCCAGAAAAGAAAAGTAATTTGTACGACCGTCGATTTCCAAGCATTTTGCGGGGTGATGAGCGTCGGTGAATATTCCGATCACAAAATCCTTCTCGAAGAGGGATCCAGTTGCACAGGTACCGTTGGTTAATTTTGAGACCCTCAAAAGAGTGCTCTTCATTCCTAATCTAAACTTGAGATGCTACGCTCCCAGATGTTCAAACAAAACCCAAACGTGTCCAAATTATTGTGGATCGACCAAAACCACCACCAAAATGTGAGAGAAAGTAAAATTGGTTATTAGGCGCATTTATCTCTATTCAACAACGTTTTGCGCTTGTGCAACGCCGTTCACGTAGGAGAACGTCGGAGTCCTGTAGCTCAGTGGTTAGAGCACTCGCTTTGCAAGTGAGAGACTCGAGTTCAATTCCAGGCAGAGGGCCAAACCTTGGGCAAGTTTCCTTACTCCACACAGAGCCTAATAATAATCCCTCCAAAACCAAAAACAATAATAAATTGGTCATTTTCAATCTACGACTGTCTGTGGGACATTGCTGTGCGCAATTGGCTGCCGCGTTCGCCCACAAATATACAGTCAATTCACTTTACAGTATATTCTGTGCAGCACTTTGGGACGTCCTCCCGACGTGAAAAGCGCTATATCAAATGCAAGGATTATTATTATTATCATAATGTCTCAAAACACTTTTACCTCACGCATAATGGCTGCAGCGTCAGCCTACAAATACACAAGTCACTTCTCAGAAAAAAAAACTCTTGCGAAACACTTGAAGGGTTTCAATATTTTAAGCACTGAATCAAATAAAAGGCTCCGAGCATATAGCGTAGTGCTTCCTGGTGGCCGGATGAAGTCCCCTCTTGATATCCTTATGAAGAAACCCCGTTAGAAACAGTCACGTACAAGTATGTAAAAGTATGTACTTTTTAACACTAACGACTGAACTTATGTCCACTGTTTTCCACAATATTCCTGATTGGGTGTGGTCAATGAGCTCCTAAATGTAAATCCCGCTGTTGGCACCTCTCACAGTGCAGTAAATCCCAATGAAAAAATCATTCCAATATAACCAGTTGGATTTCAAGGTGGAACCCTGTACTTGATTCCTCTTGTTGATCACAAGCCAGGTTGGGATGAGCCGAGCCATCCTCCCATCAGTGCAGATCACAAGATAGAAACTGAGGCTACGAAGGTTTATTCATAATAATAATAATAATAAATATAATAATCCTCGCATTTCACAAAGCACCTTATCACGTTGTTGAGACGTCTCAAAGCGTTTCACAGAATATACTGTAAAGTGAATTGACTATCTTTTGTGGGCGAAACACAGCAGCCAATTGACTGACCAAATTATTATTCTTATTATTTTTTGAAGGGATTATTACCCGACTCACTGCTAGGTAAACAGAGGTGTGTGGTCTAAGGAAACTTACGTAAGGTTTCACCCTGACTGAGAATCAAATCCAAGTCCTCTCGCTTGTGAGGTGAGCGCTCTTAACTAATATGCAACAGGACTTCACGACCAAGTGGATTCCACGATAGAGCCCTTGATCATTCTTGTTGATCACAAGACAGGTTCGGATGAGGCCTTCCATTCTCCCGCCAGCGCAGATGAAGAGATAGAAAATGAGGATACGAAGGTTTATTATTATATATATATTATTTATTCTCCGTCAAGTGTTAATCACAACTAGTTTTAAAAAGTGTTCTTTCTCCAAATAACTGCTGCAAATAATTAGTCCCCATATAGTTCTCCACACCTTCCACACACCACCACCAACAATTCTTCCTCCCCTCAATTAATTCCGCGCAGTGGTAACACACATCAATTCATGAATTGATTAATCCTCTCGCAATTGGCTGCCACGTTTGACCCACAAAACACACAATCAATTCACTTTCATGGTATATTCTGACGTCTCAAAGACATGATGTAAGTCAAACGTACACCGAAAGTATTAGGCAAATGCGAGGCTTATTGTGATATTCTTTCAAAATAATACGGTTGTTATTATTGTTATCCCTGTGCGTTCTGTACCCACTGTAACCCCCGGTTAGTGATGTTCTTCTTTCTCACAATGACTCATCTTACTGCTCGTGATTTCACAAGGTTTAACTGGAAGACACACTGGCGTGTGATGGGATGGGAATTAATCCTTAAATTAGCATTCTCACTTGTGCAAAGTGCTGTTTTCTTGAACTATTGCGAAGTTGAGATTTCATTGCCACACTTTTTTGTTGACGGGGTGTTGTTTGCTCGGTTAGTTCCGTGTTTGTAATTGACACTCTGCCACACGATTCACTGTGAACGCTTAACTCGCTGGTTGTTGTGTAGCTCAGTGGTTAGCGCTCTCGCCTCGCAACCAAGAGAAACCTGTATTTGATTTCCGGGCAGGGCAAAGTAAGTTCCCTTACTCCTCCCGTCTCTGTTTACCCAGCCGTAAACAGGAACCCGGTCGTTCGTCGATTGTCGGATTGCTTTTCTGGGGGTAATAATCCCTTCGAAATAAATAAATAAATAAATAAATAAATAAATCATTTGGTCACTCAAGTTTGCGGGACGCTGCTGTGCGCCGTTGGCTGCCGTGTTTCTCCCACAAAACACACATTCAGTTCACTTTGCAGTGTATCCCGTGAAGCGTTCTGAGACGTCTCGAAGACGTGATCAGGCGCCAGAGCAAATGCAAGGATTCTTTTTATATTATTCGCTTAGCGGCATTCTCACCTCCGGGTTAGATGATTGTGGGTTCAAGCCCCACGTCGGGATCCGAGCACATACTCTTGACCAGGGGTGGGAGGCGCTGAGGGCCGGAATGCCAGATTTGAGAATCACCCGCCAGACCGCAATAAGCAATATTTTTGTGTTTCCCTTCCGAGAAATGTTACCCGTAGGAATCATAAAAATCATAAAAAATCCTATGTTTCAAATTGTGTAACTGTGTCACTGAATTTCACCATATTTTAGTTACAAGGTAGACTTTAAACAGGCAAATATTGAAAAATATTAAATATGTCTGTCTGTCTGTCTGTGTATGTGTGTGTGTGTTTTTCTATCTCTCTCCCTGTCTGTCTGTGTGTATCTCTCTCCTGTTACCAGTTTGAAAGCAATTGATAGGTTTTGCTGCTAACCTGTGCCTGACACCGCTGTTATTCCTGCAGGTCAGACTGACCGGACACATAGATGGCGTGATGCTGTGTGGTTGACAGTTCTGTCCTTTGGTAAAGTGTTAAACCAAAGTCCTGCCATTCCGTGTGCAGGATGGACACTTAAAAAAATAAGAAGTTGGTCATTTCAATGCACGACTGTTTGTGGGACGCTGCTGTGTGCAATTGGCTGCCGCGTTTCGCCCACAAATATACACTCAATTCGCTTTACAGTCTAACCTGCGCAGCGCTTTGAGACGTCGAGAAGACGTGAAAAGCGCTATATCAAAAATCCAAGGATTATTCGAAGAGTAGGAAGTTTCTCACAAGGAGCACAGGAAGATCCCGTGAACCATCAATGAGGTGCCCATCAGTTTTTACTCGGGGGGATTGTTGGCCAGGATTCCGGGAGGGAGAGAGACCCCCTTCTCTTTGCCAAAAGCGCTGTAGGACTTTTAACGTCTACCTGAACAGGCAGAGACGACCCGGGTTTTATCCGGTAATCTGAAAGAGAACGGCATTCGCTCACAGCCATGATTGTGACTGTGAAACTTTTTTTGGGGTTTGTTTGCGGGTTGGGCGAGGGTTGTGGGGTGGGGGGGTGTTGGGGGGAGTCAGGTGAGTGGCAGACGCAGCATTGCTTCTCAATGTTACATGTCGCAAGTGAGAGGAGGTTCTGCCCCAGCCCGGGTTCGGTTCCCGGCCTGGGGCGAAACCTTACGCAAATTCCCTTACTCCACATGCCTCTGATTACCCAGCAGGAAGTAGGAGCCATTTTGTTAGTCAATTAGCCGATCGCTTTCCGGGGATAATAATCCCTCCCTTAAAAATTGGGGTAAATCAATGCCCGACTATCTGTGGGACACTGTTGTGCGCAGACACGTTTCACCCTCAAAACACAGTCAAATCACTTTACTGGATACTGCGAAGCGCTTTGAAGTGTCTCAACGACGTGACAACAACAACAGGATTACATTTGCATAGCGCCTTTCACGTCGGGAGGATGTCCGTCCCAAGGCGCTGAAATAATATGAATAATAATAATGAATAATAATAATGATCTTTGCTATTGATACAGCGCCTTATCACGTCTTCGAGACGCCTCAAAGCGCTTCACAGAATATACTATAGGATGAATTGACTGTATGTTTTCTGGGCGAAACGCAGCAGCCAATTGCGTCCCGCAAACAGTGGTGGATTGAGGGACAAAATGATCATTGGTTTTTTTGAAGGGAAAAGCGATCCGTCAATCAACTAATAACCTGCTGAGGTTAACAGAGGAGTGTGGGGTTTTGAAACGTGCCTAACGTTTCTCCCTGCTCAGGTACTCTCGCTTGCGAGGCGAGTGCTCCAACCAATACGCTACAGCATTCCACAAATAGGGATTACTATAATGTTAGCGATAAAGGGGTCAGTGTGTGTGGGCGGTGGGGGGTGGGGGAGGAAACACCACGTCCAAATATTTCTCTCTCTTGAGGCCGTTGTCAGAAGAAATGCGTCTGCTCTGTGTTTGGGGGTAATACGGTAGAGGAAGCAGTGCGCATGTTAAGAGGGCGGTGCTGACAGAGAGAGATTTGTCAGTGGTGCTTTCGTCACTTGTGGAAACCGGCCTAAAAATGATCAGGGAGGGAGGGAAGGAGGAAGGGAGGCGTTAGAGGGAGAGAGGCAACGCCACCCCTGGGGCAAAGGGCGCAGTTTTCGTTTTAAGCAGAATTTCAGTGGTCGGTTCCTGTTATAAGCCGCAGAAGCCCTGGATGGAGGTGACAATGTTACCAGCGTTAAGGTAGTGGGGGGGAGATACAAAGTGTAAGTTTCACCAAAATGGACATGAGTTTCCTCGTCTCATTTAACAACATGTTTAATTGATGTCATCATACGCTGCTCTCTGAGATACAGTATTTCTTATTTTTTTAATCTTGTATTATCTATATATAATCGTATTTCCTTCGTGTATGTGGGTGTGTACGCGCACACACACACACACACACACATGTATATTTACATAATAATAATCCTTGCGTTTGATGTATCGCCTTATCGCGTCTTCCAGTTGTCTCAAAGTGTTTCACAGAATATACTGTAACACTCTTTGGGACGTTCAACCCGAAAGGCGCTATATAAATCCAAGCTGTTGTCGTCGAATCGATTGTGTATTTCGTGGGCGAAACGCGGCAGCCAATTAATTAATTAAGAGTGGTGGTCCCGCCAACAGTCGTGGGTTGCGTGACCCAAATTATTTTTTTTTTTGATTTGATTTGATTTTTTTGTGAGGGGGGGGGGGCGGCGGGGGGAAGGGATCATATCAGATACAAGGAGTCAGAAAGTGCAGCGAATTGTTTTACTATTACACGATATTGATCTTCTTCTTCTTCTTTTGTTTTTCTCCCCAACTTCCCTCCCACCCTTTGCAAAAAAAAAAAAAAAAAAAATCTTATTGCAGGTCGTTTTAAATTTATTTTGGTGGCCAATCCGGGCATGGAGTGCGTTCAGGAAACATCTCTACCAGTTGACCTGATGTTACCCATCGACTGTGACCCGGACAGTTCTTGCTGCTGTTGCTCCTGTTGCTCGCCCCCTGCTCAGTGCTATGATGGGTGTAGTGACTGCTGCACCCAGGTCAGGGGAAGGTCCAAGTCTCGGAGCCTTTCTACTTCCTCACCTCTGATGGGTGCTAAAGTGTACAGGTAAGCAAGCCACTGTTGGAGTAAAAATCACAGTCAGATTTACTTGCATTTGGTTTGCAGCAGATACACGTATGTCTTTATCGCACCTTATCATCTCGCGGACTACATTGTAAAGTGCATTTGCCTGTGTGTTTTTGCGGGTGAATATTTTGTGCGTTTCACCCACAAAGTAAGACACAGTGAATGCACTTCACAGTGTATATTCTGTGAAGCGCTTTGAAACGTCTCGGCGACGTGATAAGGCGCTGTGTCAAACGTCAGGATTATTATTAATATTATTATACGTAATCCTGGCATTTGATACAGCGCCTTAAGACAACTGTCTCAAAGCGCTTCACAGAATATACTGTAAAGTGAATTCGCTGTGTATTTTGCGGACAAAATGCAGCAGCCAATTGCGCCCGGCAGATTTTTTTTTAAAAAAATAAAAGAAACAACATTGTAAATTTAGTTTCGGTTTTTTTTAAAAAAAAGGATCTTTTCGATGCGTGAAAATTGTTTTAACAAATTGTCTCTTTAAATAATGATAATAACAATCCTTGAGGTTGACCACCGCTTCACGGAATACACTGTAAAGGGCAAGAAAAAGGAAGAAAATATAGCTTTTTTAATTGTGAAACTCAGGTGGACTGATTTAGAACGCAGCTGGTTACATCTCACTTACAAGAACAAATTACGTAATCACTACAACTTTACGGTGAAATCCTGCGAAGCGCTTTGAGACCCGAGCGATTCTCTCGACGTGGAAGGTGCAATATTAACTGGAAGTGTTATTCTTATTGTAACAGCAACAACAGCTCGCATTTACACAGCGCCCCTAACACAGGGTAGCTTCCCAGAGCGCTTAACGGTGATGGAGCACGACACCGGGGAGGTGGGGTGGGGCGGATGGGAGGTGACCTTAGGCACGGTCGAAGAGGAAGGTCTTTGGGCACGATCTGAAGATGAGGAAGGATGGGGTGAGGCGGAGAGATAGAGGAAGAGTGTTCCAGTGTTTCGAGTTGTAGTGACACCCAATACACTGCAAGTGGCTTCATAGTCACGATGCTTTAATCTGTATGACCCCAGTTCTACGGGTGAATTCTGGTAATATTTCTGCTCCCATTATGTTGAAACGTGTTGCGCCAGAGGTAGCAGCTTCCCCTCTTCATGTCATTATCTCGATTAAACAATCTTTTTTTTTTGCAATGATCTGTTTCAGTAAAACCTCACCCCGGAAATAGAGAGAGAGAAACAGACTGAGTGAAGCAACGTTAGATTGGCTTTTCACCTTCATGTTAGGCTAAAGTCCAGACCAGTTCTGTTCTCTCTCCGTCGGTAGAAAATATTTAACATTTTGGTCTGTCACTTGCTGCTACATCCCAAGGGAAGCTTCAAGTTCTGGGTGTTTGGTTGGTGCAGGGACCTGGAGAGAGAGAGAGAGTTTGGACTGTGCGGTTACATAGAAAGAACTTGAGTGTTTATAGTGTAGAAACTGCAGGTCACAGTAATTATTATAATAATAATAATCCTTGCATTTGATATAACGCTTTTCACGTCTTCTAGACGTCCCAAAGCGCTTCCCAGAATATACTGTAAAGTGAAACTTTCTCGGATACCCTCCGAGTAGAATAAAATGTTCTCTTGAGTCAATGACTTGGGAGGGTGGCATCCTGCTTACCTAATTCCAGAAGGAATTAGACGCAAGTTGGCAAGAGCTAAGGCTTGGGGGGAGCCCAGAGTGTGCGTTGGGTTAACTGCTGACGTCTGACCAGCTATAGCCACATAGCTTGTCATTGAGAGGCCGGTCTGGCAAGCTTTCCCGCTGCTTGTCCAGCTAGGACCACCCCACCCGTGAGGGCTTTGGCTTGCGGGGTTAACAGGCGCCGAGAATTAATAGAGAAGAGGAGTAGAGTGCAGAGGCCATCAGTGGTCCTGTGCGGGATTTAATTTTGTCCCAAACCCTCTGAGTTCTATCCATGGTGGATAGCAAAGAGGACACTTGCTGAGAATACCAAACTAATCAGGAGCAGTGAGGGAGTCAGAGCACCAGCCGCAGTTATTTACTTTGCAGCCAAATCCAAACAGAACAAAGGACGTTCCACGAATCCACCGCAGACCTTGAAAGACCCACGTCGATTGCATAGAGAGGAACTTCGACTCTACCTCTTGGAATAATAATAATAATCCTTGCATTTGCACTGCACAAAGCGTAGTGACTGTATATTTTGTGGGCGAACAGCGGCAGCCAATTATAATAATAATAATAATAATAATAATAATAACAGCAAACATTAAATATTCTGCTTCTGTTTCTTTCATTTTTTTGGAATTGCGCGCAGCTGTGTCCCACAAACAGTCGTGGATCGAATGGAGTACATTTTATTTATTTTGAAGGGTTTGTTATCCCCGGAAAAGCGATCCACCAATCGACTAACAACGACGGTTGCTATTTACCGTTGGGCAAACAGAGGAGCGTGGAGTAAGGAAACTTTGCCAACCTTTTCCGCCCTGGCCGGGAATCGAACCCAGGTCCTTTCGCTTGCAAGGCGAGTGCTCTGATCACTGAGCCACAGGACACCAGCGGTGTTAACATTAAGTGGAAACGAAAGGCAAATCTTAAGTTAAGGGTTTAGCAGATGCTGCCTCCTGATGGGGGCCACTCCAGGACTTTGGTTCAAAGCACCTACCCCCTCCTGTAGGGTGGTGAACATATGGTGGGGTAGTGATTAGTCGCTAGAATCTAATAGGATTTTTATTCCACGTGCCACACGTGACTACAGCAATAGCTTCACCTTGGAGTTTGGAAACAGATAAGCCCGTTTGCATTAAGATTTTTTTTTAAACAGAGTCTAGACACAACCTGTGTTGAATGCATAAGGTCATCGTAAGTAGAAGCCTCGTTGGGGTTGAGGGGAGAGGAAATCTGTCCCGGCGCCGAGGAGGTTACGTCTGTGTCCAGCCACACTGTGGGATGAGATGACCGGAGCTCAGTGTGACAGCACGGCCATGTTTCTTGAGTAAGTTCTCTCTGCGGTTCCCTCTTGAACCTTGAGAGTCCTGTGGCTTAGAGGTCGGAGCTCTCGCCTCGCAAGCGAGAGGACCTGGGTTTGAGTTCTGGGGCAGGGCGAAACGTTAGGCCTTACTCCACACGTCTCTGTTTACCCAGCAGTAAGTAGGAACCCGGGTTGTTGGACGATTAGTGGATCGCTTTTCCTGGGGTAATAATCCCTTCAAAATAATAATAATTTAGTCACTCAATCCATGACTGTTTGTGGGACACTGCTGCGCGCAATTGGCTGCTGTGTTTCTCCTACAAAAATGTGCAGCATATTCTGTAAAGCGCTTTTGAGACATCTCGAAGACATGATAGGGTTCTGTATCAAATGCGAGGTTTTTATTGTCGAACCTGGTTTCCAAATAGAGTGCTCCTACTTGAGGGCTTATCTTCACCTAAGTTTCTGTGGAACTGCTTCACTTAATGTGGCCACGAAAATCAATAAAGAACGAAAGATCCGAATGTTTCCAATGATGTACAGACTACAGAATTGTGCAACTTGTGGGTTGGAGGTTCCTTCTAAGAATATGATTAGGTAACGTAATGAAACCAGCAATGTCATAATTAGACAATCACACCTAATGGGGGGTGGGGGGTGTTAAAGCTTAGATGTGACAGCCGACTCTTTTTCATTGCTGACCACAAATTCAGTCTGTGTCGAGTGATTTAGTTTGCTTTCTCTACGGCGGGGAATAGAAAGTGTAGATATCCGTGTGGTGGTAGACAGCATACGCTGGACTGTGTTCCTGGGTAGCAATAATAATAAAAATAATAATCCTTGCATTTGATACAGCGCCTCATCACGTCTTCGAGACGTCTCAAAGCGCTTCACAGAATATACTGTAAAGTGGATCGACTGTGTAGTTTGTGGGCGAAACGCGGCAGCCAATTGCACACAGCAGCGTCCCCACAAACAGTTGTGGAAAGAACTTACATTTTATAGCACCTATTACGTTGGCAGTGTTACAAAGAGCTTCACAAGTAATTGATGTCTGCTTGTTGCACTACTGTTCTGTGCCCTATTAGACCCTGAGGAGCCTAAACTTTTGTTCAGGGTTTACTTCTGCTGTCCTATTTTATCCATTAAGTGTAAGATCTCTTCATGAGATGCCTCATTTCAATGTTGCACACTAATTATTTGTAAAAGTGCTTTGAGAGAAGGGTACCTGTTAAGTTCTGTGCGCAATTGGCTTCCGCGTTTCACCCACAAAATACACAGTCACCACACTGTACAATATATCCTGTGAAGCGCTTTGAGATGGGACGTCCTCCTGACGTGAAAGGCGCTATACAAATGTAATTTGTTGTGGTTTTCTCAGTGACATGATAAAGCGCTGTATCAAATTCATGCAGTATTTTTATTTGACTTTAGCTGTGCCCCCCCCTCTTGCTGATGTGAAATGATTATTATATTTGGTGCAGCACCTTTCACGTAGGGAAGATGTCTCAAAGTGCTTCGCAGGATACATTGCAGTGTATTATCTGGAGGGGGGAAACACAAAAGGCAATTTGCACACATCCTGACTTGCTCCCATGTGAAACGACACCTTCCCAAAGAGTGATATAGCTTCTTAATCATCGTCGGGAGTAACTGCCAGCTTATGTTCTCAGTGAAAGAGCTGATTCATAGTGACTCAGTATCGAACCCAAGTGGAATGAAGGAATGTGTTTAAAAAAAANGGATAGCGTGACTTGGTAATTCAATATTTTCAATATTTACCTAAGATTTTGCCCTGCTCAGACACGAATCGAACCCAGGTCCTCTCGCTACGCGACAGGATTCCTAACATTGGCTGCGGGTGCAATCTATTTCATCTCATAGATCCGAGGTTCATTAAAACAGGTGGGATTGTTTGTGGTGCGGTGGAAATCATTCAAGAGAAAGGTCGCACAAAACGCCCAGTGTCAAAACAATTAACTACTAACTATAATTAATCACACCAACCGGGTTTTTCCAGTTACTTTTCCCTGGAGCTTCCTGAAGTTCGATGCGATGCCAATGCTTTATGTTTGAAAGGGACTTTTTTTGTATATAATATATATATATTGTTTTGTTTTTCCATATAGACCTGTCCGCTCCCTCCCTTACCTCCTTCAAGGCCTGTCTCTCGACCGTCCTCTTCGACCGCGCCTTTGGCCACCCTCCCAGCCCTAGTCTCCCTGCCCTCCTCCCCTCTTGATCACATGAAAGCCGCTATACAAATGTAATATGTTGATATTGTTGATATTCATGACTTGGATTCGGGAATCAGCAATCCAATTTCAAAATTTGCAGACGACACCGAATTGGGGGAGTAGTTAACACAGAGGCGGACGGCAACACCCTACAGCAACACATTAATAAACTCGCTAAGTGGGCATTTAAATGGCAAATGCATTTCAATGTAGAAAAGTAGAAGCGGTACATTTTGGTAGAAGGAAGTCACGTACATTCTGGAAAATAAAAATAATAATAAAGAAGCAAAGGGACCTAGGGGTACACGTACACAATTCACTAAAATTCACTACAATTCGCGTAGCAACGCAGGTTAATAAAGTCATTAAAAAAAAAGCAAACCAGGCACTGGGGTTCATTTCTAGAGGGATAGAGATGAAAAGCAGAGAAGTGATGGTAAACTTCTATAGAACCTTGGTCAGACCACACTTAGAATACTGTGTGCAGTTCTGGTCCCCACATTATAGAAGGAATGTAGAGGCACTCGAGAGGATGCAAAGAAGATTCACGAGGATGATACCAGAACTGCAAGGTGATAACCCATCAGGAAAAGCTGAACAAGTTTGGACTCTTTTCTCTTGAAAAGGGGAGGGTGAGGGGTGACCTGATAGAGGTCTTTAAAATGATGAAAGGCTTTGATAGGGTCGACATAGAGAAGATGTTTCCACTTGTGAGGGAGACCAAAACCAGAGGCCATCAATATAACATCGTCACAAATAGACCAAATAGGGAAGTCAGAAGAAATTTCTTTACCTAGAGACTGGTGGGAATGTGGAACTGCTACCACGAGGAGTTGTTGAGGCAAATAGCGCAGATGTGTTTAAGGGGAAGCTGGATATAGGTACATGAGGGAGAAAGGAATAGAAGGTTATGCTTGAAGGCTTGGGTGAGGAGGGGCAGGAGAGGCTGATGTAGAGCATAAACACCGGCATAGACCAGTTGGGCCGAGTGGCCTGTTTCTGTGCTGTATATGCTAATGTATCCTTGTTGTTGTTGTTGTTTGCTCGTCCCTCCGACTAACCCCGGTTTCTCTGCGATTCCAGGAGGACGAGTTCCATGCACGGACCTTGCCCAGCGACGAAGTTCGGACCAAAGGCCTGCATGCTGGAGAACCCCCGGGCTGTTATGTGAGTGTCTCTCCTCCTCTCAGACCTTCCCAGCTCAGGAATGTTTACAGCTGACCAACTGTGTTTTCAGCCACCCAGCCCCGAAGCTTTGAATCTTTCTTCCTCAATCTCTCCGCCTCGAGCCTTCCTTCCCCGTCTTTTAAGTCAATACCTTCCTCTTCGACCATGAGTATGTTGTATGCTCATTTCCTCCTTCCCATATCTCCTTCTACCCCGCCCTTTAGGCGGTAGGGCTCCGCCACTGTTAAGCACTCCGAGACACGAGTTGGTTGTTCTTGTTTGTTCTCAGACCTGCACTAAAATGTTCTTCCATCAGAGAGGCTTTGGTTGAGGCAAATGGTGAGCATTTGTCACTGGTTGCTGAGTTGGTCATTATTTAAGATCATCTATATTAAAAAAAAAGAGTTTGGGATCAGGAGGACATCCCAAGACCTCGAATAGTCCTGGGTTTGCACGACAATAATAATAATAATAATAATAATAATAATCCTTGCATTTGATATCGCGCCTTATCACTTCGTCGAGACGTCTCAAAGCGCTTCACGGAATATACTATAAAGTGGAGTGACTGTATGATTTGCGGGCCAAACGCGGCAGCCAACATCCCACAAACAACCGTGGAGTGAGTGACCAAATTATTATTTATTTACTTATTTATTTTTTTGGGGGGGGGGGAGGGGATTATTAATTATTAATCCCAGAAAGCGATCCGCTGATTAACTGACTGACAGCCCGAGTTCCTGCTTACTGCCGGGTGAACAGAGGCGGGCGGAGCGAGGAAACTCGCCGCTCGCGGGAATCGTACCGGGGTCCTCTCGCTTGCGAGGCGAGCGCGGGAGCCACGGCGCGCTCCCCCGGACTCCACCGCGGCTGGATAAAGCCAGATGGATGGAAGCTCGTGGAGATTTTTTTTGTCGTCGTTGTTGTTCGGGGTGGAGCGGAGTTAAATTTGAATCGCATTTTAATCGGAGAGCAGCTGTGACTCAGGGCTCTGCCTCCCAACCTCCCGGCTTCCATCTGGCTGCTCATTTACTGCGAGGAGTGAGGTAACTTCTCAAGGCAGAAGCAAAGCATTTCCTGATTTCTTTGTTGTCTCTTTCATCTCCTCGCTCGCTCGCTCGGTCGGTCGGTCGCTCGCTCAGTCAGTCACTCAGCCTATTGCAGCGTAGTCTGACTGAGAAGCCTGGTCGCACACACCCAGATGCTAGAGCTACGCTCCTCCTCATCAGCTGACTGGTTTAATTTTTAAACCCCCCCCCCGACACCCCCCCCGCTCGAACCCGTCCCATTGACATTCCTGGCTGCGCGCCAGTAACAGACAGTGGGTGTCTGAGACTGAGCCGTTCGCTCTCTCGCTCGCTCGCCCGCTCGCTGTTTGTAGGTGAGGTGGTGCACCGTGCAATCCCATGCCCCGTCAGCCGTGCTGAGGGCTGAGTTGGCCGCTCTGGAACCCGCAGCGCTGCGGTGCGTGGAGTGTCGGAACGCAACCCGGGTGGGTGGGGGGTGGAAGCAGATGAGGGAGATCACGAGGATCGTGCGGCGCATTGAGAACGTCAGCGCGCCCACGTGCAACGGTGGCTCGTGGAAATGGTGAGCGGATTGGCGGGCGAGGCACCGTATGAAAGGGTGCGTGCGTGCGTGCGTGCGTGGGGGGAGTGCGCACGTGCTTGCGCGCGTGCGTGCGTGTGTGTGTGTGGGTGTGTGTGTGGGGGGTGCGCACGTGTGTTGGTGGGTGTGGGGGTGTGCACAGTGTGTGTGTGTGTGTGTGTGTGTGTTGCGATATAGTGCTGGCTAGTAACGTCAGGTGCAGTGTTTATGCTGCAGTACTTCCTCAGGGAGAGTACAATTCGCTCAGCACTTGAGAGAGAGAGAGAGAGAGAGAGAGAGATGAATAGAATTCGCCAGTCGAACATTGCAGTGGGAAAATTAGCTTCGACAGGAACGAGCTGAGCTGAGCTGAGCTGAGCCGAACACTGAGCTCCGTGGGGTGATTTCAAACTCCCAGGATCAATGATCACCGGCACATTGATCCAAATTATCTGCATCAGAGTGTGCTCGCGTTGGGACTTTGACCTCGAACGGCATGCACTGATGCTCCATTGGCAGTGCTGGGGGTGAGGAGGGGGAAGAGAGCTTTAAGGTTGCATTATCGTAAGAGCAATCCTTTTCGATGAGACGTTAAAAAAAACGAGGTCCATCTGTGGATGTTAAAGATCTCCCCTGGCGCTGTTTTGAGAAGTGAGTGTCTCTCTCCCGACCTCCCTGACCTACAGTCCTCTGGATAATCCTTGAGTTTGATATAGCGTCTTATCACATCTTCGAGAATATAGTGTAAAGTGCAGTGGCTTGTGTATTTAAACTTGCGTAAGATTTCACCCTGCCCAGTAATCGAACTCAGATCCTCTTGCTCGTGAAGCGAGCGGTTTAACCATTACGCTATGGGAATCCACCTGTAGGTTGTGGTTTGTGGCTGTTTGTGGGGAGGGCTTCAACTTCACTCACAACGCTTTGGAGAAACATTTGGAAGTGCTTTGAGACATTCAATGTTTACAGGCATTGCAATCAAAGATTATTCTTATTGATAAGAAATGTTGGGCAAGTTTCCTTATTCCGCGTGCCTCTGCTGAACCCAGTTGTTAGTTGATTGGCGGATCGCTTTTCCAGGGTAATAAACCCTTAAATAATAAATTGATCACTCAATCCACGACGCTGCTGTGCGCAATTGGCTGCCGCGTTTCGCCCGCAAAATACACAGTCAATTCACTTTGCACTACATCCTGTGAAACGCTTTGAGACGTCTCGAGGACGTGATGAGGCGCTGTATCAAATGCCAGGATTATTATTACTTACTACTGCGTGAATCTTCATTCGAAAGATGGTGGTAAAAATTCTTAAGTTGTCCCTTCAATGAATCAGTATTTGGACACATACCTCCTTGCCCTCCCCTCCCCTCACCCCCCGCTCTGCCCCGCCTTGCCTCAATAGTTTTGCTGACTCAAATTTGCATTATTTTTCTGTGTTTAACTTCCTGGAACCTATCTGTTGCATACCTAACCCACTGCCTTTCAGTGTGTTTTTTGCATAAGACGCGAATATAATTGAACACAGAAACGTCCTGCCAGTTACCCCACATTTCTTTCTCTCTCTCTCGCTCTCTCTCTCTCTCTCTCTCTCTCACTCTCTCGCTCTCTCTGCTTTGCCAATGTTATGTGACCAGAAATATCTTTGTGGCTTGATCCACTTCTCAGATGCATTTCAAGGGGAAAACATTTTCCTGGATTTCCCTACAATGCAAAGAGGTCAGGGCTGAAAGAGAAATATGAACCAGTTACACTGGAAGAAAACAAAGATTAATAATTAGGGGAATGGCCCGTGAATTGGACAATTAACTCGAATGCAGGGTGCTATCTGCTTTTTGGAGCATGGAGTCCTGTAGCAAAGTGGTTAGAGCACACACCTCGCAAGCGAAAGGATCTGGGTTCAATTCCTGGACCAGGAGAAACCTTCGGCAGATTTTCTTACTCCATACGCCTCTTCTCACCTAGCAGTTACCCGGTTGTTAGTCTATTTAGGATCACAATCTGGGGTTAATGAACCCTTCAAAAAAAAAAATTGGTTGTGCAATCCACGACTGTTTGTGGGACACGGCGGTGCGCAATTGGCTGCCACGTCTGTGAAGACTTTCTTGATATAAAAGAGGCAAAATAATTTAGTTTAGGAAATGTACACTGAATACTGTGGGAGATTCGCCCACAAAACACACAGTCAACTCACTTTACAGTATGCGCTTTGAGACTTCTCGAAGACATGATAAGACCCTATATCAAATGCAAGGATTATTATTAATATTATTAAATGGCTGTAGTTTCAAGGAATGCTGATCGTATTGAAAAGATGTCAAAGAACTACAGTCACACTCTCTCTCTGTCTCGCTCTCTGCCTCTTGCTCTCTCTGTAATCTCACACCATTATTCCAATACACTTGACTGCTTGGTAAAGGCAAATAAAAAATGCCATAAGAGGCAAACAGTGAACTGAAGCTGAACACAAGCTCATTTGTGATCAAAACGGGAGACACGGAACAAAGAGAGCATTTTATCCAAACTGGAGCAATGATGGCACGAAAAAAAAACAATCAAAGAACAGGGGTCTCCGGTTTGGGAAGTAGATTTACCATTACCCATCAGTAATCAGTAAATGCAAATTATCCTTGCATTTGATATTGCGCCTTATCACGTCGTTGAGACGTCTCAAAAGCGCTTCACGGAATGTATTGTGAAGTGTAGTGTCTGTGTATTTTGTGGGCAAAATGCTGCAGCCAATTGCGCACAGCAACGTCCCACGAACAGTCGTGGATTGAGTGAACAATCCAATTTTCTTTTCGAGGGACTATTACTTCCCTGAAAGCGATCTGCCAATCGACTAACAACCGGGTTGCTACTTACTGCTCGGTAAACAGAGACGTGTGTGTGTGTGTGTGGAGTGAGGAAACTTGCCTAAGGAATTGAACCCGGGTTCTCCCGCTTGCGGAGGCGAGCGCGGTAACCATTACGCTACGGGAGTCCGGCCTAATGCAGGGGAACAAAAGAGGAAAGGTGTTGCTTCGTAAAATCGTGCGCACTCTCACGAAAGGGAAGCGCTGATTGTTAACTGCTTTACCTGTCTCTGCTCAGCACCCGAGCCAAGCAATCAATTTACTGGCCATTTGTGCAGCTCAAACCATAGCTCTCTGAACTACTCTCCAATGTACTGTACTTACTGTATGTTCCTTTTGTGACAAAGGGGATGCGGGCAGGTGGGTTTTGTAACTTAACGTTTAACCAGCGGACACAATGGGTGGGTGCTTTTCTCACCCATCCCAAAGTCATTGTGCTTTCTTCGCATGGATTTATAGCCTTCTGTAAAAGGTCTGTCCAAACCTGTGAGAAATGTTGTGGGTAGGATATGCTTCCACAGTGGGCTTGATGTACTGTGTTATACAGTACATCAAGTACATCAGTGTCCTGTAGCTTTGTGGTTAGAGCACTCGCCTCGCGAGCGAGAGGACCTGGGTTCGATTCCCGAGCAGGACGAAATGTTAAGCAAGTTTTCCTTACTCCACGCGCCTCGTTTGCTTCGCATTAAGTAGGCGTAAGAGGTGTGTGGAGTGAGGAAACTTGCCTGAGGTTTCATTTCGCCGAGTCCTCTCACTTGCCAGGCGAGCGCGCTAACCACTATGCTCCGGGACGCTACCCCGGGTGAAGGGCGCTACGTAGACGCAAGTTGTCGTTGTACATTATAGCACCGTTCACGTGACTTGAACTGCGAGGAACACAGTCAGCTTTGTTCAGCCTGGGGAGCCTTCAAAACAACACAAGTTTTACACAAGTTTTGATCTGGGTGTTTGTCCAATAATACTCCTCTCTCCTCTCTTGGCTTGTACCCAGGCACAATCTGCTTCGTCCCTCCGAAGGCCGGAGACATTTTTTTGCTCGCCCTGGGGTTGCACAGCTGTTTCAAGAACCGTTTCAAACATAACATACTAACGCTAGCCGTTATCAAACTGATAGCAGTTTGCTGATAGGAATTGCTGCAACTGGCGTAGCGTCAGTCACGGTAACTCGGTGAAAGCAACGGCTTGAGATCGCGCCCCGCACACGCGGGACGAACGTTTCGATGCCCGCCCCACCTGACGGGCGCTATATAAATGCAAGTTGTTGCTGTAGTAAATTACCAAAATGGAATTTGGCTCCAAACCCCCCCGAAGGCTTCGGCCAATTCCCTATGAAGATCACATTGTGTGTTTGCGTGCACTGGAGGTTACATGGGTTGTCAGTGTAATGGATGGCACCTGTTAAACTAGTGCGTTGAGACGAACCAAACGGCACTCTGTGGCATTTGATAACCACAAAAACCTTTTAAACTAGTACATCTGGTGATTTGTCTTGTCACCGCCTTTTGGCAAAGGTTTATGCAGCAGATTGTCTCACCTGACCTCAGGTAGGTGAACAAGCCAGTGTGGGCGTTGATGTAGTTTGCAAAAGGCTCATTTTCGCCTGAGTGTGAAGTCGTTTGGATGTCTAACCAATCTCTCGTTTCACTCACTGCCTTTCTGCACAACTGCAAAGATCTCCTTGCTCCGGTTGACTCGGAAGCAACAGTTTCTCTTCACTTGTCGAGCTTGACTGAGTTGGTAGCGCTCTTGCCTCGGGGTTGGAAGGTTGTGGGTTTGAGCCCCCCCCCGCCCGCCCGCCCATCAATACCCTGCTCCCCACGGAGACTCGGGCAGACACTCCAGTTCAGCGCTGGGCATGTTGCCTTCGAGTGAGACATTAAGGTGAGGCCACATCTGCTGATCTTTCAGTTGGAGATCCTGTGGTGTTAATGGTGACTCTCCCACCCTCACTCCCTCTACCCTCCAACCCTCTTGATCTCAACCCCCAGCTCATCCAAGCGACTGCCAGGATGGGTCGAAGGTGAACTGAATGGACCTTGATTTTCTTTTGCCCAGCCATTTCTTACCAAGGTCTTCCTCTCTCTCTCTCTCTCACTCTCACCACAGGCACATCCAAGACCCAGCCAGTCAGCGTCTGACCTGGAGCAAAGCTCCGAAGAGCGTCCTCGTCATCAAAAAGATCCAAGACGACCGACTGCTCCAGCCGTTCAAGGAACTCTGTATCTTCCTCGTGGAGGTACTGCACTTAATATACAATATAACGTACGTGCATCAACGACAAGTTGCATAGCGCCCCTCACGCAGAGTAGCGTCCCAGCACGCTCCACAGTGGCGGAGCAGGACGGTGAGACGGGGGGGAGCGTGGGAGGTGACCGTAGGCACAGACGAAGAGGAAGGTCTTCAGGCGCGATCTGAAGATGAGGAAGGAAGGGCCGAGGCGGAGGGATAGAGGGAGAGTGTTCCAGAATTTTGGGGCGTAGGGGCTGGGGATCTGGTTGGGAAGGATGGACATTGGGATGCGCCAACATCAACCAGCACCATTCCTGTAAGGTAGTGTCTCGGAGCACTTAACAATGGTGGAATTTGACACCGAGCCTGGGAGGTAGTAGAACAAGAAGACACGGAGGTTTAGAGTCGCAGAGGGTAAGTACCGAGACCCGGAGGGGAATTAATTACCCATTGAAACTGTCCGTTTTCCCGTTAGGTGAAAAACATGATTGTTTACGTGGAGAAGAAAGTCCTGGAGGATTCCGCTCTGACCAACGACAGCTTTGAATCCCTTAAAAAGAAATTATGCACTTTCCAAGAAGGTAAGAGCAGCCCGAGCCTTGGCTCTCCCCAACCCGCACCTAATACTTTCCAGAATTAGGTGAGCAGGAGGCGTCCCTCCAGAGAGAGAGAGAGAGAGAGAGGGAGAGCATTCCATTCCAATCTCGAGGATTTCCATGTGTAGGTGGGAAGCAGGGAATTCTCAATTGGGTTTGGAGGCTCTTAAGCAATGGTGATGGGGTTCCACATTTGTCAGACACCCGGCTGGGCAAAAAAAACAGTAAAAGCAGTGGTTTATACCACGTTTTTGCTCTGCTGTAGTTTGATAAACTGCCTCCCAAATTAAGATTGAATATAGAATCTCCTTGTTCTTAAATTGCGAACGTCATTGGGATTGTGTGTGTGAGAGAGTGAGAGTGTGTGTGTGTGAGGGAGCGTGTGTGAGAGAGCGAGTGTGTGAGAGCGTGTGTGTGGGAGCGTGTGTGTGTGGGAGCGTGTGTGTGTGTGTGTGGGAGCCTGTGTGTGTGTGTGGGAGCATGTGTGTGTGGGAGCGTGTGTGTGTGGGAGCGTGTGTGTGTGGGAGCCTGTGTGTGTGGGAGCCTGTGTGTGTGGGAGCGTGTGTGTGTGAGAGCGTGTGTGTGGGAGCGTGTGTGTGTGTGTGTGGGAGCGTGTGTGTGGGAGCGTGTGTGTGTGGGAGCGTGTGTGTGTGGGAGCGTGTGTGTGTGTGGGAGCGTGTGTGTGGGAGCGTGTGTGTGTGTGGGAGCGTGTGTGTGTGTGGGAGCGTGTGTGTGTGGGAGCGGGTGTGTGTGTGTGTGTGGGGGAATGTGTGAGAATATACATTTAGACTTCTTTTTGATGTTTTTCAGGCTATGATGATCTGTCAGATCGAATAGACTTCATCATCTGTCTTGGAGGAGACGGAACATTGCTTTATGCCTCATCATTATTCCAAGTAAATTTCTTTTTAATAAGAAGAATCCTTGCATTTGATATTGCGCCTCATCACGTCGGAAAGCGCTTCACAGAATATATTGGTGGACGGAATGCGGCAGCAATTGCGCACAGCAACGTCCCACAAACAGTCGTGGATTGAGTGACCAATTATTTTTTTTGGAGGGATTATTATCCCCAATCGACTAACAACCAGGTTCCTACTTAAAATTAAAATGAACAGGGTGGAGGGCAGGGAGGGTGGGTGTAGGTGGGAGGGTGGGTGTAGGTGGGAGGATGATAAGGCAACGGTCAAAGAGGAAGGTCTTGAGACCGGCTTTGAAGGAGGCAAGGGAGGGGGCGAGGTGGATGGAGTTCCAGAACATCTTAAGGCTGTAGCAAGATGTCAACAGAAGTAAAAGTTTGGCTTATTTGTGTGGTCTTTTTTTTACTAGGACAGTGTGCCCCCGGTGATGGCCTTTCACTTGGGATCTCTGGGGTTTCTGACACCGTTTAACTTCGAAACCTACCAATCCCAAGTCACGCAAGTCATTGAAGGTAAGTTTCTGCTTAGAGTACTGTAAATTGTTTCTTTTTGATGAGCGGAGGGAGCAGGCAAGTTGGTAAGGTGTGAAGAGGTCGCAGGGGCAAGGAGGAGCAAGACCTTGTGGACGAGAGGATCTTAAACTCGATCCTCCGGGGGACGGGAAGGCAGTGAAGCCGGACGAGGTGACTGGCGATTTTCGTTAGGTCAGGGTATCGAGCGATATGGGGCAAGGGCAGGTAATTGGAGTTGAGGTACAGATCAGCCAGGATCTAATAGAATGGCGGAACAGGCTCGAGGGGCTGAATGGCCTCCTCCTGTTTCCCATGGCGAGCGACTTCAGTGGTTTCCCGTGGGCTGTCCCTCAGGTAACGTCGCCATCATCCTACGGAGCCGTCTGAAGGTGAAGGTGGTGAAGGAGAACAGACAGAAGAAGAACGGTGTGCAGGAGGACAGGTTGATCGTGACAAAGCTGGGGGAGAACGAGACAGGGAGAGCGACGAAACAATACCAGGTGAAACACGCAGACGCCCTCCCCTTCCTGGGTCTAACATCTCATCCGAAAGACAGCACCTCCCACAATACAGCACCCCTCCCTCACTCCCCCCTCCCCCCACCTCCTCCTCCCCACTCTTGCCCCCTCCACCCCTCCTGATTCCAACCCCCAGCTCCTACAATCTAGATAGATTTTGGTTGGTAAATAATATCTCGAGTTAAGATTATTGTTCATGGTTGTTAAAAGCTTAGACGTCCAAAAAAAAAGCAATATTCCATCTCCTCCAAGACAGATGATGACACACACTCACTCACTCATAAGCTCTCACACACACTCTCACACACACTCGGTCTCACACACACCCCACCTCACACACACACATTCTCATACACACACTCTCACGTACTTTCTCTTACACACACACATACCCTCTCCCTCACACACACACTCTCATACACACACTCTCCCTCTCACACGCACACTCTCACACACTTTCTCTTACACCCTCACACTCTCTCACACACCCACCCACACACGCACACCCACATACACACTCTGAATCCTAATGGCGTTCGTAACTTAATGCCTCTCGCACGTTAAGGTGCTGAATGAAGTTGTGGTTGACCGAGGACCGTCTTCGTACCTCTCTAACGTGGATTTGTTTTTGGACGGGAGACTCATAACAACGGTGCAAGGAGATGGTAAGAGACTCTCCCCTCGCTCAGACCTCCAAACAAGGCGCTCCGTAGGTTTCCTGGAGTCCTGGATGAGATCCCGACATGAAAGGCAAATGTAATCAGTTGCTGTTGTCCGTGAAGTGCTTCGAGACGTCTCGACGACGAGAGGTTAGCTTCGTTACCAGCTAACGAACAGACCCTCGTTAGCTGGTGGTGAGCGTAACTGTAATTTTGTTTGTGAGAAACATTATTCCCGGCCAGAAACCCGCTCACCTGAGAATTTCCCTGCATGTCCATGAGAAATCCCAAAGATAAGATGGTTCTTTTCTGGAAGGGGCGCTTCCTGCTTACCTAATTCCGGGAAGTATTAGGCGCAGGTCAGCAGGAGCCAAGGCTTGGTGAGGGGGGTGCGATGGGGGGGGAGAGCCCAAGAGTGTGCGACGGATGTAACCGCTGGAACCTTGGTGCAGTTGACTGGGGAGTAATGTGACTGTGTTTGTCGTTACCAGGGTTGATCGTCTGCACGCCCACGGGGAGCACTGCTTACGCTGCCGCGGCGGGGGCCTCGATGATCCACCCCAATGTCCCCGCCATCATGATAACGCCAATCTGCCCACATTCCTTATCCTTCAGACCAATTGTTGTCCCGGCCGGAGTGGACCTCAAGGTACCTCTCGTGTCCCATCGCGTTCTGCCGTAAAATAATGCCAAGTCCCGTAGCGCAGCGGTTACAGCACTCGCCTCGCAAGAGAGAGGACCCGGGTTTGATTCCCGGGCAGAGGGAAAACCTTAGGCAAGTTTCCTTACTCCACACATCCGCCTTCGTTGACCTAGCAGTAAGTAGGAACCCAGTTGTTAGTCGATTGGCGGATCATTTTTCTGGGGGTAATAAACCCATCCCCCAAAAGATACACAGACAATCCACTGTACAATATATTCTGTGAAGCGCTTTGAGATGTCTCGATGACATGATAAGGCACTGCATCAAGTCAAGGATTATTATTATTATCATTATTATTATCATTATTCTAACCTTGTCCGCTCCTCGGGTTCTCGCTGTTTCAGATCATGCTGTCGCCCGATGCCCGGAACACGGCCTGGCTCTCGTTCGACGGGAGAAAACGTCAGGAAATCTGCCACGGGGACAGGTAAGTGGTATCAAGGTGCTGAAGAGCAGGAATGGAAGCTGAGCCAAGGGGCGAGGGAGACCCAACTTGCACGTGAGCCTTGCTGAAGTCAATGAGTTTTTGTCGAGACTTTCAGCTATTAAACTCGCAGTAAATATACCGCTTTAGAGTTCCAGTGCGCAAGGGGCTTGACCCAGGAAGTGGCTGAGATTCTTCTGGCAGATGTAGACTCGGTGGCATCTGAGCTCGGCTGTTTAGGAGTGAAACTTTTTCACACAAAGGATAGTGGGAATCTGGAACTCTCTCTCTCTTTTCTCTGCCCCCCCAAATGTTCAAGTCTGAGGAGGACAGATTTTTGTTAGGTCAGGGTATCAAGGGATATATATGGCAATCGCGGATAAATGGAGTTGAGGTACAGATTAGTCATGATCTAACAGAATGGCGGAACAGGCTCGAGGGGTTGAATGGCCTCCTCCTGTTCCTATGAGATGGTCGGTCAGTGTGTTCTTCTGGAAAGAGGAACTCTTTGCCCTGATCTGGGCCCGATGTCAATAAGGTGACAGTGTTCGTTGCTACTCTATGATTTTAATTTAGCTTTAAGGCACAGAATACAGGTGGAAATATGCTGAGGAGAGTAACCAGGATAATTCTGGTCATTCTTGATGGGGAATCCATAATAATAATAATCCTGGCATCTAATACAGCGCCTTATCTTCAAGACGCCTCAAAGCGCTTCACATTAGATTGATTTGTGGAATTCGTGGGCGAAACGCGGCAGCCAATTTGTCCCACAAACAGTTACCGGGAATTCGAGAAATACCAGAAAAGGGAAAGTATAAAGATATTAACAGTTTCTATAAAAATAATTCCTAACCGCTCAGCTTGTTTATTTTGATGCCGATCACAAATTTATGCTCTCTAGTTACTGACAGTTTTTCACAACTGGGTTTTTCACCCCCTCGTCTCTCTCTCTCTCTCTCTCTCTCTCTCTCCCCTTCCCCCTCTCTGTCCCCTCTTCCCCCAATTCCCTTTACAGCATCACCATCACCACCTCCTGTTATCCCGTCCCATCCATATGCTTCAGGGACCCTGTGAACGACTGGTTCGAGAGCCTGGCTGAATGTTTGCACTGGAACGTGAGGAAAAGGCAAAGTCACTTGACTGACGTTGAGGACTACTGATCAATGAGGGGGCGGAAGCAGTGTTTTTTGCCAGGCCAGAATTCCCGCTCTTTAATCCCAGCCTCAACAACCCACCTCCACCACCTCTTGACTCTACTGAACATTCCTCAATATTGGAAGAACTGATTGTTTTGCCTGCGTGCCTTGAAGTGTTAACAAAACTACCCCTCTTTTTCGTAAATGTACATTTTAACTGTCTTGCGTCGCGCGTTAAGAGTCCCAGACCCACGGGTACATATCCGAAACATGTTACAGCGTTTGCTGCTATGACCTTTATTACGTTTTTAAAGCCAAGGTCAAGGCGATAGCACTTGAAATCGAGAGGTTTTCGTATTCAGAAAACGCAGGTTTTTAAATACTTAGCGTTCGGGTTTATGTGTTTATGAGCGTTAATTCAAAAATATCAAAATGGTTACTTTCATTCCACCCGCCCCCCCACCCACCCGCCCACCCAAGTCTTCCAGTTAACCTTCACCCCACCACCTCCCCCACACACACGCACACACTCACGTGTACACACCCACACAGACCTGATTATTGGTGATCACTGTTACTAAAGTGGTGATCTGCACAGCTTTAAATCTAATATATACACACACCCATATACATGTAATATACTGTATATAAATATACACATATCCAAAACATACAGACCTACATATATTCCACATATATAGGGGAAATGTGGGCTGTGATAATTATTATATAGCACATGCTTCCCCACGTATACCACACACATGTATATTTTGTATATATATATATATAAATATACACATATATATGTACATTCTATATATAATGTCTGCGTGGGTATGTATGCATATGGCATATGTATTGCATGCACATCCAAAACATTCACTCAAACCTACATCTTGTAGCTCAGTGGGTTGAGCACCAAGCTGGGGCTCTCAGAGGATTGTTGGTTCAAATCCCGGTGGCTCCACTCTACTGCGAGAGGGGTCAGGGGAGTGACTGGTAAATTGAGCTGACTCCCAAGTCACAAAGTTGGCCTGTCATAATCCCAAGTGTTGCTGTGCGTGTTGACCAGCTTGGCTGTCTTGTTAACAAGATATGGATGTGTCCTCGGGTTATTATTATTGTTAATAATAATAATCCTTGCATATTCGGTTAACATTCCAGCCCCGCACTGGAGAGCGTGCTTAAGCTGTGGGCTTTAGGTCCTAATGTGGGGATTTGAACCCACAACCTTCAGACCCACGAGCGAAAGTGCTACCAACTGAGCCAAGCTGACCCACACTTAGACTCATATTGATTGCCTAACTCCGGCTGTGTTTTTTTTGGGGGGGAGGGAGGGGGGAAGAATTCATGAAGTTTACGTGTCTCATTCCTGTCCAGTGGGATTGGGTATGAATGAGGACCCTTGCTAGCTCATTTATTGTGCTATACATGTGCACTACAATACTTAATTTAAAGTTTGGATCTGTCTTTCGGATGGTACTAATCTCACCTTGATCTTTCCAATGGCTTATTTTGCGATTTTGCACGTTTCCATTTATGTGAGGTAGAATCCATGGTGTGTGCGTGTGCGCGTGTGCGTGTGTGTGTGTGTGTGTGTGTGCGTGTGCGTGTCTGTGTGCCTCCCATTCCTGGGACAAGGTAAAGCGTTCTCCCTTAACACCAACGTGGGTCTAATTTGTAGGGTTTCTTTCTTAGCATGAAATGTGCTAATTTGCGCTATTTCTTAACCCGGCGTTGCTCAATAAGGGATACATGAGTAGGCGAACTTCTAAGATGTGAAATGCCGACACCCGTTCGATATCGCAACGGGATATTTGGGCGTTTTGTTATTATTTTGCGATCCTGTTAAGAAATGCCGCAATTTAGACCTGAAGGTTCGCTATTATATTATATTTACACAGCGCCTTTCACATCGGGAGTATGTCCGCTCCCTCCGCTCAGCTGCTCCAAGTCCCCCCCCCCCACCCCACCAGCAGCCTTCAGCCTCTCTGTCCCCAACCTTTGGAAACCCCATCTCACAGTCCCGTCACCTCGCTCCCTCCCTTGCCTCCTTCAAGGCTCGTCTCGAGACCCTCTTCTTCGACCGCACCATTGGTCAGCCTCCTGCCCCCACCCTCGTCGCTCTCCACCCTTCCTGATCCCAACCCCCAAATCCCTGGGACGTCTTCTCGACGTGAAAGGTTCGGTACAAATGTAAGTTGCCATTGTCCCAAGGCGCTGGACAGTCAGGGATTTGTACACAGATGGGTTTGGGCCCACATTTCCACCCGGGTCTAAAATGACGCATCTTAAAGCGTCCAGAATTTGGCAAATTGTTGAACTGTGCCTTAACTTTGACGTCGTTTTTTTTTCTTTCTGTGGGTCTTAAAGGAAACTTACAGGGTGAAAAAAAAAATGCCTTCAGAATTAAGGCCGTGCTTTTAAGAATCTGCCGTCCTAAATTCTGGATGTCCTAAAATGTGACATAAATCGAGAGTAAATCTATTCCCAGGTTGAATTTCTCCCCAACAGATGTGTCAGTTGTACTGTACTGAACTGCTTCTTTGTAGTAATAATTATAATAATCCTTGCATTTTATATAGCGCCTTATCACATCGCTGAGGCATCTCAAAGCGCTTCACAGAATGTACTGTAAAGTGACTGTGTACTTCTTTAGAGTAAAACATGGGAACAAAGATTAACTTATTTTCCAAAGGTTTGCTGGTTGAAACCTCTTCACACAGTGACAGTTTAGTGACCTGTACAGAGGGCCATACTTGTCACACATTCCTATCCCGATGGATTAAATGTAATACAGAATTTCGATTAAAAAAAGTAAACTCTTTAAATAAATTACAGTTTTGCTTCTACAAGGGATTGTTATCTCCCCACTGCCGAACCGAGGCCATTATTTCTGTTTAATATGATCTACACAATGTCCTTTATTGTTCGTGCAAATCAGAAGGACTCTTGAGTAATGTCGCTATTCATTTAGGTCAATTTAACTCTTCTTTAAATAGAACTGGGCGTAAATTTCACTGCCCATTTTTTTCAGGGGCTCCTTGTATAATGGGAGAATTGTTGAAGATTGCATAGTTTTTTTGTTTTAAGTGTATTAAAACTACCTGCCTTTGTTCAATGAAAAATAATAACCCTTGCAGTGGATATGGCGCCTTATCTCGTCTTCGAGACATCTCAAAGCGCTTCACAGAACAAACTGTAAAGTGAATTGACTGTGTGTGTGTGTGTGTCTATATATATATATATATATTATATATTAATTGTTGGACCTGTGCAGTTTTATTCTCATTTTTCTACTGAAACGTAAAGAAAAGAAAATGTCTTGTAAATGTTGGAACTGTTATCTTTTGCCTACGGTGATACGGATGAATGTCTTTCAATCTTTATTGTGCTCTCAGACTATGTTTCCATTTGATTATCATGGTGTATTTATAGTGAGTGTGTGACTTAACAGCAAGTTAGAAATTCCCTGAACCCACAAGGGCACAGGAGAGGTTCAGACAAAGAAAACCCTGTGGTCTTTGGTCCATTTAACCTCATTTAACCTAAGTGGAAATGTGGAACTCACTTCCCCCAAAAGGTTGTGGATCCTGGAACCATTCGAAGTTTCAAGACTAAGATGGATAGATTTTTGTTAGGGAAGGATATTCAGGGATATGGGACAAAGGTAGATAAATGGAGTTGAAGTGCAGATCAGCCGTGATCTAACAGAATGGCAGAACACGCTCGAGGGGCTGAATGGTCTACTCCTGTTCCTATATTCCAATACTCCTTCCAAAGCACTCGCCCACCAGCCTTCGCGTGAGCTGGTTTTTGGCAACGATCTGAATTGAATCTCTCCCCATTTCCCCTTCCGTGTCTTCAGTGATTTTTTTTTGGGGGGGAGTGGGGGTGAACTTAGTAACAAATGGAATGATAGCTTGCACAAGGCAAAGATTCTTAACACTGAACTTTGAACTAACCTTTGTACAAAAGAAAAGAAAATTGATATTGGTCGACCCTTCGCTGAAAATCTATACGTAGGATACTATTTTTCAAATCTTTTACTAAATAAATTAATGAGTTTTGTACAACAAGGCTGCATTGTGTTGATTTAGCAGGTTGTGGAAGTGAAGTTAGTGGCAGACCTGTCTTTGACACCAGTACAAAGGAGTTGTTCTGAACTCAATCCTCTCTATCGTCGCTCCTGCCAGTGACAGATTTATTTTTCTTAAGGACACAATTCCGCCCTGTATTAACTTTTATAAGACCAACGAACGGTCTTAATAATAATAATAATAATAATAATCCTTGCATTTGATATAAGCGCCTTATCACGTCGTTTGGACGTCTCCAAGCGCTTCACAGAATATATTGTGAAGTGAAGTGACTGTGTATTTTGTGGGTGAAGCCCGGCAGCCAATCGCCCACAGCAGTGTCCCACAAACAGTCGTGGATTGAGTGACCACATGTTTTTTTTGGAGGGGAGTGATTACTGTAAGGGTTAATTTATATTCATGACTCTGCAGCGACGTAAGGACTGACACAAATGCTGTACTATTAATTCAGATTAATAATGGTAATAAGTAATTAAAAGAATACATCCAATTATGCTTACGTATCCAGCTATATACTATAGTTCACAATGATTTAAGTCGATCAAACCAAATCCTGCGGGAGAGATAGAGGAGCGATGTCCAATTTAATGTGTGCTTTTGAATCCAAATATAGGTCCATCAAAAGGTATCCCAAATATTGTTGTACGGTTCCCAGTTCGATATCACCCAATCCAGGTATTATTATTATAATTTGGAAAAACAAAGGCACCGCCGCTCTCTCTCTCTCTCTCTCCAGCTGCAGACCATTTACCCATTAGAAAATGACTGATAAGGAATGAAAAGAGTTTGTTTATAAACGGTCTTGGGTGGTTTCTCCTCCTCGAGCAAGGATCTTCTTCGAAGCTTGTCACAACCAGCTCCCCTCATATCAGATTGATCACGTGTAAAGTATGTAAATGTTGCCAATATAATTTGAGATATTATTTAACACGTTAATTACAGAAATCCTACATTATTACACCCCAGAAAGTGATCCGCAATCGACTAACAACCGGGTTTCTAGTTGCTGCTAGGGAAACAGAGGGGTGTGGAATAAGGAAACTTGCCCGAGATTTCACCCTGCCCCGAGGATCGAACCCGGGTCCCCCTCGCTTGTGAGGCGAGGGTGCTAATCACTTCACTATGGGACTCGGTATCTAGAATTCTGATACAACATTCCCTCCGCCTGAAAACATTTTGTCCCACCTCCCTCTGAACTCTTCTCGTGATAACACTGAGCTTATCTGCGGCAGATGTGTGTGGAATCCAGGGGAACTTGTACGTCAATTGAACTGGGACAAACCTTTTCTTTCGACTCTTTTTTTTCGCTCAGCCGGGTGTCTGACATATGCAGAAACCCATCCCGATGTTTCAGAGCAAGCTGAGGTTTCCGTGCATCCCACCGAGACATGGAAATCCCAGAGATAGATTGTTGGACTGGAATGCGCTCTCTCTCTCTCTCGCTCTCTCTCTCTCTCTCCCGGGATGCATCCTGCTTACCTAATTCTGGAACGTGTTAGGCGCAGATTGGCGAGAGCCAAGATCCGGCGAAACTCCCAAGTGTGTGGTTGCCTTTCATCCCGAAGCTCCCACACCACGATTAGGTGAGGTTCAAATTCTCCACACGTTACAAGTCGTTTCGAACACGATTTTTATTTTTAAAATATTTTCTGGCACAGGTTAAAAAATACAATACATAACTTCTCATCGGTTATGTATCCCTCTGGGGGGGGGAGGTGACCGTAAGCACGATCAAAAAGGAAGGTCTTTAGGCGGGATTTGAAGGTGGGGAGGGAGGGGGCAAGGTGGAAGGAATCGAGACTTAAACCCACACCTTAAAGTGCACTGACTTTTGGAATCTTTAGGATCTGATTTGCGAGATTTCCAAAGGGATTTGTAAACAGCACATCCCGGCCAATTACTCAGATCAAAAGCTTCGCTTGAACGTGACCTTGTGTTCAGGCGCCAGGAAACCGTGAGCGGAGTTAGGGAACCGTGAGCCTCAGGCACAAATGCAAGGATTATATCAATGGGCGTCTGTAACTCCCACGATTCAGACCTCTTCGGCAAAGTCTAACCAAAGGTTTTGGGGCAAATATCCGATCCCCTTAAATGATCCTCAACCCATGTAGTAGCAATGGAAAGTGTCTTATTATGTTCTCTAGGACAATTAGCGGGATTAGCAACAGAAGCATTTTGCTGTTAAACAACTACCACCTGATTTCATCACTGAGACCGACAATTCAGCACTTGAGAGGGAATGTTTGGCACGAATCGGTTCCTGTGACGGATTGGACCTAAGAGGAACAAAGGTTATATTCAAGACCAATTTATAATAATGATGGTAATAATCCTTGCACTTGATTGCGTTGCTCCTTATTGTTGAGACGTCTCAAAGCGCTTCACCTTTGTTGTTGTTGAGACGTCTCAAAGCGCTTCACCGAATGTATTGTAAAATGGATTGACTGTGCATTTTGTGGGTGAAATGCAGCAGCCGATTGCGCACAGCAGTGTCCCACATACAGTCAATGGATTGAATGACCACTTTTTTTTTAAGGGATTATTACCGCAGCTAAGCGATCCGCCAATCGACTAACAACTGGGTTCCTGCTTACTGCTGGGTAAACAGAGGCGTGCGGAGTAAGGAAACTTGCCTAAGATTTTGCCCCGCCGGGAATCGAACCCAGTGCTCTCGCTTGCAAGATGAGGGCGCAAACCACTGAGCTGTGGGGCTCCACGTATTTTACACGTATACAGCGCTATAGAAACACAAGTTATTGGAAGGCCTACTAACACTTCTAGCTATCAACAACAACAACGACGACGACGACAGCAAATGACTTTCTTATAGCGCCTTTCATGTCGGGAGAACATCCCAAAGTGCTGGATAGTCGGGGATTTGGACCTGACCAGGCAACATCACCAGCAGAGAGATGCAGCACTGATTATCTGTCAGTAAATCCTAAAAAGCACTTTGCAATGTTTTGACAACGGCACTAAATGAAATGAAATGAAATGGAATGGATCGCTTATTAATTCAAATCAGCAGAAGTAATTGGTGAGGAACCAATGCCCCCTCGTGGCTAACAAGGGCAAAGGCTGCACAAGTCACAAATCGTTTTGTCGTTCCACCAACAGAGGGTACCTGACAAAGAATAAGAAAGAGTAATCTGCACTCACCCTCGAGGTTATCCTGGGATTACGTATTTGTCCCCTCCGCGGAAGTAAACACTAGGGAACAAGAGGGAGAAAAGCAGATCGGAGAGTTAGGGAGGTGCCAGAGCATGAAGGGATTTGAAAACGAGTGTGAGGATCCACACACACACACACACACACTCTGACCGTAAAAGTGCTGACTTACCCCTCCTCAGCTCATGTTCAAAGGATCTGACGAACTTGACCACAGACCAAAACAGTCCGACCTTAATGCCGACTGAGATCACAGTACCAGTCACCGTCCCAGCTTCCAGCACGCAGCTGCCTTTGCAATCCCATTTGTCAATAACCTTAGTGGAACAGGTAAGAGACGGATGCAAACGCAGTTTAAACTCCATAAAATCACCTCAAGAACAGAAGGAAATTTATCATCATTTGGCCACTCAATCCACGGCTGTCTGTGGGACGCCGCCGTGCGCAATTGGCTGCCGTGTTTCTCCCACAAAATATATAGTCAATTCACATTGCATTACATCCTGTGAAACACTTTGAGACGTCTCGAAGGCGCTAGACTAAAAGGATTATTATTTTTAAGGCCACAGTCACTTCACCGCGTTTCATATCATAGAATCACGGAATCATATAGCACAGAGAGAGGCCATTCGGCCCATCGTGTCTGCGCTGGCTCCGAAAAGAGCAATCCAACTCAATCCCACCGGCCGCTTTCTCTCCATAGCCCTGAATCCTGTTCCTCCCCAAATACCCATCTACTTCTCTCTTAAAAGTTGTTATTGAATCGGCTTCCACTACCATTTCAGGTAATGCATTCCAGATCCGAACAACTCGCTGGTGAAAACATTTTCCTAACCTTCCCCTCTGTTTCTTTTAACAACTAACTTAAATCGGTGTCCTCGGATTACTGGCCCACATGCCAGTGGAAACAGTTTTTTCCGGTTCAACCTATCGAATCCTCTCATGATCTTGAAAACCTCTATTAAATCCCCTCATAATCTTCTCTGCTCCAGGGAGAATAATCCTAGTTTCACTAACCTCTCCTCATAGCTAAGGTCCTTCATATCGAGGAGAATTTAGGAAAATTCTTAAATTCGGTCTTACTTTATTATTATTTTTTATATATTGATATTAATAATAATAATCCTTGCATTTGATATAACGCCTTATCACGTCTTTGAGACGTCTCAAAGAGCTTCAAAGAATATACTGTAAAGCGAATTGACTGTGTATTTTGTGGGAGAAACGCGGCAGCCAATTGCGCACAGAGGAGTCCCCACAAACAGTCGTGGGTTGAGTGACAGATTTTTTTTGAAGGGTTTATTATCCGCAGAAAGTGATCCCCTGATCGACTAACAACCGGGTTCCTACTTACTGCTCGGTAAACAGAAGCGTGTACGTGGAGTAAGGAAACTTGCCTAAGGTTTCGCCCCATCCGCCCGGGTATCTTAACCCGGGTCTTCTCAGTCCTCAAGCCATACAACAGGACTCCACAGCATCATCATAATAATATTGTTAGAGCAACAAAACACAGCATTAAAGGCATACTGACCACGTATAGCAGGTAGCACAGGTAGACCAACTCCGGCACATTCAATATCATGAAAGCCCACGCGAGGACCTTCTTCTCCTTTAAGATCTGTCCCAAAGGAAGAGCCTCATTAAAGTTCAATCTGTCCTGAGTTAAAACCCAGCAGATAGTTAGTTTATTATTGTAATTATCATTAACCCTGGATCAGTCGGGCCGTTTTGCGTTCCCTCTAGCATATTTCCCCACCCCCCTGGCTCGGTGTCGGGATCCGCTACTGCCAAGCAGTCCGAGAAGTTGGCCATTGTGTGCATGCTACTCCCAGGAAGGTGGAAGGCTTGGACCTTGTTTTTCTTTTAATCGTCTAGCATTTCTTACGTTCCTATTGTACTTACGGCTCTAAGGCCAATGGCCGCCTTTAGAAATGCCCAGAAGATTCCCACGCCCAGGATAACGTAGTGCACTGTCGAGATCCGATTGACTCCCGCAGTCAAGAACAAGACACACAGGCATAGCTGGGTTGGGCAACAACAACAACAACAACAACAAAATTACATTTATAGAGCGCCTTTCACGTCGGGAGGACGTCCCAAAGCGCTGGACAGTCAGGTGTCGGGGCCCGAGCATGGGGGAGGGGTGGTGTACGGGTGAGGGAAGGTAGAGAGGTGGGAGGGAGACCAAAGGCAGGGTCGAAGAGAAGGCTCTTGAGATCGGCCTTGAAGGAGGCGAGGGAGGAAGCGAGGCGAAGGGACCGCGGGAATGGAGTTCCAGAGCGTGGGGGGCAGAGAGGCTGAAAGCTCGGCCACCGATAGTAGGGCAGGTCGGGTGGGAGACATGGAGCAGGCCGGAGCCTGATGAACGGAGGGAGCGGGCAGGTTGGTAGGGAGTCAGCAGGTCAGAGAGGTAGGAGGGGGCAAGGCCATGGATGGCCTTAAAGGTGAGGACGAGGATCTTGAACTCGATCCTCTGGGGGATGGGGAGCCAGTGGAGTCGGGCGAGGGTGGGGGTGATGGGGTCACGGAGCCTGGTGCGTGAGAGCACACGAGCTTCAGAGTTTTGGATGATCTGCAGCTTGTGAAGGGAAGAGTTGGGAAGGCCAACGAGGAGGGAGTTCCCATAGTCGAGCCTTGATGTGACGAATGCGTGGGTGAGGGTTTCGGCAGCCTGAGGGGTGAGGCAGTGGCGGAGTCTGGTAATGTTGTGGAGGTGGTGATAGGCAGTGCCAGTCATGGTGCGAATGTGGGGGAGAAAGGACAGTTCAGGGTCAAACAAGACACCCAGATTCCTGACTGGCTTAGTGAGGTTGAGTGTGCAGCCGTGGAGGCTAATGCTGCCAGCGCCCGAGGTGCGGAGGCGCTTGCGTGAGCCAATCAGGAGGGCCTCGGTCTTGCTGACGTTGAGTTGGAGAAGGTTGGCCCTCGGCCAGGACTTGATGTCGGACAGGCAGTCGGTCAGGACGCCAGTAGTCCTGGAGTTCAGGGTGGAGGCGGAGAAGTAGAGTTGGGTGTCATCCGCATACATGTGGAAATTTACCCCATGTCTGCGGATGACGTTACCAAGGAGCAGCACGTAGGGGGTGAAGAGGAGGGAACTGAAGACAAAGCCCTAAGGAACACCGCACGAGACAGTGCGGGGACTGGAGGAGAAGCCGTTTGCCGCGATGAAGTGGAGGCGGTGTGAAAGAGGCAGTGTGAAAGAAAGGGCACAGAGAAAGAGCGCGAGAGAGAGAGGGGAGAGAGGAAGGAAGTGGGGTGAGGCACAGAGAGAGAGAGAGAGGAGGAAGGAAAAGAGAGGGTGAAACAAAGCATAATTCTTTTAGTTCATCTTTTCTTTTGGGCGTGCCAATAAGACATTGATAAATTGATAATAAGGTAGAAAAATAATAATAGTAATGATCCTTGCGTTTGATATAGCGCCTTATCACATCATTGAGACGTCTCAAAGCGCTTCACAGAATTTACTGTAAAGTGTATATGTATAACTGAGTTAATTTCACCCCATTAACTCCCGTTTCGGGCAATGACAGTCCATTTCGTTGTCCTTCCACTCACCCCAAACCACCCCTTTGACAGGTCGATCTCATCACTTGCGGAACCTTTTTACTTGCGGGAACGAAGCCCGGTTCTATCTTGAAACCCTTTACAGTTCCTTCTCCCACCATCTCTGCTGCCACTTCCTGCTTCATTTCCCAGATCGCTTTTATTAAACACAAATATCTTTTTCCCGCACTTTCCAGCCACTTGTGTGGTCTTTGCTTGAAAGGTATGCCATTTGTTTGTGCGTTTTCGCAGTGTTTCACCCACAAAACAGTCAATCCACTTCACAATAAATCTCAACCATGTGATACCACTATCAAGTATCAAATGCAAGTATTATTATTTTCAATGAGGCAGATTGTTGGTTGGGATACTGGGAGAAATTCCCTTCCCTTTCACAGAATCTTTAATGCCCTAGGCTTAATGCCTTATCGGAGAGAGGGAGAGAGAGAACTAACACTAAATATATAGTCCCTGCAATAAGACCACAAACAGGATATGGCTACTTCCTCTTCAATATCATCATATGCAAGCAATACCTTAATGTTAATAACGATAATAGTTAATATAGACCATAATAAGCTGTTTTATCTTGTACTGAACAGTAGAACCAGAAGACAAGGGCCTGCGGGGAGGTAAATTCAGAACAAATATGTGAAAACACTACTTCAGTGAGCTCTAAACTTAAGGAACAGGTTGCCTAGGGAGACGCTAGAAGCAGAAAGTGTTCTAAGAACACATTAGATAGATTTCTGCTGGAAAATAATATCTCGGGATACAGTATATAGTTTGAGACACATGTCAAACAACTGCCAGGATGGTGGAAGGCGAACTAGATGGACCTTGGTCTACTTTCACTAGCAAATTCATATGTTCTTATAATAATAATAATCCTTGCATTTGATATAGAACTGTTCACGTCTTCTCGACGTCTCAAAGCGATTCACAGAATATGCTGTAAAGTGAATTGACTGTATATTTGTGGGCGAAACGCGGCAGCCAATCAATTGCACACAGCAGCGTCCCACAAACAGTCGTGGATTGAAAATGATTTATTTGACAATGACAATTTATTTCCTTATGTCCTTGAATTCAATTTAGCATCTTATCACGCCGTTGAGAGGTCTCAAAGTGCTTCACAAACTATATATTGTAAAGTGAGTTGACTGTGTATTTTGTGGGCGAAACGCGGCAGCCAATCAATTGCGTACAGCAGTGTCACACAAACAGTCGTAGATTGAGTTGATAGTAACCTGTAGGTTGGGGGTCAGTTGGGCCATATTCTACGAGTGTTTTGAGACGTCTCAACAACGTAATAGGTCACTGCACTATTAAGGATTATTATTATTATCCTGAGCGCTCACCGAGCACAAGAATTGAATGCAGACAAACCCTTTCCCGGGAAGATGGAATGAGCCATGGATGTTAAGCCCCCTTCCCCACTCAATGTGGGTCAATAGCTACAGACTGCTTTATGGGCATAGCTCCCCCTGCCTCCCCGCCTTCCTCCCTCATCGCCCCATGTACTTGGACTTAGGTTACCTATTGTACTTTCAGCCCCCGCCCGCCCCCACCCCACCCCACCCCCCCCAGTCACCCCACCCAACCCAGTAGCTACAGAGTGAAGAGAGAAGGCACCAAGATTGGAACGGTACCTGGCCTTGGAGGTCAAACGTCACCAAGGAAGAGCACAGGTTCTTCATCCAATAGAGCGACTGTGATTGCTCGTACGCTCCACTCACCCGGAAAGCCATCATGTTAAGGCTACACATCAGCCACAGGGCACAGACGATGTCGATAAATCCGACAACGATAAGGAACCAGAAGCGGATCTGCAAACAGCAACGCAGCGTTAATACAGGGCTCTCCATTAACACAGGGCTTGGCTGTGGCGCCAAATGAGATGCAACTCAGCCACGCCTACACGGCGGGCTCGCTCACCTCAAAGTCTGCTCTTTCCTCTGGGGTGGCGACGGCAAAGTTCACCACGGAGCGAATCATCACAAAAAGCACGGAGGCAACAAAGGCCCCCAACTCCTGCTGGTTCTCCTGGAAGATGCCACGAACCACATAGTAACAGCAGAAGACTGGGCAGTGAGCAGCAGAGAGGCAATGGGATTAGCATCAGGAGCGAGCACAGCAAATCATAATTGCCCTATAATCCTAAACATCATCAACAACAACAATAAATGAAATTTACACGGCGCCTTTCACATCGGGAGGACGTCCCAAGGCATTGGACAGTCAAGGATTTGGACCCGAACTGTGGGTTGGGATCAGGAGGCCAGGGGGGGATGGGAGGGGCGCAGGGAGCGTGGGGGTAGGAGGGTGAGTGAAGGAGCAGTCGAAGAGGAGGATCTTGAGACGGGCCTTGAAGGAGGCAAGGGAGCAAATCCTCAAACCACACCATATGAACTTGGACGAGGTGTGGGAGGGAGCAAAACAATAACAACAACTTGCATTTATATAGCGCCGTTCACTCGGGGCAGTGTCTCAGAGCGCTTACGGGGTGGAGCCAGGGGGGCGCGGGAGGAGGTGACCGTAAGCACAGTCAAAGAGGAAGGTCTTGGGAACACTATAGTGTGCATGGGGGGTAACTACTGGAGTCTTACAAGCTAAAACCGCATAGTTTGCCATTGATAGCAATGTCTGGCTATATTTGCCCGCTGCTTGTCCAGCTAGGACCATCCTGGGTCGAAGAAGAAGGACAACAAAGAGTGGAAAGGACAACAAAGTGGTGAAGTTTTACCTATTCCAATAGCCTGTATGATAGAGATGGGGGAGTCTGTCAATTCCTGCAACGAAATACTGTAAATTGTGAGAACGAAGGCAACCAGAGCAGAAACGATAGCAAAACAGAAATAAATCTTCACAGGTACAGACAGCTCCGCCCAGGCCTTTCTCTGAAAGAGAAAAGAACAAAAAATTGTTTTGTTTTGGAGTAACGGTGTGAGATTACAGTGAGAGCGAGCACGAGACAGAGAAATACTTTTTTTTGTGGGAGAGGTCAACCGGGTTCTCTGACACCAGCAGAAACCCATCACCATACTTAGGAGTATCCAAACCAGGCTGAGAATTTCATGCATCCCACCTACACATGGAAATTTCAGAGACAGATTGTTGGAATAGAATACACTCTCTCTCTCTCTCTCTCTCTGGAGGAAAATCTCCACATATATACAGTCAATTCACTTTACAGTGTGTTCTGTGAAGCGCTTTGGGACGTCCTCCCGACGTGAAAAGCGCTATATCAAATGCAAGGATTATTATTATTATCTCACCTAATTCCATTTTTAATCATTAGCATGTGATATCAAGCTGTTTACCTCAAAGGTGCTGTATAAAATGCAAGGATTATTATTATTATTACTACTATAATTATTTGAAATCCTTCAATCTGCTCATCCCTTAAGCTTCTCCGTTCTGAGGAATTTAGCCCAGCTTTACCCTGGCCTCGAAAATAAAATAATAATAATAATAATCCTTGCATTTAATACAGCGCCTTATCACGTTGTTGAAACGTCCACATTTTTGAGGGGAGGGATTATGGATTAATACCCCAGAAAAGCGATTCACCAATCAACTAACAACTAGGTTCCTACTTACGGGTGGGTAAACTGAGGTGTGTGGAGTAAGGTTTCACCCTGCCAGGAATCAAACCCGGGTCCTCCGACTTGCGAGGCGAGTGCTCTAACCAGCAAGGTACGGGACTTCCACAAGCATAAAAAGTTAAGTTGTTGTTGTTGTAAAAGTGGTAGCGGGTGCACTGAGCAGGTACTTACTGGGCCACATGGTGTTTGGATCAGTTCACAGTGTCGAGGTCTCAGGTTCGGTAACAAAACGTCATTCTCACCAGTGCAGTCAGGCCTCACGCTCTCCCTTTGAAAGGAAATGCTAATGATATCAAACTGTTTCTAAATCGACAAAACAACTCCCCTTTTTCTATGTATAATAATAATAATCCTTGCATTTGATATCCTTGCACTTTTCACGTCGGGAGGACGTCCCAAAGCGCTTCACAGAACACACTATAAAGTGAATTGACTGTATATTTGTGGGCGAACGCGGCAGCCAATTGCGCACAGCAATGTCCCAATTTATTAATAAATTATTATTATTATTAATAATATTATTGTATATACAAACAATCAACAACAACAAATGATATTTACACAGCGATCTTTCACATCGGGGAGGACGGCCCAAGGTGCTAATCAGCAAAGAATGTGCGCCTGAGCTAAGGGCTGGGATCAGGTGGGGTGGAGAGCAGGTAAGGTGGGGGGTTAGGAGGGTGACCGAAGACGTTGTCGAAGAGGAGGGTCTGAGAGGTGCCTTGAAGGAGGCGAGGGAGGGAGTGAGGCAAAGGAACTGTGGGATGGAATATCAAAGGGTAGGGGCGGAACTGGGGGGGCAGAGGGGCTTCAGTTCACCCCACCAACGTAAACCTTGGGGAGGTGCAAGTATGTTTACACCCCTGTCCCCATTCTAAAGAGCTTCCGCCGCCTATGCACTCACGAACATAGGAACAGGAGGAGGCCATTCAGCCCCTCAAACCTATTCCGCCACTCTATTAGATCATGGCTGATGTGTACCTCAACTCCATTTACCCGCCATTCCTGTATATCCCCTTGATACCCTGACCTAACAAGTATCGATCCACCTCAGTCTTGGAAATTTAACAAACCGACACACGCCCACAGCATTCAAGTAAAACTTTTTAAAAATTAATTAAAATTAAAAAATTAATTCATAAGAAGAAAGAATTTGACCACTCAGTCCACGACTGTTGATGGGACGCTGCCGCGCACAATCGGCTGCCGCTTTTCGCACACAGAATGCACAGTCGATTAACTTTACAGTGACTTCTGCGAAGCGCTGTGAGACGTCTCAAAGACGTGATAAGGCGCTGTGTATCGAATGCCAGGAATATTATTATTATTATTATTATTATCCAAACGGTTTCTTTTACAAAGACACGGTGCAGCCCAGCGACTTGTGTTTACAAGTCAGGACAGGAAGATGAAATGAAATTAGAGATCAGTCTGTGAAGCATGACACACATTAAAGCAATAACAAACCACTGTAGTGACTGGGTCTGGGATGTATCCTCTCCTGGGACTCCTGAGTGTAAAAGACACACCCTGACTTCACAGAAAGTAAAACTTATGGACTTACCAGAAGTTGCCCAACAATTACTTGTTGCTAAAAGTTGGGGGTAATGTCAGTTTGGATGTGAAAAAAAATAAACCCTTTAGTGACTCTGAACGACCATTACTCCTGGATGCAAACCAAGACTTTTTTTTATCAGGTTTTACACTGCAGAACTGATCACTAACTCATTACAACAAGTCTCTCTAGAGGTGTTCTCACACACACTAAACAATCCAACTCTTTATGTATTTTTTTGGGGGGTGGGGGGGGGGGGGTGGGGAGAGGGAGAGGGAGAGGGTTGGGGAATTTTGGAGGCTTTATTCTTTGCAATCTGTCTGGAAATAAGAAATAAGTATGTTATTTCTTTCTTTCTTTCTTTCTTTCTTTCTTTCTTTCTTTCTTTCTTTCTCTTTCGATTTTAATGTGTGCTCTGTGAACAAATACTGATATTGCCCAAGACACACACAGACAGGAATAGAGAGAGAAAGAGGGAGAGAAAATATGCATTGGTTGGTTTAACACAATTTCCCCTGCACTCTCTCTCTCTCTCTCTCTCTCTGCAACGTATCAATGCAATGACAGGGCACACACTCACCTGTCCTCGTTCATCTTCAGGTCCACCTGTATCCTACAGTCAATATCCCTGTCCCCAAACCCAGTGCCTCCTCAAACCAGATCACATCCGGACTATAAATCCAGTCTGCGTCATTTCCACCAATTCACAAGTTTATTTTCATGTGTTTGGCACAAGAGGAAGTTTTTTTTTATAAAATGTTAAAAAAAATTGGATAGAAAAATAACGTTTTCACTCCTGAGGATAAATAATGCATTGTCCCACTTCCACCGAAAGCAAATACTCTTATCTCCCAACCAGTTTCTCTTAATGTGCTGCACACACAAAACGCATTGCAGTATTTTTTTAAGGAGGTAGTAATAATAATAATAATAATAATAATAAGAAGAAGAATCCTTATATAATAATTCTTATATGAACCTTAGGCAAGTTTCCTTACACCACACCCCTCTGTTTACCTAGCAGTAAGTAGGCGCCCAGTGGTTAGTCGATTGGCGGATCGCCTTCCGGGGGTAATAATCCCTTCAAAGAAACAAATAAATACTAATAATTTGGTCACTCAATCCCCAACTGTTTGTGGGACACTGCGGTGCGCAATTGGCTGTTTCGCTCACACAATATCCACTTTAATCCGCTTTACATTATTCAGTGAAGCGTTTTGATGACTGATGAAGGCGCTATATCGAATGCAAGGATTATTATTATTATAGTATAACGTCATATTAAGTCGCTAAATCATCTCAAAGGGTAAAGTCTAGCCACTGCGTCTAGCCACTGTGTACAGGTGGAGTCCTGTAGCTCAGTGGTTAGAGCACTCACTTTGCAAGTGAGAGACCCGAGTTCAATTCCAGGCAGAGGGCGAAACCTCGGGCAAGTTTCCTTACTCCACACAGAGTCTAATAATAATCCCTCCAAAAAAAATAAAACAATAATAAATTGGTCATTTTCAATCCATGACTGTCTGTGGGACATTGCTGTGAGCAATTGGCTGCCGCGTTCGCCCACAAATATACAGTCAATTCACTTTACAGTATATTCTGTGAAGTGCTTTGGGACGTCGAGAAGACGTGAAAAGCATTATATCAAATGCAAGGATTATTATTATTATTATTTTGTAGGCAAACATAGCAGCCAACTTGTGCACACGAACGTCCCACAAACAGTGGTGAAATGACTTGAACCCTCAACCTTCTGGTGATGGTGTGGATTTCTTTCTTATAAGAATAATAATATAATCCTTGCATTTTGACATAGCACATTATCGAGAATTCTCAAAACGCTTCACAAAATATACCGTGTATACCCTATCCTTCTACCCCCACCCTCAACTCCAGGACCACTGCTGCCCTGACAGACTGTCTGTCGGACATCAAGTCCTGGATGAGGGCAAACTTCCTACAGTTGAATGTGGACAAGACTGAGGCCCTCCTGATTGAATCACGCCAGCGCCTCAGCACCTCAGGCTATGGCAGCATCAACCTCCATGGTTGCACACTACAACTCACCAGCCAGTCAGGGACCGAGTATCTTGTTCGACCCTCAACTGTCTTTTCTTCCCCACATTCAAGCCATGACCCGCTCTGCCTTCTCTCACCTCCGTAACATCGCCCAACTCCACCACTACCTCACCCCTCAGGCCGCTGAAACTCTTATTCGTGCCTTCACCTCCAGGTTCGAATATGCAAACGCCCTACTTGTCAGCCCTCCCAACTCCTCCCTCCACAGGTTGCAGATAATCCAGAACTCTGCAGCCCGTGTCCTCTCCCATACCCAGCTCCGTGACCCCATCTCCTCCACTCTCGCCCGACCCTTGGCTCTCTATCCTTCAGAGGATCAAATTCAAAATCCTGGTCCTCATCTACAAAGTCCTCCATGGCCCTCACCCCACCCTATCTCTGTGACCTTCTAACCCTCTTCTCAGCCGGCTCCGACCTGCTCCACTTCCCCCAACCCACCCGCTCCACCATTGGCAGGAGAGCCTTCAGCCACTCTGCCCCCAATCTCTGGAACTCCATCCCCCAATCACTCCGCCTCGCCCCCTCCTTAGCCTCCTTCAAGTCTCGCCTCAAAGCTCTCCTCTTCGACCATGTCATTGGTCACCCCCCTTCCCCTCCCCTCCCATCTCCCCTCTGACCCCAGTTCAGGTCTGAAATGCTGTACACTGTCCCGCGCCTTGGGACGTCCTCCCGGAGTGAAAGGCGCTATACAAATGTAACCTTGTTGTTGTTGTAAATTGACTGTATTGAATCCATAAAATCCAACTCGTTCAGAACTCTGCCGCCCGCATTCTCACCCGCACGAAACTCCACCTGATCCCCCCAGTCCTGGCCAGACTGCACTGGCTGCCTGTCCCAGAGAGGATCGACTTCAAGATCCTCGCCCTTGTCTTCAAATCCCTCCACTCCTCTGCACCCCCCGACCTCTCTGACCTCCTCTCTCCTCAAAACAGTACCTTTTGCCTCCGGGTATGGCCTCCTCCTGGTGCCCCGAGTCCTCCGCTCCACCCTCGGCAGCCGTGCCTTCAGCCACTATGCCCCGAGGCTCTGGAAACTGCCTTCCTCACTCCCTTTGCCTCGTTCCCTCCCTTCCCATTACTTGCAAACACTGCAGTTTATGAGAGTTGCATGTGTTTTAATTTTCGGTCAGCCGGGTGTCAGACAGGAAACCCATCAGCCTGATTAAGAGGAACCAAAAGGTGACCAGGCCAAATCAGAGGGAAGTAGGATTAGATTGTCTCATTATTCGGCAGGCCTGGTGGGCCTCATAATAATAATCCTTGCATTTGATATAGCGCCTTATCACGTCTTCGACACGTCTCAAAGGTGAAATGATGGGTTTCCGTGCTGCAGTATCCGTGATTCTGCAAATCTAAATGTTCCTGTACCTCACAAGCCAGTTCATAGGTAACAGTTCATTTACTAACATTCAGACTCAAAAATCGAGAAGTCGTAAATCCGGTTGGACAAGGTAGGTTGGGTAAGGCATTTCAGTGTTCTTTCTCTGATGATATCATCATTGTTGATATGCTGCAGCCCTGCTAAATGGTGACTGTAGTTATACATTACACTGCTGATAACTAAATCTTGAGAGTGTTGAAATGTTTGATGGAATTTTTATTCCCTTGCACATTTCAGATAATAATAATGCTTGCATTTGATATAGAGCTTTATCACATCGTCAAGACATCTCAAAGCGCTTCACAGAATATACTGTAAAGTGAATTGATTGTATATTTTGTGGCAGATTTCCATGCTGCAGTACTCCGTGATTCTGCAAATCTAAATGTTCCTGTATCTCACAAGCCAGTTCATTTACTAACATTCAGACTCAAAAGTGCAGAAGTCAATTGTGCACAGCAGTGTCCCACACAGTTGTGGATTGAATGACCACATTATTTTTATTTATTTTGAAGGAACTATTACCCCCGGAAAAGCGATCCGCCAATCGCCTAACAACCGGGTTCGTAGCTACTGCTTGGTAAACAGGTGTGTGGAGTAAGGAAACGTACTTAGACCTTTTAATTCCTCACTCATGACTGCAATAAACATCACCAAATGGCTATTCACAATGTCCAGTTTATTGTTTCTGCCTGAAAGGAAGTTTTACTTTCGGTTATAATTGTTTTTTTTCCATTCATAATTTTTTCTTCTCTTCTGTTTCAAGTCCATCCATCCGTCCGAAAATCTCTCAAGGATGTTCCATTTCATTCGTGCCCAGCTGTTCATTTCCCAGTTAAACAAGTAAGGATTCCTTGAATCTCCCTGTTTGTGAACAATGCTCTCCCTTGGAGCAAATCTTGTGTTGCATTAATAACAATAAAAATTCTTCCATTTGATACAGCACCGTTCACGTCAAGAGGACGTTTCAAACACTTCACAGGATTTTCTGTGTTGCGTGTTTGTGGGCAAATGTGGCAACCAATTTGCCCACAATGTCCCACAAACAGTCAGGAAGTGAATGATCAAATAGATTTTTTTCCAGGTGTCTGACACATATGGAAACCCATCACCGTGCTTAAGAGTATCCAAACCAAGCAGAGAATTAAATGCATCCCACTTATACATGGAAATCCCAGAGATAGATTGTTGCAATGGGATGCCACACTCTTGTGGCCAGAACACCGAGGGAGAGAAACCCCTTTCCCTTTTCCAATAGCGCCATGGGATCTTTAGCATGCACTTGAACAGACGCAGATGGAGGTTTGACTTGTAATCAAAAGTCGGGGCCTATGACAAAGTGGCGCTTCGCCCATAGCTTTCACTTCACGGTTGTTTTGGGGGGGACATAGTCGTGCACTGAACGAATCGGGCTACCGCATGTCTGTAGGTGCAGTTGAAGAGGAAGGCTCTGAAGTTGGGGAAGAAGGGGGCAAGGCAGAATGTTCCCGGGCTTTGAGGCGTAGTGGCTGAGAGAGTGGCCACCGAGGGTGGAATGGAGTGCACAAGGGACAAGCAAGAGGCCAAATCTGATGTCCTGGCCAACAATCCCACAGCGAGAGTGCACATTCCAATCCAATAATCTATCTCTTCGGTAATGGGACAAGGCCCTGGATTTCCTTGCTCCACACTCCTCCGTTTACCTGGCGGTAGGTGGGGAGCCTACTTGGTGGGTCGGTTGGTGGATCGCTTTCCCTTGGGGGGGCGGGGGGGCTGTAGTAATCCCGCCGAGAGAAAAAAATTTGGGTGGCTCGTTTGCGGGACGCTGCTGTGCATAAGTAATTGGCTGCCGCGTTTCGCCCAGTCACTACACGTTTTGCAGTATATCCTGTGAAGCATTTTGAGACATCTCGACGAGGCCGTCGATCAACAACAACAAAATGACATTTATAGAGCCCCTTTCACGTCAGGAGGACGTCCCAAAGCGCTGAACAGTCAGGTGTCGGGGCCCGAGCATGGGGGAGGGGTGGTGTGGCAGTGAGGGAAGGCAGAGAGATGGGAGTGCGACCAAAGGCGCGATCGAAGAGAAGGGTCTTGAGACCGATCTTGAAGAAGGCGAGGGAGGAAGCGAGGCGAAGGGACCGTGGGAATGGAGTTCCAGCGCGTGGGGGCAGTGAGGCTGAAAGCCCGGCCACCGATGGTAGGGCGGGTCGGGCGGGAGACATGGAGCAGCCGGAGCCTGATGAACGGAGGGAGCGGGCAGGTTGGTAGGGAGTCAGCAGGTCAGAGAGGTAGGAGGGGGCGAGGCCATCGATGGCCTTGAAGGTGAGGACAAGGATCTTGAACTCGATCCTCTGGGGGATGGGGAGCCAGTGGAGTCGGGCGAGGGTGGGAGTGATGGGGTCGGGCGAGGGTGGGAGTGATGAGGTCGGGCGACGGTGGGAATGATGGGGTCGGGCGAGGGTGGGCGTGACGGGGTCGGGCGAGGGTGGGCGTGACGGGGTCGGGCGAGGGTGGGCGTGACGGGGTCGGGCGAGGGTGGGAGTGACGGGGTCGGGCGAGGGTGGGAGTGACGGGGTCGGGCGAGGGTGGGCGTGACGGGGTCGGGCGAGGGTGGGAGTGACGGGGTCGGGCGAGGGTGGGAGTGACGGGGTCGGGCGAGGGTGGGAGTGACGGGGTCGGGCGAGGGCGGGAGTGACGGGGTCGGGCGAGGGCGGGAGTGACGGGGTCGGGCGAGGGCGAGAGTGACGGGTGCGCGCGAGAGAGCACACGAGCTGCGGAGTTTTGGATGGTCCGCAGCTCGGGAAGGGAAGAGTCGGGAAGGCCGCCGGAGTGGGGGTGGGGGGGGTGGGCCTTGACGTGACGAATGGCGCGGGTGAGGGGTTTGGGCAGCCTGAGGGGGTGGGGCGGCGGCCCAGGGAGGAGGAGAGTCCGGGGCAATGCCGCGGGGGCGGCGCCGGTCGCGGCGCGGAACGCGAGGGAAGAAAGCCCGTGTAGCAATCGCAAGGATTATTAAGGTTGGGGGCGTCCCCCCAACCACCCCCGGTCCTCCCAGACGCACCTGGCTGACTCAGAGGTGTCCCACAATGCAATGCGGAGTGGGCGAGGTCGGGGTGTGTGTATGTGTCTGTGTGGGGGGGGAGGGCCGCTCTTGCCGTTCCCTCGCCTGTTCGCTTCTCGTTGTCGTTTGTTTGGTTTGAAACGGGCGGACTTAACGGCCGTCGAGCGAGCACGAGCCGGAGATTGTGCGGGAGGCGAAGGGTTGGTGGTGGGGGGGTCCTGTCACGTCCGATAACTATACGCACTATATATATATATCTCGATAGAAAGAAAGAAAAGAAAGACATGTGAAAACATAAACCTAAAGAAAGAAGTTATCTGTGCCAACCAAAGAGGAGAGAGAGAGAGAAAAGACATGAGGAGGTGCGAGCGGCTCGCGCTCGTGTGCGCGCGGCCGACTGTCAAGGAGGCTGCGAGGAGCCGGGCCCGGAGCGGCGGCGGCGGCGGCTCCGGGGTGAGTGAGGACGCGGACGCGACAGGAGCAAGTACCCCTCCCCTCCCCCCCCCCCACCACCTTTCCTCTCTCCTCCTTCCCCGAACCCCTCCTCCTCCTCCGCTCGCTCACTCGCCTCACGCGCTCACACTCACTCACGCACGCACACACACACACGCACGCACGCACCAGCCCCCCCTCCCCTCCCCCCCACCGTGTGTGTGTGTGTGTGTGTGTTGCAAAGGTGAGGCGGTGTGGAGCTGAGGCTCAAACCCTCCAAATCATGTTATTGCAGGGGGTGGGGGGGGGGGAATGCACTCGTTTTGGGGTTTCCATGAATGCATTTGGTCTGGAATAGGGTGGGGGGGGGGAGTGGTGGTGGGGGGGGAGTGGAGGGGGGGGGGAGAGAGAAAATTGCAACAACCACCACCACCACAACAACAACGACAAAAAAAATTGCATTCGGAAAGCGCCTTTCACGTCGGGAGGACGTCCAAAGGCCCTGGGCAATCAGTGTTTCGGACCCGAGCCGGGAGTCGTGGAGGGCGGGCGGGGCGGGCGGCGGGGTGGGGGGTGGGGGGGGATAGAGGGTGACCAGAGGCACGGTCGAAGAGGAGGGTCCTGAGATGGGTCTTGAAGGAGGCAAGCGAGGGGCCAAGGCGGTGGGACTGCGGGATGGAGTTCCAGAGGCAGAGTGGCAGAGGGAGCAAGCAGGTTGGTAAGGGGTTAGGAGGTCGGAAAGGTAGGGAGGGCTTTGAATGAGGACCAGGATCTTGAACTATATCCTCTGTGTGATGGGAAGCCAGCGGAGCCGGGCGAGGATGGGGGTGTTGGAGTCGAGGAGCCTGGTATGGGAGAGGACACGGGCTGCAGAGTTCTGGATGACTTGCAGCCTATGGAGGGAGGAGTTGGGGAGGCTAATAAGCAGGGAGTTTGCGTAGTCTCAAAGCCAGTCAGGAACCTCGGCGTTTTGTTCGACCCTGAGCTGTCCTTTCTCCCTCACATCCGCACCACAACTGGCACCGCCTTCCATCACCTCTGGAACATCGCCAGACTACGGCATTACCTCACCCCTCACGCGGCTGAAACCCTGGTTCACGCCTTTGTCACCTCAAGGCTGGACTATGGGAACTCTCTCCTCGTCGGCCTTCCCGCCACCTCCCTCCACACTGCAGGTCATCCAGAACTCTGCAGCTCGTGTACTGTCCCGCACCAGGCTTCGGGACCACATCACTCCCACCCTCGCTCGCCTCCACTGGCTCCCCATCCCCCAGAGGATCGAATTCAAGATCCTCATCCTCACCTACAAGGCCATTCACGGCCTTGTTCCCTCCTACCTCTCCAACCTACTATCCCCCTACCTACCTGCCCGTACCCTCCGTTCCTCCGGCTCCGGTCTGCTCCACATCCCCCGCCCCAATCGCCCTACCATTGGTGGTCGGGCCTTCAGCCTCTGAGCCCCGAGGCTTTGGAACTCTATCCCCCAGTGCCTTCGCCGCTTCCTCCCTCTCCTCCTTCAAGGCCGGTCTCAAAACCTTTCTCTTTGACCGAGCCTTCAGCTCCCCTCTCGACTCTCTTCCCCCTTCTCGCTCCCTCCCATCCCTCCCCTCACCCTGACCATTTCCCCCTGCTCGGGTCATGACCCAACTGTGCAGCGCCTTGGGACGTCCTCCTGACGTGAAAGGCGCTTTATAAATGGAATCTTGTTGTTGTTGTTATAGTCAAGCCTGGATGTTATGAATGCGTGTACGAGGGTCTCGCCGGCCTGTGGTGTGAAACAGTGGCGTAGCCGTGCGATTTTGCTGAGGTGGGGGAAGGCAGAGCGGGTCATAGCGCGGATGTGATGTAGAAATGATAGTTGAGGGTCAAACAAGACACCAAGCTTCCGGACTGGTTTAGCAAGGTGGAGTGTGCATTCTTGGATGGTGATGCTGTTGGTACCAGAGGTGTGGAAGTGCTGATGGGAACCGATCAGGCGGGCCTCAGTCTTGTTGACGTTCGACTGTAGAAAGTTAGCTCTCACCCAGGACTTGATGTCTGACCGACACTCTGTCAGGACAGCGGTGGTCCTAGAATCGAAGGTGGAGGCAGAGAGTTGGGTGTCATGAACGTATATGTCAAAATTGACCCCATGTCTGCGGATGATGTTACCAAGAGGGAGCATATAGGTATTGAAAAGGAGGGGACCAAGGACAGAACCCTGAGGAACTCCGCACAAGACGGTACAGGGGGCTAGAGGAGAAACCCTTTGTGGAGATGAAGTGGAAATGGTGTGAGAGGTAGGATCTGAACTATTCAAGGACAGAACCATGAAGGTTGAGGTGAGAGGTGGTAGATGAGGAAACAGTGGTCAATGGTATTGAAGGCAGCAGAGAGGTCAAGGAGGATGAGGAGGCTGAGGGAGCCCTGGTCACAGATGGACAAACCGTCCATTTGGAAGATGGGGTAGGGAGAATAGAGAGAGATGGCATTTAAAAGTTTGTCATTGCATTATTGGACATTTATAATGCATTCATGAACGTTTTGTAATGAGTTCATGGGGAGGATTGGGTTGTAGTGAATTTATGTTCTTTTTGGGTGGTAATGCATTTTTGGGGTTTGAAAATTGCCTCCCAGCAGGTCTGCACTTTGCACAATACTGTAAAAGTATTAACCTGTTCTTATTACAGTAGGCCTGCAGGTTTGTAATGCATTCATGAGGGGTGGGTTGTAATGCATCTATAGGATTTGAAGATTGTATCACAGGTCTCCACAATACTATAGAAGTAACCGGTTCTTAATTTAATCCTTGCTTTTGTTAAAGCACCTTATCACATTGTTGAGATTGATTGATTTCTGTATGTGTGTTTTGTGGATCAAGTTATAATCCAGCATGGCCTCACTTGGGCCATTAAATCCTGGACACAATTATTCATTAATTTCTCCTCTTACGTATACTGTGCGCATGTGTAAGAACAATGTTCTTTTATTTAGAATTATTCTCATCCCTTATTATTGTTTGCAAACCTGCTGCCTCAAGCGCTCCAAGACGCCGTCAGATGTGAAGGGCACTAAATAAATGCAAGTTGTTGTTGATACTTAACAAATGTAACTTTTCCTTCCAGTTTATTCCTAACCTTTCTAGAATGTTGTAGAAAATTAAATCACTTTTATAAATCTGTTAGTTCCTGGAATGTCTTTATTAATAATAATAGTAATAATAATGAATGGCCGGCAAGTTTTTCGATATTGCGATTGAAAAGTTTGATGCAGACTGCAATTGATAAATTCATTATGCAAGCTCAAAGTTTGCACATTGTCCACTGAAACTGTGATTAACAACTTACATATCTGGAAGAATTACTTTATTGTGCTGGTGTGGTAGATGTTAAATTTGTACAAGAGATTTGAGGACTGTGTGCAGGTCTCATGAATGAACCATATGGAGAGGGTAGTAGAAGCACATACAATATTGAGAACGACAGGTTATAGTTCTGAAGATAGTCTTGAAAAAATTGGGTGATTTCACTGGAACAGAGAAGGTTAATTGAGACTCTAATAGAGGGTCTAAAAATTCTAAAAGTTTAATTCTAAATTCTAAGATTGTGACTAAGTAAAAGTGAGAGGTCAAATTAATTTCTCCCAGAGGGTTATCAAGGTATGAATTGCCATTGTTACAGCAGAGTTGATTGGGGCATTGAATTGGACAAGCATAAGCAGAGGAAGGATGTTGGAGGTTACTGGAAAAAANTAGGAAATTAGGGCCAGGAATTAGGATGGATAGCTTCTTTGAGTAACAAATGGCAACTGAAAATTAAGGGCTGAATGGCCTCCTACTGTGTGATACTAATTTATTTTATGGTTACATGTGTCATGAAAGATTATTCTTGTTAGTTGTGAATGGTAATTAACATTAACTGGATTTGATGGGCAGTTCATAAGCACATGGAATGTTTTATAGATGGTGGCTTTTGAAGTGGAGACCATAAGATTTTAAAAAAGAATTGGATTTTTTTTAATAGAAATGTATATAAAAAAATGAGAAAAAGCAGGGAATTGGGAGTAGAGTAGTTGACATGAAGAAAATAAACACCAGTGAAGACTTGAATATCCTTGTTTTGTGTGGTAATGCCTGTAATTCTAGTTGTGTATGTTTCAAGGTGTTTTGTTAGTTGACCCCATAGCCTGAAAGCTACATGGATATAGGGCAGTCGGAAAGGGCGGTTTACATCCTCTGCTACTTGATAATTTGCAAAAACTGGTCTGTCTTTGTGACAGAATTGTCATACTGCTTTTGCAATGATTAGCTGTTCATCCAAGCTGGTATCCCAGCTTGACACAACCAATTTCAGCAGTATACAGAGATAGAAAAGTAGAGACTGTCAGAAGAAAATATGCGAGTTGGGCAGACTGTCAGTATAATTTGTCTTGAGTTTATAAACGCTGCTGTTCACAATGGGTTCCTGATAGCTACTATCTAATTTGATGAGGGAGTATAGCAGAGACTACTCGCTTTCCATATGGAAGGTGGGTGTATTGGATGGCAGGGATAGAAATTTTAGAGGAGTGTGGACAGCACCAAAAATGAAGAGTTGCTTTTTTTATAAGACATCAATCTTCGGGCTGCTTTCTTGAAATTCCTCAGGATCTGTTGAGTGTGGTTGAAATCTTTGCACAGAAAACATTTTACTAAAAGTCAAGCTAATTTTTTTTCTTTTATGATGTAAATTCACCCAACCGAAAGTATAATGGAGAGGGAGCCAGAAACTTATGGCAGTGTTTGCAAGTTCCATTGTATTTTTTTGCATTATTGCAATGGTAGCCAACCTTTATGTTCGGCCAACAAAATAAATGTTCTTGAATGAATATTTTTGATTTATGCCATAAACATGGACTTACCTAGGCTCGTGAAATTTTTTTTAGAGGAACGGGGTGAGGGGGTGGGGGGGAGAGTGGGTGTCTGCTTCTTGATGTTCCGTGGGCCACAGGTTGGCCACCACTGCTCTATAATGTAGCCACCCTAAATAGTCCCACATAATTAGGTATTTGGAATTTTTATAGAAAATGTCTGTATATTTTGTTTTTAATTTTAAAGATAATTTTGTTTAATTTTGTTCTCATTTCAGAGAGCTGCGAGCCACTGGATAGTGTGGCACTGATGAGATGGAAATCACCAAGTGCTCAGAAGTTGGACGGTGACCAAATTACACGCTTGACTTGAACAGAGACTTACATATTAACTTTTCTTGGCTTTACGTTGTTAACAACGTGACTATTTTGTCATACCATGTACTTCAACTGTTAATTTTCACGGGTGGACTGAGATCAAGCTACTTGCCACATCATGCCTTTATATCAGAATTCTAAAACTCTGCTGGAGAGTAAAAAGCCCACCGATGAGGACAGATTGAAAGACGACGATTTTCCAGGTTTTTTCTCCTCCTTCAATCGAAATGAAAAGATTGTGATTACGCGAAGTGACAGTTGCACTGACGAAAGTGTGTTAAAAATTACCATCACAGAGACCACAGTGATTGAATCGGACGCTGGGGTTTGGAGTGTCAAGTCTTTAATGTACCTGAGTCTCTGGTATTTTTTCAGTTTCTGCACACTATTCCTGAACAAATATATCTTGACTTTGTTGGAAGGAGAACCAGGAATTCTAGGTAAATATTTTTTTAAATGATAAAACAAATTTGTTTTCTGGAGTGAATTAGTTGGATTGTTGCATTTACACTGGCTGCACAGTACAGGACTGATACCAGACTGCTGATTTGAGGCTTATTTAAGTGGTTTGAATTATCCAGTTATCGTCAAAACATCAGCCCAATTGTGCACAGTAGTGTCTCACAGACAGCCATGAAACGAATGACCAATTTTGTTTGTTTTGGGGGATCGCTGGCCAAGACACCGGGAGACAGAAACTTCCTTTTCTTTTCGAATAGTGCTATGGGATCTTTAACATCCACCTGAACAGGCAGACAGAACCTCGGTTTAATATCTCATCTGAAGGACGACACCCCTGACAATGCAATCCTCGGCACTGCATTGGAGTGTCATCTTAGACTATGTGAGTTCAAGTCTCCACGTGGGTCTTGAATCCACAAGCTTGTAACCTGGAGGTGAGAGTCCCACCAACTGAGCCAGACTAACACTTTCCACTTATTTTGGTAATAATGGCTGTTGCATGTGACCCCTAAGGAAAAGTTAGTTTCTTTTGGATAACTTATCTCTTGTGAAATCACTTCAAAATGCGTGAGAACTGCCAAGGATACTGTGGCACCTGTATGTTTTTGGTGTTATTTCCATGGCAACTACTCCTGAAGTGCATCAACGTTTGACTGGTCAAGTTTGGAGACGAGTGATATTGGTGGTTGTGAAATCCAAATCCAGCATAGCACAGCCATGAAGATTTAGGACATTCCTTGTTGTGAAATCTATAACTAACATAGCATGACGCCCAGCCTTCTAATACTATATTTCAAGAGATTAAGTGTGTAAATGCAAGGATTATTGTTAAACACACACCCTTCCTCTAGGAGGTAGTTTACTGAGGATTTGGATGTAACTATTAACCCAAGTAATTTTCTTTGTGTTTATTAATAGAAATATTTGCATTTGAAATGGTGCCATTTGAAAAGCGTTCCGGGATGCTACCCCATAGGAAGGGAGCTATATAAATTATTATTGTTTTGCATGGTTGAAACATCTCAAAATGTTTTGTGAGATTTCCATAGTGTTGTGACTATGTATTTGTAGGTGATCATGTATGACGCATTGCCCAAAAGGGTGGTCGAGGCCGATTCAATAACAACTTTTAAAATCGCGGTGGACGGGTATTTGATGAGGACGGGTTTGCAGGGTTATGGGGAAAGGGCTGGGAAGTGGTATTGACATTAATTGCTCGAATCAAAGATCCGGCACAAACTCGATGGCCCGAATGGCCTCTTTTTGTGCTGTACGATTCTATGATTCTATGATCATAATGAAAATAGCACTTGATACAATTCTCAAATTCAATTAGTTAGAAAGTTATCATGAAGTTGCAGCTTGCTGCCATTGTTAGTTTAGTTACATCAGGAATTTCTGCCTGAAATCATGTCATTCTCAGTTTCCATTTCCTTTGGAAAACTGCTGCTCAAGTCCAGAATTTGTGACATTGATTCACTCCTGAATTCTGACTATAATAAGAACCAAAGGTTACCCAGTGGTGTTTTGTTTGCGTCTTAATCTCTTGATCCACTTTCATTGTTGTGCCATTTTTATTATTTCAAGAGATTAAATGTGTAAATGCAAGGATTATTATTAAACACTACATCCTTCCTCTAGGAGGTAGTTTAATTAATTTTATTAATTTAATTTAATTATTATTTTTTGCAGGTGCTGTCCAGATGCTTTCAACCACTGTGATTGGTTGTATCAAGATGTATGTTCCATGTTGTTTGTACCAACATAAAGTTCGTTCTGAACATCCATCAAACTTCCTCATGATTATGCTTTTTGTAGGATTAATGAGGTAAGTGATATGTTGGCATTTCCAATCCCCACAGATATGTTATCCTTGGGTGGGGGGAGGTATCCTCCGAAGGGGTGGGGGAATGTAAATCTTCTTGAAGCTGATTTGGCTCCAAGGTGACATGCCTAGAAACAGAATGTCGGAATCGAGCACATTGTGCCTGTGCCACCACTTTGAAAAAGCTACCTACTAGTCCCACCACTCCCTACTCTTGCCCCATAGCCCAGCAAATTTTTCCTTTTTTAAGTACCTATCCAATTCACTTTAGAAAACTATTATCGGATCTGCTTCCACCATCCTTTCAAGCAGTGCATTCCAGACTGTAACAACTCTGTATGTGCAGAATTGCAAAATAATAACTCCAGCTTCACCAATCAGTGTTGTATTTGCTCACAACCATGGATGTCTTTTAAATTGTCTATTAAAATGTTTTACCGATATTTGGATTTTCTCCTGCAGGTTTGCCACTGTGGTTCTCGGGCTGGTAAGCTTGAAGAACGTAGCAGTTTCATTTGCAGAGACTGTAAAAAGCTCAGCACCAATCTTCACTGTAATTATGTCCAGGCTCATTTTAGGAGAATATACAGGTAAATTGTCCTACTTCTGAAAAACGTATAGTTTGTTTTAATCGTATTTGTGTTTAAATTTAGGTTATCCATGTAAAATAATGAGAAAACAGTTTCTTAATTAAATGCTACATTAGCCCACCAAATATACAGTCAATTCATTTTACAGTTTATTCTCTGAAGCGATTGAGACGTCTCGAAGGCGCTAGCTATCAAATCCAAGGATGAGTATTAATATTTTGCAGAACTTTAACCTAGTTTCTACTGGTAATAGCTTAGGTCTTTTTTTAAAAAAAAATGCACGGTCGTGGTTTTGGGTTATGATTTTGTTACTGTTACTAAAATAAACAGTTGCATAACCAGCCTTTCAATAACTTAAATCCAGTCTCTACGCTGTACTCAGAACATCCATTGGACCCTCTAAGAATAGAGTACTGTAGCTTAGTGTTTAAAGAACTCGCCTCGCAAACGAGAAGACCTAGGTTTGATTCCCGGACAGGGAGTTTGGGCAACTTTCCTTACTCCACACAGGGTAGGGTGGGGGTCAGATTCACATGCAGTGTTAATATTGTGGTGCAACAGCTGGATTTGCTGGGGAAACCACTTCCTTAATGCAGTCTCAGTGGCGATGACTGGTGCAGTTCGCCGCTGTAGTTTTGTGCTGCTTAGTGCAATTTATGAAGTGAAAATCAGCACAAAATTGAATTTGAATTATAGAGATTTGAAAGAGGCATCAGTTCAGCTTTATAAGGTATAAACCTCAGATGAGAAAATAATAATAATAATCCTTGCATTTGATATAGCGCTTTTCACGTCTTCTAGACGTCCCAAAGCGCTTCACAGAATATACTATAAAGTGAATTGACTGTATATTTGTAGGCAAACGCGGCAGCCAATTGCGCACAGCAATGTCCTACAAACAGTCGTACATTGAAAATGACCAATTTATTATTATTTTGTTTTTTTGGAGGGATTATTATTAGGCTCTGTGTGGAGTAAGGAAACTTGCCCAAGATTTCGCCCTCTGCCTGGAATTGAACTCAGGTCTCTCGCTTGCAAAGCGAGTGCTCTAACCACTGAGCTACAGGACTCCACATATATTGGCAGCACCATCAATTGGGGTCTTCAGAGATCAGTAGCAAATATACATATAACAAATCATGATTTAAATAGTGATTTAGTTAAGTTAAATTGCCAATATGCTCAACTTGCTCTCCAGAGTTGGGCAAGGAGGATGTGTCCCTCCAGAGCGAATGTGCATATCTATTCAGACACAGGAATATTTCCTTGTGTAGGTGGTGTACATACGTGGAACTCATCTGGTTTGTCCACTCTTAAACATGGTGGTGAGTTTCTGCATGTATCATTCACCCAGCTGACCAAAAAAAATATGTAATTGAATGTGCCCTTTACCACACACATCTTATAAAAGTAATGGAATTCTCCCAGTTGTATTGCTAATTGTGTTGTGCTGTCATTCCAGGTTTGTGGGTGAACATGTCATTGTTGCCTATAATGGGTGGATTAGCATTATGCACTGCCACAGAAATTAGCTTTAACATGCTTGGATTCTCAGCAGCTCTCTCCACCAATATCATGGACTGGTAAGTGTGCTTCTTACCTGTGTTTTGGTAAATAGTCATACTGTAGATTATTTCCGCGGGAAGGTTAGACAGTGACGAGGAGGGCACGCATTCACCAATCGCAATAACATTAAAGGGGTGGTTAGAAAACATTTCTTTATGCAGAATGTTGTTCGAAATATGGAATTCTCTGTCGCAAAGTCTAGCTGAAGGAGGGTTCGTTAATTATTTTAAAAGGGAATTAACAACAACGACACATTGCATTTATATAGCATCTTTCACTTTGGAGGATGTTCCAAGGCGCTGGACAGTCAAGGATTTGCACCTGAGCTGAGGGCTTTAAATAGATGTTTGAAGAGGAGGAATGTTAAAGAATATGAGGAGAGAGAGCACTGTTTTTATTTGAATCAACCAACTATTCAGTCATTCCTGACTGTGTTGAAAGTTAAGATGAAAGTACACAGCTGCCACATGCCACTCACTTGTGTTGGTCCAGCTGTGTTGGTCCAAGTAGAATGGGATGTGTATTTCTAGCCTGTCATCTCATCCCCCATTAACACCATACATTCTCTTTCCTTTTCACTCTACAACCAGTAAAACTATGCAGACATTCTTTGGCTATATATATATATTTTATATATGGTTTATATAATATTTTATATGGTTTATATAATTGGACCATTTGAATACTCTCTTACACAAACACCGAAAAGTTTTCAACGTAAGATGTGACAATAATATCCTCATCATAGACGCAAATATTTATGATTCAAAGTCATGGCAATAGAAACATGACTCCTATTTTAGTGCTGGGACAAGAAAGAGGAAAATAAAATAAAACAATTATATTTTACATTAGTATATTCAGCAAATCAATCTTGCCGCTCCCAAAACTTCTTAGCACATTAAAGATAATCCCTAAAGCTGTGAGAGCAGGTAAATGAATTCTCAGGAGAATGTGTCTTGTCCAGGTGATGCATGCGAGTTGAAATAATTGTTTACTGTGGCATCTGTTGTAACACATTGATTTATTTAGTCTACAGAATGTCTTCTCCAAAAAATTGCTTAGTGGAGACAAGTATAAATTCTCGTAAGTATCATTCTCGTCAGTTATTTAAAATTCATACGTAATACATTTATTGTTCAGGATTATCATACAGCTAATTCTTTAAGATGCAATCTATAATCATATGCAATGAAGCAAATTGAGTTGGATTGACTTTGCTTATTGATACATTGGCACTGAGACAGTTGAATGCAAGTTTGAGGGTAAGATAAGTGAGGAATAACTATAATAAAATCTGTGATGAATTCCTGGAATCCACAGACTTGCCAAGCTCTATGTTCTGCATTGCATGCTTTGCGGTTTTGAAAATACCTGTAATTAATTTCTTCTGGAGAAAAGTATCTAGTATCTCCCTTCTCACAGTACATCCACGATTGGGAACTTTATACCCAGTTTATGCTGTGCCTCTAGGGCAGTGTGGACCAATTGTTTTGGTCGGCCAACAAGATAAATTTACTTGATTGAATAAATTTACTTGATGGCATAATCAAAAAATATTCAATCAAGAAAAACCTGGAGACACACTACCGATTGAACACGGACTTACCCGAACTAGTGTGACTATTCAGAGGCGGACACTTCTTGACTGCCCCACAGTCTGCAACCGGCCTGCGGGCCGTAGTATGTCCGGCACTCCTCTAGATCATTCTGTGTTTTCTATCATTTCTGCCAAACTACACTTGTGTTTAATTGCACCTCTCTGATACCTGCTGACCAGTATTTTCTCACTCATCTCCTTTAAAAAAATAATAACAGTAATTTGGCCACTCAATCCCCAACTGTTTGTGGGACACTACTGTGCGCAGTTGGCTACCGCGTTTCGTCCACAAAATATACCTTCACTTTACAGTATATTCTGTGAAGTGCTTTGAGACGTCTCAAAGACATGATGAGGCACTATATCAAATGTAAGGATTATTAATATTAGCAGTTAACATACTTGCTTTCACTTTCTGCCTCATTTTTATCGCTGAATATCATTATCTCTAAGGCTACACTCATCCTACGAATTGTGCTTTTTGAATCTCTAGCCCCCCCGAGCTGCAGTTTTATACCAGCGCTGCTGCAGTGGTAATGCTAATTCCAGCATGGATTTTTCTTATGGTAAGATTTTTTTTCTGCAACTTTTTTTGAGTTGGTCAGTATCAATTTCTGGTTCTCCACTAAAATACTTCTTCGTGCTTTATTCCTAAAGTTACACATGGAAAGAGTATGTGCGTGTGTGTGCGTGTGTTGGGGTGGGGGGCTGCGGGGCGGGGCGACCGGAGTGGTGCCCTTGATGTCCACCCAAATCAGAAAAAGATGGCACCCAAGTTAATTACACAAGGGTGATCTAGAAATGAAGCTAACTCTGGGCAGGGCTCATCATATATGAGAATGTAATGACCAATAATATACAGAGCCCAAAGCAATTCACATTTTCCTTCTGCACAATTAAGCATACAGATTGCTATCGCCTTCTTTTCTTTGTCTTGTAGGACATTCCAGTTCTTGGAAAAAATGGCCGAAGTTTCAGTTTTAACCAAGATATAGTGATGCTCCTTCTGATTGACGGATTCCTCTTCCACCTTCAGAGTGTGACGGCATATGCTTTGATGGGGAAGATCTCGCCTGTTACTTTCAGGTTGGTAAGCGCTCTGGGACGCTCGCCTGTGTGAGGGGCGCTGTATAAAGCGTTTTACAGAATATACCATAAAGTGAATTAACTATATTTTGGGGGCAAAACGTTAACTAATTTATAATTTTTTTTGTTCCTCTCTCTTTCAGTGTTGCTAGCACAGTCAAGCATGCCCTTTCTATCTGGCTCAGCGTCCTTGTTTTCAGTAACAATATTACAATCTACTCAGCTTTTGGGACGGCTTTGGTCATGATCGGTGTGTTTTTATACAACCGAGCTCGGCAACATCAGAGAGACAAATTCCACACTCTGTTGTCCCGCAGTAACAAGAGGCAAGAGATTCAATCCCTACTGAATGAGAATCAGCAAATACCTCAGAAATAACAGGCTGTGTACACTTCCTGCAGGATGCATCATCCATAATGTGGAACAGGGTATTTAAGATGTAGAAAAAAAATAAAATTCTGGTTATGGAAGCTATAGCATTTCATAAAATATAGGGCATTGTGTTTCACTGTGGATTGTTCAAATTCAGTACCAAGTTTTACTTTGTGAACAATTAGGAGAGACTTGTGTGCGACTGCCTAATATTTTACCAGGTTTATGCAGATGGAAAAAATCTTTTGACTTTAACCAAACTCTTAACTTTGAACAAGAACAATTAATTATTCTGACGGACTTGGCTGGGGTATTGCATTAATGTTCTTTTTAAATATAAGAATTAAGGTGGACATCTTAATTTCAGTAACTTTTAAACGGGTAGTATGGATTTTTGTGCTTGAGAACTGTGTTGGTGTTTTTACATGCATTGCCACACTTGACATGTTGCAAACAATATTCATGGAGCACCTGATCTAGCTACTCAGGGTTTACGAGGCAGATCTGTATCTGAGAATTGCTTACCACCTGTTTGTGACAATAACTATTATAATAATAAACGACTGTTTGGGAACACTGCTGTGCACAATTGGTTGCCGCATTTAGCTCACAAAATACAGTCAGTTGACTACAGTATATTCTGTGAAGCGCTTTGAGACGTCTCAAAGATGTGATAAGGCGCTATATCAACTGTGGGAATTATTATTATTGGTGGTGATGCAACACAAACAGCTACAGTATTTTTTTTTAAAAAGTATATAAAATGTTGGGTGTATTATATGCTAAATGAAACCATCTGTTACATTTGGTGTCCTAAACTGAGCATTTTAAACAAAAACACAATTAGGCATTTACTATGTAAATCGTAGCATAGAGAAAGCAACTGAATATGAAGAGCATACAAAGATGTATCTCTTTTGTGCGATTTTTCTCTGCAGTTTTACTGTACTAAGCTTCACATTAAACATTGCTGCTCTATCTGGACAACTGGACACCCTTACAGGCACCTGAGTTTACTGCCATTGTCAAGGAAATTACTTAAGATTGTTTAACCTTTACTGGTTTAAAGTGCAGAAAAGTTCTTCCTCTTAACACCGACCTCCCTCCGAAAAGCACTTTAAATTACCTATAAACCACTATTATAAAAAACAACATAGTGCATTCTCAATTATTTGATCCAATTAGGAATTAATGCTTATATTTAACAAAACCACAAATTCCAATGAAGCGACACCGTGGGACTTCCGTAGTGTTGGGTGATTGAGTGAGAGTGTTTTATATCGCTGAACTTGCACAGCTAGTTGTTTTGTAGGGCACTGCTAATGACAGCACAGCTCAGGAGGAACCTGGAAGGGCAGACCAGTCAACGGGGGAAGGGAGTCATCCCACTCAGCTCCTGTTAACCCTGCAAGCCAAAGCCCTAACCGTCTTAGCTGGACAAACAATGGAAAAGCTCGCCAGACAGCAATATCAATGGCAAGCTCCAGCAATCACCCCAACTCACTCTGGGGTCCCCAAGTCTTGGCTCTTGCGTCTAATACTTTCTGGAATTAGGCAAGAAGGATGTGTTCCTCCAGGGAGAGAGAGCGCGCATTCCGTTCCAACAATCTCTGTCTCTGAGATTGCCATGTGTAGGTGTGATGCATGGACTTCTCAACTTGGTTTGGATACTCAAGTGTAGTGATGGGTTTAAAAAGAAAGTTGTTTTCTATTCAGCTTCGTACATGTAAATTGTGCATCCCGGGTCTTTGCTGTCCTAAATATTTGTCACTTTCAGACCACAAGACTAAATTGCTTGCTAGAACAATCGAATTATGACAGCTAATGTAGATTTCTCCCTTCCCCCCCCAACCTAATGAAAGTTAGCTAATATATTTGGGTGAAATTATCCACCTGAATGTTTTGCATGAGCAATGACCTGAATTGGCAGCTGTAGCAAATAGCCATGATTGCTCAAGCATCCCTATTATGTTTAAAGTTGATTTGGAATCTCTTATAGAAGATATTCTGCTAAATACATATATTTTTCTCATTTTTGATTTGCAAATGATCTCTAATGATCTTTGCCCAATCTGGCACATGTTTTGCTAAAAAGCTGTTATAACCCAACCTGCCAATATTGTTCAGCTAACACCTGATGAATTAGATTTTTAAAGACCAGTATAATTACTGTTGTGCTACATCTAGATTCATCTGAATATGAAAAGCAGCTGTCTTGAAGCAGTGTTCATAGAGTAAATAAATTTAACCTAATTTTTTTATGTTACCAAACACAATTGCAACGTTTGTGAAACAGATATTTTGTCGTCTCTCCTCCCGGAGAATTACTTCTCTATTTCCTTGAGCATTCTATACTGTAATTCTCTGTAGTCCATAGGCTTACCTCAGTTGGCAGCAGTCTTGCCTCTGAAGCAGAAGATTGTGGGTTCAAGTGTGGAGATTTTGAGATTACATTCTAAGGTGGCACGTCAGCAGTGCTGGATGTGCCGTCTTTCAGATGAGACGTTAAAACTGAAGCCACGTCTCCCTTTATAGTTGTGCATTAAAGGTGAAAAAAAGAGAAGGACGTTTCTCCTGGTGTCCTGGCCAACAATTCTCCGGACTATTTTTTGGGACATTGTTGTGCACAAATTAACTGATGAATCTGTCTACAAATACAACCACTGACTACTCTTATCTGTGAAGTGCTTTGAGAAGTTTCAATGTTGTAGATGCTGCATCAAATGCAAGGATAACTATTAAACCTTTCTCCAAATTTCAGCCTGTGCCTTTTTGTTTCATTCACTTTTTGGTATATTTGGCTTCCACAGTTTTACATAAATTACTTAAACAGCAATTAGAAACCAGTCAAATAATTGTTTTACCTCAACACACTTTGTACAAGTCCTGTTAATATGTGTCTGGTTCAGACATTCTAATGCACGTTATTTGAAATGGTTCATGCAGCATTAACACCATGTAGGGATCAAGGTTTCACTTTCACAAATATCAAACTCTAATAAAATGGTCAATTTTAATGTCATAGATACTACTTTAAATGCAAAATTGCATATATTCTACACTGCATGTTATGCTAATGTTTGGCCCCCCCAAACTTAGTCAAGTTACTTTACTGTATATTCTTTGAAGTGCTTTGAGACGTCTCGAAGAGATGATGAAGCGCTATATCAAATGTAAGGATGATTATTATAACAGTACGGTGTATTTTAACATAACCACTAAGATTGAGTTGTCCTTCATGTATGTAGTCCTTCATACTACTGTGACATGTATATTGCATCATGATTTTCTATTTGTTAAAACTATTATCTTGAAAATAAGTGATTGAAGTGTTTGTCTTTTTCCAATCATCGGGGTGGACAAGGAAAGAGGAGGAGAGAATTATGATTTGGAGGAATGCAGGATGTTTTCGGCTGTTTGTTGACGTGTATTCTAAGAATCTTTGTCCCATAACCTGAATGAAAGCAGTGTACTTCAAAATTGTACTGCCTACATTGGTCCGCTGGATATTTTAATAAAGAATGTGGTGTTGAATTTCTGAGACACCAGGAGAGGCCTATTAATGCACATTTTTAATCGTCTTTAAACTATTCCATTTACTTGACTAAAATCACTGAGATAATTACTCATTTAATCCAATAAGTAACGCCTTTTGTAGCAGCGTTCTTGTTCATGAGCACTTTTGATATTTGATCATTCGTATTCTGTGATGTGCTTCGAGATGTCTGTAGAGGTCACTGTTCATATCAGACAAGTGTCGATGTTAATATCAGACTATATAGAAGCTGGGATAATAGTAAATAATAGTATTGCTTTGTGACTGCAAAAGAATGCAATGCAACATGAAAAATCCAAATAAATTTACCAGAATAATTATAATAATCCTTGCACTTGATAAGAGCGCCTATATCGCGCCGTTGAAATGTCTCGAAAAGCGCTCGGCGGAATATAGGGTAAAACGTAGCGGCTTTATTTTGGCAGATGAGGGGGTGAGGGTGAGGGGTGTGAGGGGGGGTGTGGGTGAGGGTGAGGGGGGTGTGGGGTGTGGGTGAGGAAGGGGTGAGGGAGTGAGGGTGGGAAAGGGGTGAGGGTGAGGAGGGGGTGAGGGTGGGGAGTGGTGGGTGAGGAGGGGGTGAGGGTGGGGAAGGGGTGAGGGTGAGGAGGGGGTGGGGAAGGGGTGAGGGTGAGGAGGGGGTGGGGGAGTGATGGGTGAGGAGGGGGGGTGAGGAGGGGGTGAGGAGGGGGTGAGGGTGAGGAGGAGGTGAGGGTGAGGAGGGGGTGAGGGTGAGGGGGTGAGGGAGGGTGAGGGTGAGGGGGGGGGGTGAGGGGGTGAGGGGGGGGGGGTGAGGGTGAGGAGGGGGGTGAGGGTGAGGAGGGGGGGTGAGGGTGAGGAGGGGGTGAGGGTGAGGAGGGGGTGAGGGTGAGGAGGGGGTGAGGGTGAGGAGGGGGTGAGGGTGAGGAGGGGTGAGGGTGAGGAGGGGGTGAGGGTGAGGAGGGGGTGAGGGTGAGGAGGGGTGGGTGAGGGTGAGGAGGGGGTGAGGGTGAGGAGGGGGTGAGGGTGAGGAGGGGGTGAGGGTGAGGCGGCGGTTGAGGTTTGAAATGACGTGACATCCAAACCCTATTTGAGCAGTGCTGTGAGGTGCTCTGTACGCATGCGCAGGAGGAGACAGCGCGCGGGGGAGAAAGAGCCCACGGCCCGGGGGCCGCCGGAAGTGACGGATTTGGCGCGACAACCTGGGTCAAGCCGCAGGTCCGCGGAGGGAGGTGAGTGTCTCCAGGGCCGCCGCCGCCATCATAATAATAATTATAATAATAACACCAACACCGCGCGCGTGAAATAATAACCGCCTCTCCCACCCGGTTACTGAGGCCCGAGGCGTGAGGGGGGGAGGGGAGGGCGGGCGGGTAGGCCTGAAGCCGCGGCCTCGTGGTAGGAGTCGCACCCCCTCACGCTGTCGAGGGTGGGTGAGTGGGTGCGAGGCGGCCCGGGAGGCTCAGCGAGGCCTGTTCGGTTCCCTCAAGCCCGGCCTCTCTCGTCCTGTTAATAAGATGGCGCCTCGTCTGTTTTTTTATTCGTCCACCCCCCCCCCCCCCCCCCCACACACACCCCCAACCCCCCCATTCTCGTTAGCTTCTCCTTCAGGGACTTTGACAAACAAACAAACAGACTCCTTCCTCCAGTCTCTCAACCTCGGCCCCACAAGGCTTTTTATTTGGTCTTTAGTGGCTGGGGGCGGAGGGGCGGGCGGGGGGTTCGGGGTGGGGTGGGGTTGGGGGGAGGGGGGAGAGAGGGAGGGAAGTACCCAAAGTGACTTCGAGAGACTTTATAATCATTTGATACACGTCGTCGAGACGTCTCAAAGCGCTTCACAGGGTATAGGGCATTCAAGCGAATTGACTGTGTGTTTTGTGGGCGAAAGCCGGGAGCCAATCGCCCACAGCAGCGTCCAGGCAAACAGTCGTTTGGGGGTGGTGGGGGGGGGGGGGGGGGGGGGGAGGTAATAACGGAATCTGACGCTATCTTTAGCTCAGTTGCCAACAGTTTCAGAAGCTTGAGGGTTGAAGCCCCATTCTTCCTCTTATGCCATCACACACAACACACACACACACATCACACCCATCAGGAGCGAAATTGACGGCAATTAAAATATGTTGGTAGCCCAAAGTCAACCAAATACTCGCCCCCAAAAGTAGCCCAATATTGAGCATTGCCCGATGAGTCCGCACGTAGGCACTATCTGACACCGCACTTCAAAGTAACTTATTTTTTAAAAAAGTGCTTCGGAACAGTTTGACTTAAGCCACTTATCAGTGCTGGATATTTGAAATAACGTCTCAAAACGCTGGGAAACTAGCAACAGCAAAATTGACATTGAAAGACAAATGCGATTGTCCGAAATTTGAGTTGTCAATTTGAATTATTGACATACCAGTTAGTGTTGCATGTTACTGGTACCAACTGCTTGATGTTTCTGTACATGCTTACAATATTGGCAGTTATCAGGAATTATAAGGATAAAAAAGCATTTATATTTTTGCTCGAATCATTTACTTTTCATTTATTTGGAAATATAGTACTTGTGTTTCAATACAAAGTGACAGAATTTTTTGTGCACAATGGGAGTATTCATTAATCTGAAGGATAGTCATGAAGATTGGTTGGTCCCTAAAATCAACTTCACATTTAAGATTGCCAACTGTTTTCATTGAAAGGAAAGCCCAGCATGCATATATACACAAAACAACAACTTGCATTTATATAGCGCCCCTCACACAGCGTAGCATCCCAGAACGCGAGGAACAGGAGTCGGCTATTCAGCCCTCTTCCGCCATTTTATTAGATGATGGCTGATCTGAACCACAACTCCAATTACCTGCCTTTGCCCCATATCACTTGATACCCTTACATGACATTATCATAAGATTGCTGAGTAAAATATTGATGATAATATAATTTCACATTACTGAGAAGTAGTAGGAAAAGGCAGAACCTAGTCATAAGATGCGCAATCGGAGCATGCTTTAATTTTGCTGCAGCGCCCATGGACATAGATCCCAAAAGACATAGGTATTAACTAACTCTTGATAATAACCCTCTAATAAGATCACTATCAAATAACAATAAAAAGTATAAAATTTCAAAAAAATTATTAAGATTTATTAAATATCAATGCTATTAAAGTTGTTGGCTGTTCAGTAGATATTTCAAACACATACAGTTCTAAAGCATGTTAAATTTTTGGTCTACCACCCAATGTTTTCTTAGTGAATTCGGGCACTAATACCAATTACCGCTATCACTATAATTAATACTGAAATCTTTCTTGCTGCCTTGTACCTGAGTGGTATGGTACTCTTGCTTTGGATTGTAATTGTTTATAACAGAGAACAAGATCTAGCTGTGCTAATGAATTACTGCCTTTTGTGTATTTATAATAATAATAATTCTAATAATAATCCTTGCATTTGATAATATTTGTAATTTGACAGATTTCCTTTAAATTCGGTGCATACAGGATGCTAGAAGTACAGTGGAGTCCATATTGTAACTTGATAATAATATTTTTGCATTTGATATTGCCCCTTATCACGTCTTCAAGACATCTCAAAGCGCTTTACAGAATATATTACCAATTGACTGTATATTTTGTGGGCAAAATGCGCAGCCAATTGCGCACAGCAGTGTCCCACAAACAGTCGTGGATTGAGTGACCAAATTATTATTATTATTTATTTTTGTCTAAAATCCCAGCTCATCAATGGACATCAATTAGTTTTTGGTCTTGAGTATCAATTCCGACTGACATTAATTATATACAAACAATGTACATGTAGACTTTATTGTCATTTGTTTTGTCACTTCAGGTTTAACTGCATATGAAAGGACAAGGAAAGACGCTTGACTGGAAGTTTTGTTTTCAAACCAAGCATTAGTTTCTGGTTATCGTGTTTTATTGATTGCTTTTTGATACCTGCAAAGCCTGGAAAAGCCGTGACGTACAGATCACACAATGTTAAAAAAAATTGAATCCGAGTGTAATTTTTGTATTATGTTAAGTTTGTGGTGTGTACATTACTTCTGCTGTCGAGCTGTCTTGCAGGATAGCTACAACAACAACTTGCATTTATATAGCTTCCCTCATGCAGGGTAGCGTCCCAGAGCACTTGACAGTGGCAGAGAACGACGCCGAGCCGGGGGGAGGGGGTAGCTGACCGTTGGCACGGTCGAAGAAGAATGCGAGGGACATGCAGGATAGAAAGCTGCGTGCAACTGCTCACAGCTCACCATTTAAACTCACTGCACAGCGTGAATGTCAGTATCAGCTCCTGTCAAAAGTGATTTAGTTGTATCTTCCTGATTTTATTGATCTTAACTGTTTTTTTTTGTCCAGAAAACTATTTCTCCTGGGAGGTCATTTCCCATTTATTGTCACTTTTTTGACTGGCAAATTGAAGGTGACAATAAAAGGACTCCACTGTACTGCAATACTAAACTGCACTACCCAGAATGTGTCTAACCCGAGAGCTCATGTCTGTAAATTGTTTCAGCTTTTTGTTCAGGTTAAAGATGAGAAACTCTTCAAACGCAACTTAAAAAGAAGTTAAGGTTAGCTTTAATTTTCAGTTAATGAAAGCTAGCCAACAAGTGTCCTGGAGGAAGTATTTGCTCAGATGAAGAGAATATTTGGAACCAAAACTCATTGAACCATGTCTGATGGAAGAGAGTCCCACATCACCTCACCTTCAGAAATGTCGGGAAGCCCATGTAACTTTAAATAATAATAATAATCCTTGGATTAGTTATAGCACCTTATCACATCTTTGAGATATCTCAAAGCACTTCACAGATATCCTGTAAAGTGAATTGACTGTATTTTTGTGGGTGAAACGCAACAGTCAAATGCGCACAGCAGTGTCCCACAACCCACCAGAAAAGCCAGCGACTAACAACCGGGTTCCTATTTACTGTTAGGTGGAGTAAGGAAACTTGTCCCAACGTTTTGCCCTGCCTGGGAATCGAACCCAGGTCCTCTCGCTTGCGAGGCGAGGGCTCTAATCACTAAGCTACAGGACTTCAAATGTTGTTGCAGTGCAGCGTAAGAAGGTTGACTCAGAACGATTGTGTCTGTTCTAACCTAATGACTAGCGTGTAACTGATTCTGTTTTAGCTCATTGTGGTCTGTGCCAATGGGAGATGAAAAGGATAACTGGAAAGTAAAAACTCTTGAAGAAATTTTGCAGGAAAAGAAACGTCGCAAGGAGCAGGAGGAAAAGCCTGATGTGAAACGCCCCAAAAACGTAAGTCGTCCAGCTATCGGCATTTTGTGTCCCAAATTAGTGACTGCTTTTTCTCTTTGGCGCTACCCATTTTGATGAATAATTATTGCTGTATTTCCAGTAATTAGCTAAACAGACAACAAACAACAAGTGGTAGAATTACTACCCAGAGTATTCTTTTAAAGTATTATTCACATCGTCGTTCTCCCATCCTGTTGCCTCCTAGCAATACTTTCCGTGTGTTCTAAAGTGACTAAATATTTAAAAGTAGCTACAGGAGTGGAACCGTTTTTTTTAAAAAATATATCTATATATAAAAGCAGATCTGGTTTTGGCGGGGTGAAATGTCACTACATCAGGAGTCAGCTGTTTGTTAGATTTACTGACTCCACAGGGTTTCGTTAAAATGGAGAAAAGTAGCAAAGTAGGGATCAATCTCATGTAGATGTGAGAATTACACAGCCTGTCATCTCAAAGATGAGCACCAGAACAACGGCTCCACTGAAACGCATTTCATTCTATGCTGCTTCAGATTGTGTGACTTTCGGCAAAATGGGAGGTGGGATTTAAAACCCTGAGCTCGTTTCTAGAAACTGAATACTTAAGAAATTCTACCCTGTTCACAGACCCAGAAATGACCACTTCTTTCCATTGACTTCGGAGCGTAGAAATTTGTTTCTCTGCTGGCCCCGATTTTAAACGATATTGAATTCAAAATACAAAATTACATCTCCACAGCGCCTTTCACGTCGGGAGGACGTCCCAAGGCGCTGGACAATCAGGGATTTGGACCCGACCGGGGGAGGTGGGCAATGGCATGGTAAATTTAATTTAACTAGTGAATGATTTAATTGTGCACATAGCCGGGTTTTTTTTACACGCACCTTAAGCAGCATCCGAGAGTCAACAGTGTGCAGTAATAATTTGTGCTAGATTAATATTTCAGTAATCCTCAAGACGTTCCTCGAGACATTGTTCATGTGAACATATGAAATTGTTCATGTTCATATCTAGGGCCTTTCCCTTTCTGTACAGAACTAGGGGGGGCATAAATTCAGAACAAGGGGCATAATCTTAAAATTAGAGCTTAGCCATTTAGGAGTGAAATCAGGAAACATTTTTTCACCCAAAGGGTAGTGGAAATTTGAAACTCCCTCAAAAGGCTGTGGATGCTGGATCGATTAAAATTTTGACGACTGAGGTGGATAGATATTTGTTAGGTCAGGGCATCAAGGGATATAGAGCAAAGGCAGGTAATTGGAGTTGAGGTACAGATCAGCCATGATCTTATAGAATGGTGGAACAGGCTTGAGGAGCAGCCTACTCCTGTTCCTATATTCCTGTAGTACCTGAGTCTCTCTCACAGAGAATAAAGGAATCTGCACTTGTATGCCTCGCATAACTTTTTTGAAAGGATTGTGGAAAATCAAATCAAACCACATTTTCTCCTTTTCGGTGATCTCCTTTCCTCAGCCTCTGACTCCCATTGGGTTATGGTCCCACAAGCAGGCCTATGTCACCTCACTCACCCCAGCGACCTATCTTCGTGTGTGAGCTAGAGAGCGAATGTCGGCTGACTATTCGACCAGAGGGGAGGGGGATTGGGGGGGAGGACGGGTGGGGCGGGCGGTGGGATCACAGCCATGCCTGATCCTCTACTCACCCGACCACCACACATTTGTTTACCAGCAGGGGTGCCTGGATAGGAACCAGGAACAGGAACCCAGACTGATTTTATTCCCTCTCCCTAGAACGGGGGTTGGGCGAGGTTAGGCCGTTTGTAACGCCCCAAAACTGCTGCCTCAGCTGGGATCACCTAACTCAGTACTTCATTGTTCCAATACGAAGCTCGCTCGCTATTCAAAAGATTGCTGTGCTGTAGAACACAAGGTAAGCGGGAGTTTCTACCCTACGCTGCTATTGGACGACCAACTGTTTTGACTTGGTCCTCCACTGTCACCGAGGCACGAGGTGAAGTGACTTTTAAGAGTTTCTGGGAATCCACTTTGGCTGTAAGGCAAACACCCCGTGTGTTCAGAAGTGGATGGTTTATGTGTACAGTCCTTTTCATCCCATCTGCGAATGTGACTATATATTTCGCCTCCTCATCCAAACCCAAGGTTCTCACTGGCAAGTAGGGAGTTCTCCAAGCTGCCATTGAGCACGTTCTTGAGTTATTCCGTGATTTGCATCATGAAACCCATCTCGCTGACAGCTTGTTCAACCCAGTTTTCTCCATAGATTTTCCCAGTTGTTCATCCTGGCAGCGTAGATATGAGCTTCATACCTAAAATAAAAGTCATACATCATACCAACTCTTCCTTCTCCAAGTTCCTTCAAGGTGTTGGAATCAAAAAGTCATCCTGTCATCTTTTTGAGCTCATCCTTTCCCAGGATCTCAGATTGTGAAACTCCTCCCCTCCCACAGTCCTCCTTATGAAGCCCAAACTTTGTGGAGTCCTGTTGCTCAGTGGTTAGAACACTTGCCTCGCAAGGACCTGGGTTCGATTCCTGGAGTAAGTTTCCTTACTCCACAGGCCTCTGTTTACCTAGCAGTAAATAGGAGCCTGATTGTTAGTCAATTGGCGAATCGCTTTTCTGGGGATAATAATCCCTTAAAAAAAAGTTTTAATAAGAATTTGGTCACTCAATCCACAATTGTGGGACACTGCTGTGTGCAATTGGCTGCTGCGTTTCACCCACAAAAATATACAGTCAATTCATTTTACAGTATATTCTGTGAAGCGCTTTGAGACATCTTGAAGACTTAATAAGGTGCTATATCAAATGCAAGAATTACTATTATGACCTGAACGGCTGCTTCTTGACTTGTTTGGTCTCCTCTCCTATTCCTTGGAAGCTTAGCGATGTTCTGGACTTTAGGGTCAGTTGACCTTAATGAATTGAAAAATACTTTTTTTTTGTGGTTCATTAATCCTTCATGTTGTTTTGCTCTTACTGTATTCCATAGTTTTCTGCAAATCATATTTATCATATATAAAAATTTATTCTTGCAAGTATCCCAATTCAATCCCATTTATCCTTCCAACAGATTAACTCAACTAAGGGGTAACTTTGCAACAGGAAATACAGTAGAACACATCCTTATTTGATAGTATTTAACTAATTTATGATTCTATTTAGGAATCATTGTACAGGAACATGTTCTGTGATTGATTTCAAGCATCCTATCTATTATGCGTCTCACCTGTTCATCTTCATTGTTTTGACATTTTTTTCCTACCTGTTTTATCTTTTTTTCCAACCGTTTGAAAGTGGATACAACTTTTTTTTTATTAACCCAAAAATTACTGACTGGTTGTTCCTGCCAGTATTTGTAGCCAGTGTGAAAGGTACCTGATTAATTGTCGGTATAGATGAGAACTGTAGATCTGATATTATTTTCATTTGCTCAGATTGAAGCGTGAGCCCCTCTTTCTCTCCCCCCCCCTTTCACCCCCCCCACCATAACCAGGCACATGAAAACATCTAAACACCTCAGTAGCACGCTTAAGGGTTAATAATTTGTGTGGTAAGAATCAGTGTTTTGCATGTATTCTGTTCTGTATTGATTTTTAACCAACTTTCAATTATGTACGTCTTTAAAGTGTAATTGTATGGAGTGCATGTGGCATGTACTACAGTGGAGCCCTTTTATTCTCCCTTTCAATTTGCCAGCCCCCCCCCCCCCCCCCAAAGCAATACTCAGGAAGCCACAATAATCAATGAAAAATATTTGAAATTTTTACAACCCAATTGCTGTACTGGGAAATCTTTCTTTCAGCCACTGCGGTTTTGTGGATGTATTTGTTTGCGTTGTTGATTTGATGGCAGCTTTGAACTCTCGAAGCAGAACGGGTTAAGCCTCAGGAAGGTTTTCACAGTAGCTGTAGTTTCGTGTTATTACACCACGCGAGAAAGCTGGCGTGATCCACTCACTGTGTATTGATATAAGTTGTGTGATTTCTGTATGCCGCTGCTTTTTCGAGGTCCAAATGCCTTGCTGTTCTCAGAACAATCAGTAACATAACAGAAGGTAACAACAGTCCGTGTTCTTTGATGTGCAAGTGAAACCTGACGCAATGAAAGCCACCATTTTGGCACAGCTGTCAAAAAACAAGTGACAGACACACACACTAGGTGGGAAACTGGCGATGAGGCAAGTAAGTGACGGACATCAGATCAAAGATAAGAACAATCAGCCATAAGGACATGTAGGCACCAGGCAGGATGTTGGAAATAAAATTGTAAGAAGCAAAACGGGTCAGGATTATCACCCTCTTTTTATCACCTTAGTTGGATGACAGGGAATCTAAGCGGGATTCACTGGAGGAAGGAGAGCTTCGAGACCACAGAGATAAGATGGAGATAACCATACACAATTCACCACACAGACGAGAAGAATCTATAGATGATCGGTATGTTGCTCTTTTAAGTACTGATTTTTCTAAGCAGAAACTTGATGAGGTAGCTTTCTCCTACTTTCTCCTACTTTCCCCACCCCCCCCACACACACACACGCACATGTGTATATAAAAAAGAATTATCTGGTCACTCAATCTACAACTGGGATGCTGCTGTGCACAATTGGCTGCCGCGTTTCGCCCACAAATACACAGTCAATTCACTTCACAGTATAGTCGGTGAAGCGCTTTGAGACGTCTCGAAGACGTGATAAGGCGCTATCTCAAATGCAAAAATTATTATATTAATAGAGTAGAGGGTTTATGTGGCGGGGAAAAACCTCAGCAGCTCGCTTATGTGAAAAATGTTGTTGTAACCTTTTGATTCTCCCGGTGATTATTTTAAAGTTGAGTTCTCACGTTACTTGAGTGGCTGGTCTCACTCAGTCACCCACTCACTCACTCACGTTCTCACTTGCCCATCCACCAACTCATTCACTTACTCACTCTCTCTCTCTCTCTCTCTCTCTCTCTCTCTCACACACTCACTCACTCATCCACCCACCCATCCACTCGCTCGCTCGCTCACTCACTCACTCACTCTCGCTTTAGTACACGTCGTATGTTGGAGCAATACTCATCTGGCCCAGAGAGCACACATTGGGTTCAGTAATGGCTTCTGCTAACACACTCGCCATTTTCTTTGAACACCTAGCGCCGAGGAGGATGAATCGCTGGCAATCAAACCTCCTCAGCAAACCTCCAAAAAAGAAAAATCTCACCACAGAAAAGAGGAACGGCGAAAGGAAAAACGAAGGCACCGAAGCCGATCGGTTGAAGGTGAGACAGGAACTTGACTGAACTTTTATCGCTTTGTTTGCTGGCTACGCCTGGAGTCCTGAAGCATTGTACTTAGTGCACTCACCTCACAAGCGAGAGGACTTCCCTGCCTTAATAACATTATAATGTTCTCGTATCTTTGCCCGCCCTGATGAGTCCCTACCTTATTCTAAAGTTTCAAGCAAAGAACAAGAACATGAAATTACATTTGTACAGCGGCTTTCACATCGGGTGGACGTCCCAAAGAATAACATGGATTGTATTTGCCAACAGGAAAGCACATGAGAGGGAAGGAGAAAGACAAGGAAAAAGAGAGGGAACACGAGCGGAGAAAGAGACAGCGGGAGGAGCAAGACAAGGCCCGGAGAGAAAGGGAGAGGCAGAAACGGAGAGAACTCGCCAGAGAACATTCCAGAAGAGAAAGGTGATGAATGTTTCTCTTCAGTGTCGGGCAGCTTATGAAGAAAATATTTAATAGCATGTGACGATTAAAAGCAAAAATATAGATTCCAGAACTTGGTGCTCCAAGTAATGATGGAGCTGAAAGATTAAGGGATTGGGGGGTGGGGGGGGGGGGGGGGGGTGGAGATGTAATCCGATATTGTTAACCTGGTTAAAAGTGTGAATGTTACGGATTAGCGCAGCTTTAACTAGCCTTGTGGTGGGTAATAAGTGATCTATTGTGTATAATATAGTGTAAGAGGACCCGGGCGGAACGTTAGGCAAGTTTCCTTACTCCGAGCGGCTCTGTTTACTTAGCAGTAACTTGGAATCTGGTTGCTAGTCGATTGGCTGATCGCTTTTGCCGGGGTAATAATCCCTTCAAAAGAAAAGATTTTTAAAATAATAATTCGATCACTTAATCCATGACTGTCTGTGGGACACTGCTATGCGCAAAGATTGTTATATTATTATTGTGTGTGGTGATGTGCGAAAACAACTAATTACATATTTTTAAATGCTCTTTTTAGGTTTATAAACTTACAAAATGTTGGTGTATGTTCCAGGGACCGTCTCGAACAACTGGAGCGTCAGAGAGAGCGAGAAAGGAGAATGAGGGAACAGCTTCAGAAAGAACAGTGGGAGCTGAAAGAGCGAGAGAGACGGGCTGAGGAACGGAGGAAAGAGCGAGACGTCAGGAGGGAAGGTACTTTGGAGCTTGTAAATCGCCTCTCAAACTTCACGTAGGGCTCATTGCGTCAGCTTTTAGATTATCATAGAATCCTACAGCACAGAAGGAGGCCATTCGGCTCACCGTGCCTATCCCAGTTCTTTGAAAGAGCTATGCAACTAGTCCTACTCTTTCCCCATTGCCATGCCATTTTGTTTCTCTTCAAGTATATATCCAGTTCCCTTTGCAAAGTTATTATTGCTGTGCACAATTGGCTGCCACGTTTCGCCCACAAAATATACAGTCAATTCACTTTACAGTATATTCCGTGAAGCGCTTTGAGATGTCTCGAAGACGTGATTAGGCGCTATATCAAATGAAAGGATTATTATTGTTATTGAATCTGCTTCCACCACCCTTTCAAGCAGTACATTCCAGATCGTAACAACTCGATGCTTTTAAAAAGAATTCTCCTCATCTCCCATCTGTTCTTTTGTCAGGAGAATGATATGCTGAGATCCAAAACACCTTGTGCCCTTAGGTTGAAGACCATTATCTTAAAGCCAATTTTTGGGTCCCAAATGCAGGCCTGGGCGAGATTAGCTAACTCAGATTCGGAATTGAAGCTAAGATTTTCTGGTCTGGTTTATCGTTAACCTTTAATGTGCTCAAAGTCTCTTAACACATAGTATAAATACTATTTAATCTTGTTCACTGTATTAGGAACATAAGAATTTTGCCAGGCGAAAGAAGACCAAAGTCCATTCAGTCCACATTCCACCATATAATAATAATCCTTGCATTTGATGTAGCGCCTTATCACATTTTGAGACGTCTCAAAGCGCTTCACAGAATATTCTGCAAAGTGAATTGACTGTATATTTTGCGGTGGAATGAAACGTGGCAGTCGCTTGACATGCATTAACTTCCTCTTTCGTCAGCTTGTTGAGGAATGAATGAATTTGTGTGTTCTTCCTTCCCTGCTGTCTTGCAGCAATCTTGCACCACAGAAATGTGAAGGAGGAATACAGTGACAAACTCAAGCAGCATCATAGGAGCCGGAGTCCAATACGGTTCCACAGGGATAGGATGGAACCGGGGGACGTCAGGAAAAATGGTAAGGACCTACCAACCTGAATCCATCGCCCCCAATTGAGAGACAAGCCTTCGCTGGAAATAACTACATCTTGTGGGACATCTGAGCCACATTGATAAAGCTGTGCAGTATATGGAGCTCTGATGTTTAGCTTGTTACTGCATGGAATATAATAAGTCCTTGCCTTTGATATAGCGCCTTTTCACGACTTTGAGACATCTCAAAGCGCTGCACGGAGTAGACTGTAAAGTGAATTGACTGTATATCTTGTCGACAGAATGCTCAGCCAATTGTGCACAGCAGTGTTCCACAAACGTTGTGGATTGAGTGACCAAATTATTATTTTTATTCTTTATTTTTTTAAGGGAATGTTACCATTGTTACCCGGGGAAAAGCGATCCGCCAATCGACTTAACATCTGGGCTCTTACTTACTGCTAAGTAAACAGAGGCGTGTGGAGTAAGGAAACTTGCCCAACATTTCGCCCTGCGAGAACCCAGGTCCTCTCACTTGCGAGGCAAGTGCTCTAACCACTGAGCTGCAGGACTCCACATGGGTGCAGCCTTAGCCACTGTAGTAATGAAGCATGAATTCAGTATCCCTCACAGCCTAATTAAAAACACCCTGATGCATCGGTGTGTTAAGAACACGCCAGTTTCCATCGGTTTGATGGGTGATGTCCTGTTTGTTTGTAAGTGCTTTGTATTGTACCAATTGCCTTGACAATATGGCATTTCTCTGCACAGTAAAGGAGGAGAGATATGAGGAGAAGGACCTACTGTCTGACCTCCAGGACATCAGCGACAGTGAGAGAAAAACGTCTGGAGAATCCTCCTCAGGTTAGTTTGGGATTGTCCTGGGACTGGGTTACATGTGCTAGATATTTCAACACGCTATTCCTTAAGAAAACTTGCATTTTAAATAGCGCCTTATCACGTCTTCGAGACATCTCAAAGCGCTTCATAGGATACACTGTAAAGTGGATTGACTGTATTGTGTAGGCAAATCACAGCAGTTAATTGCACTCAGCAGCATACAATGTGGCACCTTTGTTGATGTGTATAGGAGTAATTCAGGACGTGATACGTGCATGCGACTACCAGGATGGTTGAAGGGAGGAACTGGATGAACCTTGGTCTCCTCTCACCCACTTTCCTTTGTGTTATGTTCCAACAGGGTCTGTGACTGCCTCTGAGGAAGAGAGCAGCAGTGAGGAGGAGTCTGAAGAGGAATCTCCCAGTCAGTCTGAGGTTGAATCCCAACAGTCACAGGGTGAGGAACAGAACTATCCCTCGCTAATGCCACGTTTCTTACATCTCAAAGAGCCAGGTACAAGTCCTGTGGAGGCACGAGAACTAATTTTAACATTTTTGCATTAACTAATCAACGTGGCTTTCATTTCAATGGCAATTTGCACTTGTATAGCATAGGATGAATAATAATATAATAATAATAATCCTTGCATTTGATACAGTGCCTTATCACGTCTTTGAGACGTGTCAAAAAGTTTCACAGAATTTTCTCTAAAGCGAATTGACTATATTTTCTGAGCGAAATTGCGCACAGCGGAACTTCTGAAAGTGATTCACAAAGGTGAAGGCAGGGATTGAAAGCAAAAGGCAAAGGGATTTAGGGAGCTTTCCAAAGAGCTGAGGTGTGGTGTCTGAAGGCTTGACCACTCACTGATGGTGAGACAGCGGAGTGTGGAGGAAACACTAATAATAATAACAATAATAATCCTTGCATTTGATATAGCACCTTATCACGTCTTTTGAAACGTCTCAAAGCGCTTCACGGAATTCCCTGTGAATTGACTGTATATTTTGTGGGCGAAACAGTCGATCAGAGCAGGCAAGAGAGGAGGTCACTGGCAAGAGAATAGGGCTAGCGGAGATTGCAGAGAGAGGGACCAGCCAGATCATAAGGAGATTTGAAGGTTAGTGGATGAGCTTGAAGTTGATCAATGAGGCACTAGTGGAGTCTGGTGAGGATGAGGCTAATGGTTGGGTTAGTGCCTGATACAGAAAACAACACAAATGTCTTCCCTTTTCCCAGTATTTCCTTGTTTGTGCTGAAGGTGGCGAGACCTGATATTTGGTCTCAGAGGAGCTGGTGACTTGCCAACCTCATACCCGAGTGCCTCTTTCTTCCTGCGTTCTGCAAGGTGACTGTCCACAGCCTGTTTAAGCACAAGGAACATCACAGCTGGCATCCACCCTAATTTAACCTGATGCTATCGTGTATACAGACAAAATACTGTCTCAAAATGGGACTAGTATAGGCTGTTCCAGTGTTTGATCACTGACACAATAGAACGAGCGATCTCCTGTGGCTGAAATTTCTGTGGTTACCTCGTTATCTGCTTGCATAAAAGTTGAGGGAAAATCTGAGGTGAGGAATCTTTAGTAATTCTTACCTTAAGTGACCCCTATGCTTTGAAATAAACCCGCATGCTGTAAAGCAATAATCCTTTAGGGAATATACAAAAGGTTTAATACAAAGCTTTCGGAATGAAGTTTTGAGCGTGAAGGTTCTGACTTTCTATTTGTTTTCAGGAGAGATTAGTGAAGAAGAGGAGCACAGTGACGAAGAACGACAGAATGGGAATCATATCCAAATAGGTAACCCTTTATGATAATAATCATAATCCTTGCGCTTGATATAGCGCCTTAACATGTCGTTGGGACATCTCAAAGCGCTTCACAGAATCGATTGTAAAATGGATTGCCTTTTTACAATATTGTGGACGAAACGCGGGAGCCAACTGCGTGCAGCAGTGTCCCACAAACAGTCGTGGATTGAATGACCAAATTATTTTTTGTTGCCGGGAAAGCGATCGCCAATCGACTAACAACCGGGTTGCTGCTTACTGCTGGGTAAACAGAGGCGTGTGGAGTAAGGAAACTTGCCCAACGTTTCGTCCTACCCCGGGAATTAAACCCAGGTCCTCTTGCGAGGCATGTGCTCTAACCACTATGCTACAGGATTCCACACTCAATTTGCCTCAAGTACAAATCGAGAGCTTTGCTCTTTGCCCTTCGATCAACCGAAGTTATTCATTGCAGAGTCGAAGTTTGATCACGATTCCGAAGAGAGCATGGAGGAAGAGGATGAGGTGGAGGACGAGAGTCCCATCTCTACCGAACTGACGGAGGGAGAGTACATTCCAGATTCCCCGCCAGTCTCGCCCGTTGAGTTGAAGAAAGAATTGCCACAGTACTTGCCAGCTCTTCAGGTATGGCTACCTCACTGTTTGGACACGTGTGGGTCAGTCAACATGTGTGATTAGAATAATAATCCTTGCATTTGATATGGCGACTTATCACGTCTTCGAGACATCTCAAAGCACTTCACAGAATATACTGTAAAGTGTATTGACTATATTTTGTATTTTGAAAATATACCCACTTTTATGATATTTTAATACAAATTGCCTTTAAATGCAAGCATTTCCAAAATGTGAGTCCCTCGCTGCTGATAATAAACATTTGCGAGTCACTGAAACAAGCAATTATTTGCAATATTTTACGTTATTATTTTGCAGCATTTGTTTTTAATGATAATAATCCTTGCATTTGTTAGAGCGCCTTATCATATCTTTGAGACGTCTCAAAGGGCTTCACAGAATATACTGTAAAGTGAATTGACTGTATATTTTGTGGGCGAAACGCGGCAGCCAATTGAGCACAGCAGCGTCCCACAAGTGAATTGAGTGACCAATTTATTGCTGTTTTCAGGGTTGCCGGAGTGTGGAGGAATTTCAGTGTCTCAATAGGATTGAAGAAGGAACGTATGGTGTAGTTTACAGAGCCAAGGACAAAAAAACAGGTGGGTGTGTAATATACTGTTTCAAGTGGTTGAGAATAGTTGCCTTATTGATTCCTAAATCCAAATTACTCAGCAGCTAGTTTAACATCAGTCCGGTCACTTTAAGTCGATTGGTGGATTGCTTTTCCTGAGCTAATAATCCCTTCAAAAAAGTAAATAAATAAAAATAATAATTTGGTCACTCAAACCACGACTGTTTGTGGGTCACTGCTGTGCGCAATTGGCTGCCTTGTTTAGCCCACAAAATACACAGTCGATTCACTTTACAGTATGTCTCGAAGACATGATAAGGCGCTTTATCAAATGCAAGGATTATGATTATATTATTATGTTGTGATTGTCATTTCTCTTTCAGATGAAATCGTGGCTTTGAAGCGACTAAAAATGGAAAAGGAGAAAGAAGGCTTTCCAATCACATCGCTTCGGGAAATCAACACAATTCTGAAAGCCCAGCATCCAAACATCGTCACTGTTAGAGTACGTAACATCTAATTACATTTAAACAAGTCATTGGAAGACATTCTGGGCATATTCAAGGTTTTCTCAGTTGTTAACAGTTGAGTCCTGTAGCTCAATGGTTAGAGCACTCACCTCGCTAGCAAGAGGACCTGGGTTCACTCCTGGGCAGGGCGAAGCATTGGGCAGGTTTCCTTACTTCATGCACCTCTGTTTACCTAGCAGTAAGGTACCCGGTTATTAGTTAATTGGCGGATCGTTTTTCCAGGATTAATTTGAAGGGATTATTATCCCCTGGAAAGTCATCCGCCAATCAATTAAAAACCTGGTCAAACTCATAGCCCGATGTTCATACAGGCCCTCAAAAATGCCTACAAGAACGGAGCATTTTGTGTATTAGTGAGAGGTGCCACATGTGTGAATAATCATTTATTATTGAAACTTCTCTTTTACAGGAAATCGTGGTGGGAAGCAACATGGATAAGATCTACATAGTCATGAACTATGTGGAACATGACCTCAAGAGTTTAATGGAAACCATGAAACAACCCTTCTTGCCAGGTAAAATCCAAATCCCTGAGTGTCCAGCTCCTTGAGACGTCCTCCCGACGTGAAAGGCGCTATACAAATGTAATTTTGTATTGTATTGTAAAGCTCTTCTAGTATAAGTCGTGAGCAGTGCAGAATGGGAAAGAAGTTGGAATCATCTGTACCGATGTTCAGCTTCTACATAACAGTATATGTATAACAATATATATAACAATATATTCTGTCAAGAGCTTTGACCCATCTCAACGACCTGATAAAGCACTGTATCATACGCAAGGATTATACATCATTTATATAGAGGAGTACATGCAATCTCTTGTCTGACCACGTGGTGGAACCACATTTCACATTTTCTCATCAAATAATAAATCACTGCTTTCGATGCAGAGCCATATATCTCAAAACACTTTATAGCAACTACTATTGTGGCTAGTAACTCTGTAGGTCACGGGTTTGTGATTTTGTTGTGTGTGTTTATTCTGTTCATCTATGCCATTCGTACACATTATTAAGAGTATTATTTTCTCTCCGAATAACCCGTCACCATTCAAATCCGCTCTCTTCCAGGTGAGGTTAAGACGCTTATGATCCAGCTTTTAAGAGGTGTTCGGCATCTTCACGACAACTGGATTTTGCACCGAGATTTGAAGACGTCCAATCTGCTGCTCAGCCATTCAGGAATACTCAAGGTCAGTCCATGCAGGAGAACATGGTAATAATGAGGATCGAGATGTTTCCAGTATATTCCCCCTTTGTGTTTTGTGTGTATGTATTTTCAAATACATTCAGACAACACAAATTCTCTGATTGAGCCAGTTTCCATGTTCCTGCCCATATTCCATAGCTGCTACTGAAGCAGAATCCATTGTTATTAAAGGGAATGGTTAGATGCTTGAAAAGAAGACTATTAAATGGTATGGAGAGAGAGCAGAGGAGTGGGCTTGGCTCGGCGGCAAAAAAAAATTCCTCTTCAAAAAAAAATACCCCTTTCACCCAACATTCCCAAGGGATGGTTCAATGGCACCTGTAGTGCATCTCCCAGTTGGACATTATTCACAATCGAGCTATTCACCTGCATGGAGCAGGGTGGGAATGTTTAGCTGTGCTTGAAAATAATAATAATCCTTATATTTGGCAAAGCACCTTTCACGTCCCAAAGCGCTTAATTCGATCTACCGCAAAGATAGGCAGAGAAAAANTGCCAGCGCAGATGTGATGGACTGAATGCTGTGGCATTCTATTGTAGGGATTTTCTCTGTTTAAAACGAGACAATTAACAGGAGATCACAATGTTATTGAATCGGCAGCTAATAAATCCAACCCAAGGCATCAAATTCCTCGTCAACTGCTTTTTGTTTAATGTTTCCATGAGCTAATTCTCTCAGTAGTGTTGACCTGTCAAATGTAATGAATGTGTTTATTTCATGTATGTAATATTTATGCATTCTCTAGATTGGCGACTTTGGACTTGCTCGAGAGTATGGCTCTCCACTGAAACCTTACACGCCCGTTGTGGTAACTCTCTGGTACAGGACGCCCGAGCTGTTACTTGGAGCAAAGGTTAGTTGGGTTTGGGAGAGGGGGGAGTGACTGCCGAGTGGAAAACACCCCAAAATATTGCTCTTTCCTTACCCTGAGATAGGTCTGACCTTATTATAATCCTTGGGTGGGGGGGATACAGCACTTTTGAAACCAATTTTCTCTTTCAAGTCTGAAAATACGTCTGATCTAATGACGGTCGCAGACCTCCTGCTATTCCCGTAGCTCAGTGGTTGGATCACCTGCCTTGCAAACGAGAGGACCTGGGTTTGATTCCCAGGCGGGATGAAATCTTAGGCATGTTTCTTTACACCAGGCACCTCTAGCAGTTAAGTCGATTGGCTGATCACTTTTCCAGGGGCAATCCTTAAAAGAAAATAATAAAGCGCTATATCAAATTCAAGGATTATTGTACTATTATTGTTATATGTTCCCCCCCTCCACCCCCATTCTTCTTGTTTTGCAGGAATACTCGACTGCGATTGACCTGTGGTCAGTGGGCTGTATCTTTGCTGAATTCCTCACACAGAAACCTCTGTTTCCAGGCAAATCGGAAATTGACCAGATTAACAAAATATTTAAGGTAAAAACTGGGTTTGTTAAGAAAGGACAAGGCTTCAGAGACTCTTTTTAGGCGTGTCCTGCTATACTATAAGATCATGACTGATCTGTGCCTCAACTCCCAATTACCTACCTTTGCCCCATATCCCTTGATATCCTGACCTAACAAATATTTATCCACCTCAGTAGTGAAAATGTGAATGGATTCAGCATCCACAGCCTTTTGGGGGGGAGAGAGTTCCAGATCTACCTTTTGTGTGAAAAACTGCCTCCTAATTTCACTCCCAAATGGCCTAGCTCTAATTGTAAGATTATGCCCCTTGTTCTGGATTCCCCCCACACAGAGGAAATAGTTTTTCTGTAGCTACTCTATGGAATCCCCATATTATTTTTAAAACCTCAACTTAAGGGAATTATTATGCTGTTAATTAAACTGAGTGTTTTTCTCGCACACAGGAGCTGGGCACACCGAGTGAGAAGATCTGGCCAGGCTACAATGAGCTCCCGGCAGTGAAGAAAATGACTTTCACTGAGTATCCGTTCAACAACCTGCGCAAGCGATTTGGGGCCCTTTTATCTGATCAAGGCTTCGACCTCATGAACAAGTAAGTGCAGAAACCCGGGGTGCTCAAGATCTTTTAACACCAACCAGGATATTTAGTTGCACTTTAATTGGCATACATGTGGTGGCGGTGAGTAAGAATTGAGGGAGCTGTTCGCTGTGTGTGTGTGTTTTTGTACAGGTGGATGTTAAAGATCCCATGAGGCTTAATCATAAAGAGAATGGAGTTTGTCCTAAGGTCCTGGCCATCAATCTTCCAGATAAGTTGGTCATTCACCTGGAGGCTGTTTGTGTAGGGCCTTTCTGTGCGCACACTGGCTTCTGCGTTTGCCTCCAACTACAAAGTCACCACACTAGATAGCAATTAGCGTGAAGCGCTTTGAGCCGTATTGACATGGTGAGTTGCTATGAAAATCCAAGCTTTTTTGAGTCTATGTATCAGTTAGTCAGGTTTACGATATAAAGGACAAGAAGTTGTACCAAAACAGTCACTGTACTCGATGCTAATGGCTTGTTTTGACATGTCTACGCTCTGCCTGATCACAAACAGTGAGCGCTGGATGCTGACATGAGTTGTCTTGTTCCTTCATCCACCGCTGACGTTTCTCCACCTAGTTCAGCAGAAAACCTCAACAAAAGTATAAAATCAACCGCGCACATATTGTTTGCATTGCTTTTTCTGACTTGCGACGATTTACGAGTTGTTGCATCAGCGTATGTGTGTGGGTGTGTGTGCAAATGTTCTTCTTCCAAGCCCAAAAGAAGACAGTACATTCTGTTTTTAGAAACAGAAAAGTTGGACATTAACTGTCAATTAAATATTTCCAGTTTGGGGGCTTTGGAGAGGTTTGCTATTTGAACATTCTTCCTCACTTATAGATACACCAGGGAACAGCATAATCCTGTTCCATTGACCATTTCAATTGTAGGCAATACTTCGGACTGACCTTAAAGTCCTTTGTGGTGATTATTAGCAAGTGTAGTAACTTTTTTTGGGGAAAGAAAAGTGCCAGTCATTTCACACGCAGCAGAAGACAAATGTAATGACTGTATTTGTAGGTAAACCCGGCAGGCAATTTGCACAAAGCAATGTCCTACAAAGGGCTGACTTAATCTGGTGGATCAGAACAGCGAGAGGACCTTGTCTTTGTGAATAGAGCAAATGGGGATCTTTAACATCCACCTGAAGAACAGTCAGACTGGACCTCAGAATAACAGCACAGCACTGGGATACAGCCTGGGTTGTGAGCTCAAGTTCTGACTCTGAGCTTGAACACCAAACCACCTTGACCTAAAAGCCGAGAGCTACCAGTTGAGCCAAGCTAACACCTTCTAATGTGAGAGCTGATGAACCGTATACTCTGGCTATGAGTTGAGACTCGCCTGGCACGAGATGACTTTTTCCGATTTCCATCTCCCTCAACTCTCGCTGCCAAGAGCTGACGCAGTTGACCCCTGCTGTGGCTGGCAAACACGAGTGCAAGTCAGTGCCTCAACCACAAGCTTGTGGACTCTGGCCGTGAGATGCTCGTCTGCGTGTCTCGCTGACTGCTGCACAGACTGTCTGGAGTCTGAACCATTTTTAACGCTCTCCTGCCAGTCAGCCTGACATGTAGAATTTGCTACAAATTATTTAACCTCTTTTCTGTGTATTATTGCCACCAAATTAATCGACCGACGAGTTGCAATTCCTTTGTTGTCTGCTTAACAAGACTGCGACGCTCGGGAAATTAGGATCAAGAGCAGCGATGATAGTCAGAGAAAAGATTCTGTCTTGGTGACTGTGCGAAGAAAGAGCCAACAACAACAACTTGGATTTATATAGCGCCCTCCACGCCGGATGGCGTCTCAGAGCACTACACAGTAACAGATGCCGGGCCCGAGCCGGGGGGAGTGGGGGGGGAAGGTGACCAAAGGCGCGGTCGAAAAGAAAAGGTCTTCAGCCAAGACCTGAAAATGGGAAGAGAGGGAGCGAGGCGAAGGGAGTGAGGAAGGGAGTTCCAGAGCCTCGGGGCACAGTGGCTGAAGGCACGGCCGCCGATGGTGGAGCGGAGGATTCGGGGGACGAGGAGGCCAGACCCGGTGGTGTTGGCCAGACGGAGCCACGTATTGAATGCTTTGCGTTGGCAAGTGAGCTTTCTCACTGTCAGAGGCAATGTGACCTGCCAATACATTTTCATCAAAACTCAGCCCACGGTTTCAGGTTCATTGGCTATTGCCAGGGCAATGCGGTTGCAATGTTTGCCCATTTTACATTCTATCGTCAATATAATTTCAGACATTGAGGCACTTATTTAGATTCCATTTGTCATGTGATTCACATTGGTATTGAAGCTACCAGCCCGGACAGTATCTGAAAGAAAGCTGGTGTGTTTCTCCTGGCTTGTATTCCCCTCTCGATCAAATGCAGCCCAGGTTTCAATTAAACTGGCTTGTCCTCTCTCACCTGTTGTTCAGAGAACATTTTTTTCTGGTGAAAATTTGGGTCTGTAATAACAACTTGTTTCATTTCTAATTGATTTAATTCCGTAATGCACTTTGAGGCAGTACTTTTACGTGGAACGTCAAATACAGATGTAAGTTGCTCTTGTGCTGGTGGGGGGTTGATTGAATCTCTTTTGTTTCGAACAGATTCCTGACCTACTGCCCGGCCAAAAGGATAACTGCAGAAGAAGCTTTGAAACATGAGTATTTCAGGGAGACGCCGCTTCCTATAGAGCCCTCCATGTTCCCCACGTGGCCGGCCAAGAGCGAGCAACAGAGGGTTAAACGTGGAACCAGTCCTCGTCCCCCGGAGGGAGGGCTTGGCTACAGCCAACTGGTGAGTCTTTTTACCTTTCCACCACCGAGATTACTTAGTGTTTCTCTTGCCTCAAAGCACCTTAACATCCCTATTAAAGTAGAGGACGCATAAGAGTTTAGTCAGATGGATGAAGAGTCACTGCACTTCACAGTGAATCGGGTGAAGCGCTTTGAGACATCGTCTCGATGTGAAAGTTGTTGCACCACATTCACAGAGTTTTGTATTGGAATTGGAATTAAGAAATTAAGGCACTAGAAAAATGTAATTTGTGGCTGTTATTTACTTCTGCCGCAAAGCCTTTCAATGTGAAATCTGCCGTTTCAGGGCGACGATGATCTGAAGGATGGCTTTCACCTGACAACCACCAACCAGGGAGCCTCAGCAGCCGGTCCCGGCTTCAGCCTCAAGTTCTGACGCACTTGGAGCTCTCAACTCCCAACGATGTACATTGACGGACAATTTTTTTTAGCAGCTAAAGGATACCCACCCTTTAGCTTTCCTGTGAAACTCTGTCCAGCAGAAATTATTCTGTATTTCTTATACAGCACAGCATGACGGGTCAACAATAGTTCAGCTTTACGTTGATGTTCTTTTCTTTACACTTTTGGAAAAAACCCATTTGTAAAATATACGATGCAATTCTATCAAGCCGTTTGCAACGCAGAGAGTTTCCATCCATCCACCACAACCTGTCACACCTGGTAGAAGTTTCTGTAAAAGAGCTTTTCCTGATCTCAGACTTACTTGGCTAACAGTGTGTAGGCAGACAGACATCCAATAATCAGCAACAAGAGTCTTAACAAGTTACAATCCATCCCCACATCTAGATCTTACTCCACACACCTCTGTTTGCCTAGCAGTAAGTAGGAATCCAGTTGTTAAGTCAATTGGTGGATCACTTTTCTGAGGGTGGTAATCCCTTTCAAAAAAAATAATAATTTGGTCACTCAATCACTTAAATCAAGACACGAAAAGGAGCTATATCAAAAGCAAGGATTATTACATTATAACATTGCAGAAAATAAAATCTGTGCTGTAGAAATGTTCTTACATTTATTGGGACAATTTATATTTTATCAGACTGCGATATATCTTACTAACACAGGAAAAAAAACTTGCAATTTCAACTCATTAATCTACATATACACATAGTTCTATGTAATATTTTTTAAAAATCAGAATTAATGTCAAACACTGAAGTAACTGCGTGTGAAATTGAGCCCCCGTCTCTTCCCATAAATGGTATTACGGTGAGCTGCTTTATTCACTACATAAACTTGCTAAGCTATTGACGGAGCAAGTGGTGAGTATCTCAAGGCAAATCAGACGTGAATCTGTATTTCCAAACACTTCTCTGAGTACACGTTACTTAATCTCAAGCAAATGCAATAAATCAAACATCTCTGTTGTCACGTAACATCAAGCGTCTAACGCAGGAGGAGTCCAACCTTGTGGCTGCTGAGGGCTGGATACCGTATTTGAGAAACGTCCGTGGGTCCCAGAAACATAACTTTTACGGGTTATGGGGTGGGGGGGGGGACAGATGAAATGGAGGGGAGGGGGATGAAATCAGCCCGTGCCTGTTGGTTGGACCACCCTGGTCTAATGTCACGAACTGCACTGTTTTTTCGTTGGGTCGAGCATCATCTTATTCTTTGACCTTTATCTCCCAGGAGTATTTGGTCAGAGTTTTGCCCCGTTTCTTCACCAGGCACATGTAGGTCCCCTCGTTGATGGCGTTGGCAATGATACTGAGCTTATTGCCTCTCATGGAGATATAACCGGGATAGGAAAACTCCAGAGGTTCACCATCTTTGTACCAGCTGAAAAACAGAAATCAATGCAGATAAAAGCCACACGTTTGTTGCTCTACTGAGAGACACCCGTGCACACAAACAGTCTTAAAACAGTATTGAAGAAAGCCATTCGTCTCCGGGCAAAAACCTCTCTGATTGCACCTTTAGCCACTTCCTCCCGCGCTCTCCCCCCGCAATCTCCCGCCCTGCTGAGTGGGGCAAGTAGCTAAAGATGAATTTAAGATGTTTCCTACATCAAAGGAGGAATGTACTGTGCGTCTATGTATTCAAGTGCAAACTCTTGCAGACAATTGTTTCAAATTCTAAGCTGACAGATGGATTTTACAGGCCGGGTAAGTGCTTAAACTGCAGGATTTTCTGGGGGTAAAAGTTCCTTCAGAAAATAATAATTTGGTCACTCCATCCACGACTGTTTGTGGGGACGCTGCTGTGCACAATTGGCCACGTTTCGCCCACAAAATACACAGTCAATTCACTTTATAGTACATTCTGTGAAGTGCTTTGAGACGTCTCGAAGACGTGATAAGACACTTTTATCAAATGCAAGGATTATTATTACTATAACACATGTACAGTACAGGTCAGTAACACTTACATTGAAAGCACCGAACCCAGTGCGAAATCCTCAAGTAAAAGAGGGAGCCAAAAAAACAATTTAATTTCCTTCAAGAGTTTCATAAAATACCAGGTTTATAGCTGAGAACGGAAGGATATCGAGTACATCTCTGGTATTCACGAGCAAGGAGACATCAATTTAACATCAGTAACAGGAAATTCTTGCAAGCTTTATTTCACACTGTTAACGTCTAGAGGTTAGAGGCTAAAAGATATTTTAGAGGCAATAAATTGTGAATTATGGATGTGCTGAACGACCATGAGGGAGCAACTAAAGTGTTCAGGAGCGGGGGAATGGATAGGAGAAGGGAAAACCTGTGTTTTTATAGCATCCATAATGATGATTACGAAATAAAAATTACTGCCGGGACCTGCTTTTTGTTGGCAAATGCACACCAGAACAAAGCAAAGTCCTCTACCTACAGCCAAGAGGTGGATGATCCTCGAGGATTGTTGGCGAGGATACCAGTTGGAAACTCACTTTAAATAGCTATGTGAATTGGCTGTGCAAGGAATGCCCCCCATCAAATCGCTTCATACCCTCGCACCTTCCTACCTATCCGATCTGCTTACCCCCCCCACACCACAACCCGTTGCCTCCGCTCAGCTGGCTCCAGCCTCCTGTTTGTCCCTTGTCCCCTCCACTCCACCATTGGTAACTGCCTTCAGCCACTACTCCCCAAAGCTCTGGAGCTCTCTCCCTCAATCCCTCTCCCGCAATAATAATATTGATTATTATTTAACAACAACAATACTAGCGCCATTCACCCGGGATGGCGTACCGGGGGCCTTTCACTGTGGCTGAGTCTGACACCGAGCCAAAGGGAGAGGTAATAATCCTTGCATTTGATACAGCGCCCTTTCAAGTCTTCGAGACGTCTCAAAGCGCTTTACACGATATACTGTAAAGTGAATTGACTGTATATTTGTGGGCAAAACACGGCAGCCAATTGCGCACAGCAGTGTCCCACAAACAGTCGTGGATTGAAGTGACCAAGTTACTTTTTTTTAAGGAATTATTACGCCCAGAAAAGTGATCCACCTAACAACCGGGTTCCTACTTACTGCTTGGTAATGCGTGTTGGGAGTAAGGAAACTTGGCCCTACTGGGAATCAAACCCAGGTCTCTCGCTTGCGAGGCAAGTGCTCTAACCACTGAGCTACAGGACTCCAGGAATCCCATCCCATCCCAAGAGACCGGTAATCACACCGCATTCTGCTGGTAATAAACCAGGGAAAAGGTGTCTTTTGACCTATAATCTATGATGTGAGCTGCAACAGTGGAAGCCACAACTCGTGTCACTGGCTCTCGTTTCTCACCGTGCAATTCTGTTACGCTCTCCAGCAGCCACACACCTGGTGATAGCCTGAGATGTGTGCGCGAGGTCCTGCGGGAGATGGTGGTTCCCCAGCACATGATCAGGAGAGAAGGGGACAAACTATCGTACTGGTGTCTTCGCTGTGAGTCAATTCACTTTACAGTACATTCTGTGAAGCGCTTTGAGACGTCTCGAAGACGTGATAAGCTGCTGTATCAAATTCAAGGATTATTACCTCTCCCCTTGGCTCGTTGTCAGACTCAGCCACTGTCAAGGATGCTACTCCATGTGAAGGGCGCTATATAATTGCAAGTTGTTGTTGTTGTTAACTAATAATTATAATTATTATTATTAAATAAATGTCACCTTAGACTTTGTCCCAGACTGGGGCTTGAACCCACAACCTTCTGACTCAGAGATGAAAGTGCTACCCAGTGAGCCACAAAAGAAATCGCATTGAGTAGAGTAACTAATTTCCCGTTTCAAGTCAGCTCTGTAGGAAAATAAATCCAAATAGAATTTCATGACACTTTGTAATCTAACCAGAAGATGGCACTGATTCAACCTAGGAGTCAGCAACAGGCAAAAAAAAAGGACGTTAGGATGGGTTTCAAAATAATAATAATCCTTGCATTTGATACAGCGCCTAATCACGTCACTGAGACGTCTCAAAGCGCTTCACAGAATGTGCTGTAAAGTGGATTGACCACGTATTTTGTGGGCGAAACCCGGCAGCCAGTTGCGCACAGCAGCGTCCCCACAAAACAGTCGTGGATTGAGTGACCGCATGTTTTTTGAGGGGAGTGGGAGGGATTATTACTCCAAGTAAAGCGCTCTGCCAATCGACTAACAACCGGAACATGTTCCTACTTACTGCTCGGGAAACAGTTAATATGTTTACACATCATATAATCAAGAGGTCCCGATCTCCTGGCACACAACGCAACACAAGTCAACCAGAGAGCGAAGTCTGTACAAAGCCGCTTCACTGGACCCCTGAGGTTCAGGCAACTTCTCGATCACATCCTTCGCAGAGGAAACTCCATCAAACAGCACCAGTTGTGGAGGTCAACGGCAAAGTTTCTAGCAACTGTCCTCCCGATGTGAAAGGCGCTATACAAATGCAATTTGTTACAGTTGTTGTTTACTGGTCATGTTATGGTAAGAATACCAGAAAGAAAGTGTTAATAATAATAATTATTATAATAAAGCAGCTTCTGTATAAGATACAATGTCCATGATAGAAACAGGGAGGAGAGGAGGGTGGGATGGGTTCACCAAAGGCATGGGTCAAAGAGTTAGCTTTGCTGCGAGAGTTTTGAAGGCAGAGCGAGAGACACAGAGAGAGTAGAGCAATGTGAAGTTATTTGGGGAGCAAGTAGCAGAGAGTGGGGCAGAACAGCAATGGACGTTAGCACAGTCACTGCAATAGTGCGGGAGTTTTCGCAAATTAAAACAAAAGTTAATTTAATACACCCAAGGATCTCAAACGAGACAAAACAGCAGCTCGAAGACTCCGAGACTCTCTCTGACCAGAGAGAGAGTGAGCGCGTTTCTAAGAAAACCTTGTTATCTGTCTTGCTCCGTGATGGACAGGATACGTATGCACAAAGCTATTTCCATATTACAGACTGGGCAAGTGCAAGTTAGTTAAAGGTTTGAGTCGGAGAAACCACGATTGTTTGTTCTGGCCCGAATGCGGAGAAGTTAAACATGCCCGGCCAAATGGCTTCATCTCGCCTCTGGTTTCTGAGGTGCTGGCTCTGTGGTCTGGACTCCAGACCTCAGTTTGTTTCATGTCACCAATGGAAATCTTAATCCCGTCCAAAATCATTGGACCTCTCCCCAAACTGAGCGCGGGCAGAAGGCTGAATCTCATTAACTTCAAAATACTGACTTTCACTAAATATACAGTTATAATAATAATGCTTGCATTTGATATAGCACCTTATCACATCTCAAAGCGCTTCACAGAATATACTGAGCTACAGGACTACAGTTAATTCACTTTACAGAATACTCTGTGAAGCGCTTCCAGAAGTCTCACCGACGTAATAAGGCTCTGTATCCAATGCAAGAATCATTATTAAGTCATATTCTCCGAGAGATTGCAAGGCACCATTATCACACCCAGGTCATAAATGTGCTGTATTGAATTGAGCCACCGAGCTGCACAATGAATCGTACGACCTCACACACACTACTTACTGCACGATCCCCTTCTTAGCAGCGATCTTCTGACCACATCGGACTGTGACGTTCTTCCCCTTGTGGACAGTCCTCACTTTGGTCCTGGGAGGCACCGGGGTGGGGGGGTTGGTGGATATCGGAGGATCTGTGGAGAACCGGCCATGAGATCAATCAATGTTGTTTCTTTCCAATTCTAATTCAAAGCTCATGGTGCGGGGTGGGTGGGAAATGAGGGAGTGAGGAAGGGGGCGTCTCATACCAAGGCAGAAGTCACAGCTGTGCGGACAGTACTTGGTCATTAGTTTGGGAAGTTTCCGGCACAGGCCTCGCTGTGCCCAAGGAAGACATTCGGCTCGTCTGTCCAAACAACCTGAAAGAGGAAAAGAGAGGCCTTTTGTTTCTATTTAAAGCGAATCCCTATGTTTCCCACATTCCTAACACCAGGCATCCGTATCCTCAAACACAGGTTTAGGGCTGGTAACATTCGGTAATGGGAATACGGTAATAATGAATCTTACCGTACAGCCTCCAAATGCCCCACATGTCGTCCTGTGTGATCTTCGTCTTGCCTGTTAAGGTCGCGTTTTTGTTCATCAGTGCGTTAGTGTTGAGCGAGTGCATTAACCCCAGGCTGTGGCCGATCTCATGGGCTGTGATGTGCACCAAGTCGGTCAGCCAGACCACTGTGACAAGCAAACAAGACACATGAACCTTTTTAATAACAACAATAATAATCATCTTTGCATTCGATATAGCGCCTTATCAGTTTTCGAGACGTCTCAAAGCGCTTCACAGAATCTACTGTAAAATGAATTGATTGTATATTTTGTGGGCAAAACACAGCAGCGTTCCACAAACAGCCGTGGATTGAGTGACCAAATTATTATTATTATTTTAAATCGGGGTAGTCATTTAAACCTCCTGTTAAGAAATAACGCATACTCTAGACTCCGATATTTATTAATGATAATAGTAATGTTTGCATGTAATATAAGTCAAGAACATCTCAAAGCGATTCAACAACAACAAATTACATTTGTATAGCGCCTTTCACGTTCAGGAGGACGTCCCAAGGTGCTGGACAGTCAGGGATTTGGACCCGAGCTGGGAGTTGGGATCAGGACCTTTTAAGCTTCCAGAGAAACTAACCTTTCCTCCAGCTGAAGTGGGTTTTCCCCAGGATCCAATGTTCGTAATCATCAAAATGGATTTCTCCGTGAGGTGGGAAGAAGGCATGGGCCAACTCTCCAGTTATCCCATCAAAGCAGGGGTGAGAGGGGGTGGCCCAACAGTCAGTGTGATTGATGGAATAAAAGCCTGAGAAGGAGTAGGAAAAATATAATTGATATCAGGGCCCGATGTATACAGTTGCGCTGCTGTAGAAAGTCTTAAAGGTGATCTCTATCTAAAGTGATAAGGCGTTATATCAAATGCAAGGATTATTATTATCTCACACACAAAGCTCTTCCCTCAATGTGTCTGTAGACCAAACCATACGGAATTAATTGCTACTAACATCTCCATTACTAGGAAGGTAGAAATCAGGAGGAGGCCATTCAGCCCCTCGAGCCTGTTCTGCCATTCTATAAGATCATGGTTTACCTGTACCTCAACTCCAATTACCCACCTCTTGCAGCATGTGACTACCAGGATGGTAGAGGGCAGACTAGATGAGCCTTGGTCTCTTTTCGTCAATTCCTATGTTCCTAAATAATGACTACGCGCAAATACACTAATCATAGAGTCAAATTAACTTGGGTTCCTGGTAACTTGGGGTCCAGTGGCTCAATATTTCTCGTGACCCGACTGAAAAACTGCCGTCCTAGAGACAGAAACAGAGGAAACCGAATGAATTCAGTCAACCCAAAGTCCCTTTGAAATGACACTTTTCCGAATTAGAACAGAATTTTAACAGAATTTTAGCATTATGGCAAAGACACAGGGGAACTTTTTTGTTGTTTGTTAGATATGTCTGATCATAAGAACATAATCGCTAGACGACAGAAGATCGAGGTCCATCCACCATCCCGGCTGTCAAATGCACAGGTCATGTCCCAAATTGCGTACCGTGTCCCGAGGTATCATTGCCTCTACCTCATTTGTTCTTGGAAAGGATCCATCTTTCTAATTTGTTCTTTATCAACATCCTCTGCTGTTTAGTTCTTAAACATCACCATGGCAGGTTTGCAAAAGAGATGCGATCAGCTCAGGTCTACCAAGACACCCAAGCGACACCAGATCTAACAAACAACACCCAAGTGTTCCCTCTAGCCCTCACTCACCGAGTTTGATATCAGCGTTCCTGGACTCATGGACTTCTGTGAAATTAAAAGGCGAAACTTTGCTCCACATTTGGAAAGCTTCTGCAATTCCTTTCCGGGTATCGTTTTCATTCAAAGTCTTTGGAAAGGACAGAATTCTGTGAATGGAAGCAACCTCATTCACGCATGATATTTATTACAAGTGCAATCCCACATTACACATCATGTCACAACTTCCTTCCTCTTCCCGCTGAACCCTTGCTCCAACCCTTAATCTCACCAAGAAACTCTGAACGTAATTTAGCAGCAGCTCTCTGTAAACTGACCACTGTTGTACTGTACAAACATTTCAAATGAGTAAAACGTTAGGAATGATTCACTGGAGTTTGCACAGGATCAGGGTTTTTTTTTTGGTGGGGGGGGGGCAGGGGGAAAGAAACGATTCCAAACTAAAGTGGCCACAGTCTACGCAAATAAGAAATAAGGGGAAAAAAATCCTTGCATTTGATATCACATCTTTTGTATTGGGCGGACGCCTCCAAACCACTTCACAGGATTCAAATGCAAGGTTTATTATTATTATTATTAGTGTTTGACTTGGGCCCAAAGGAGGAACGAGTGTGATATGGAACAGCTAAACGGTGGCAGGTTGTGCCAGAACCAGGTGCGTACAATAAAACACTGGTTAGTAAGTGGTAACTGCAAACCCCCAAGTCGGATTTATTTGCATTGACAAAAATATACAGTACAGTATTATGATTACACTAAGTTTCCGAGCGTGACAAAGTGATTCTGGCTGAAGTAAACAAACACAGGATTTGAATTCCTTGTCGCTGAGGATTTGTTTTCAGGCCAGCTGATTAATTCTTCTGGTTTTCAAATGGGGGGGCGCGCGCGGTGGGCGGTTTATTAAAACCGCACTTTATGATTTGTTAATAAAGACCGGGGGCGAGATAACAAACACTCGCTAGTGAGTGGCAGTGAGAGGGGGTTGTGTCGGCAGAGTGAGTCACACACCTCCTTTACTAACGAGGGGATTATATATAAATAATGTACAGATTTCAGCTAGGAATGTACTGGTAGGATGCATTTCAAAGCACCAGATAAAAGGAATAGGGAAGTAGACAGCGCTGGGAGGGAGTTTGTTTGCTAAGATGCTCATTCCTTCCATTTGCATGCATGCGGTTTATGGTTTAGTGATACCGATCAGGGTGATTCCTCCCCAGCAAGGGAAACTTTGATCTGCCAAAAGCGAGGCAATATTCCTGGGCGGAGAGACTGTTTGTGGAGATGCTGCTGTGCACAATTGGCTGCCGCGTTTTGCCCACAAAATATACAGTCATTTCACTTTACTGTATATTCTGTGAAGCGCTTTGAGATGTCGTAAGGGGCTGTATCAATGGCAACGATTATTATTATTATTATTATTATTATTATAACCGGGTGCTCGAATGGGAAATCAATGATCTGTGTAACAACAGCACAGCTTTGCGTTCGAGACATTCCTGGAGGAAAGACTTTGCCAAACCCAGGTTTCTAAACTTCACTTGTACCTCAGTGTGGTAAGCCACAAAGCCCCAACAATTTGGAGAGCAGTTCTGCATTTAAAAAAAGCATCTGAAGCCATTAGGTCCATGAGGTTGGATTTTAAAATCACAACCTTTTATTTTCTGCCAACATGTTACACAGCGGTTTTACTTTTAACTTAATATTCAAAAGTATCAGGCCATGGAAGTGAAAGGAAGTAATAATAATCCGTGCATTCGATAAAGCGCCTTATCACGTCTTCGAGACGTCACAAGGCACCTCACAGAATATACTGTAAAGTGAATTAACTGTGTATTTTTTGGGCGAAACATGGCAGCCAATTGCGCACAGCAGATCCCACAAACGGTGTGGATTGAGTGACCAAATTTTTTTGAAGGAATTGTGATCCGCCAATCGAGTAACCACCGTGATCCTGCTTACTGCTAGGTCAACGGAGGCGTGTGGAGTAAGGAAACTTATCCAAGGTTTCACCCTGCCGGGAATCAAACCCAGATCTCTTGTTTGCAAGGCGAGTGCTCTAACCACTGAGCTACAGGACTCCATGCGACTTATCATGTCTTTGAGATGTCTGAAAGCACTTCACAGAATACACTGTAAAGTGAATTGACTGTGTGTTTTGTGGACGAAACATCCACCTAAATTTTGAGGACATCCACCTAAACATGAGTCATTCCCAAGCTGTGGAGCCATAAGGACAAAAAGAGGCCATTTGGCCCATTATGCCACATTGGCTCACTGTTAGAGAATGGGTCGTTTAGTCCAATTCTTCTCAACCAATTCATCAGGTTGGACATTCTGCATTCTAGCAGCCCTCTGTGTGTAAAAACATTTCTCCAAACCTCAGCCTTCCTCCCTTTGATCTTTTGATAATGAGCTTAAATCTGTGTCCTCTAATTAAACTGCTAAAACTAGCTACACCAGTTAAACGCTAGTTACTGATACGCACCTGGTGTGTTGCTGTGTAATGCTATTTCCAGTGCAATTTATATTAATTAAACAATTGAAAACTGGTATTATTATTTAATAACCATTATTATCATAATATTAATAATAAAACTCCACCTTAAATAGCTTCAGGGCTTCAAAACACAATTGTATCTCAACAAACTAAGGATTAGTTTACCGATACCCCGTCCTGTGATGGAAGTTTTATGTCTATGTTTATGCCCACGTTGTACGTACTTGTAGGTGAGATTGAAGTGGTCCCATTTCTGCATCTGTGGAGTTAGGGTATATCTCTTCCTCCTGGCCTGATGTTGCACTGTGGAGTGCACCATAAAGATATCCAACACCATTAAGCTGGACGAAGCAGCGTGTTCCTATCAAGTACAACCGTTAAAATGACCCAAATCTGACAGAACCACAGAAATGTTCAGCACAGAAAAAGGCTATTTCAGCCCATCAACTCTTGTGCTGACTCTTTCAAACAGCAATTCACTCATTCAGTCCCACTTTACCTGTCTTTTCCACCATGAACCTGCAAATGACTCCTCTTTAAAGATATCTTAAAGTCATCGTACTGTCAGTATCCTGACCGATTTATACATAGAGACACAAATCGCAAGTGTGAATAACTCATCAATGATTCCTTTTCTCTTGGAGTGACGGGTTATCAGAAGTTCACTGTATTTCAACTTTGCTGGAGAAGTTAAAGAGACACACCTGGGGTTTAATGTAGGCTGTAGGTATTTGCAAAGTAGAATAAGGGAGGGCTTTCTTTTGGTGAGATTCACAAAGTAGTTTGTTGCAAATTTTCAAAACTGCCCAAACACAATGAAGAGAGAATGATGTTGAGTCTGTCTATCTCTCTGGTGTTCTGTGAGTGTGCGTCTCTCTGTCTCTGAGTGTGTGTCTCTCTACGTGTCTGTAAGTGTGTGTCACTGTGTCTGTGAGTGTGTGTGTTTCTGTCGGTCAGTGTGTGGTCTCTGTCGGTGTCTGTGAGTGTCTCTCTCTTTGTGTTTTTGAGTGTGTGGTGTATGTCTCTGTGTCTGTGAGTGTGTGTGTCTCTCTGTATCTGTGAGTGTGTGTCTCTCTGTGTGTGTCTCTCTGTTTGTGAGTGTGTTTCTCTGTGTGTCTGTGTGTGTGTCTCCCTGTGTGTCTGTGTGTGCGTCTCTCTGTGTCTGTGAGTGTGTGCGTCTCTCTGTGTGTCTGTGAGTGTGTGCGTCTCTCTGTGTGTCTGTGAGTGTGTGTGTCTCTCTGTGTCTGTGTGTGTATCTGTGTCTGTGAGTGTGTTTCTCCGTGTTTCTGAGTATGTCTTTCTCTGTTTGTGTGTCTCTCTGTGTCTCTCTCTGTATGTCTGAATGTGTGTCACTCTGTGTATCTGAGTGTGTGTTTCTTTGTGTCTGTGAGTGTATCTCTGTGTGTCTATGAATGTGTGTCTGTGTGTCTGTGGGCCCCAAGAGGCAGGAGGTGATGACCTCCTGGAGCCCCTCGGTCATGACTAATTCCCTATAATCCAATGATTAAAACCAAATATGCAGAGATTCCTAACTTTGAGCTTCCCGATTCCTTGTTCCCCCCGAGGGGCTCCGATTAGAGGGAACTGGATGAATCTTTCTTTAATCAGCATTTACACAGCGCCCCTCACACAGGATAGCGTCCCAGAGCGCTAAACAGTGGCAGAGCATGACCTCGAGCCGGGCGGGGGGATTGGGGGAGATGACCGTAGGTACGGTCGAAGAGGAAGGTCTTCAGGCCCGATCTGAAGATGGGGTAGGAAGGGGCAAAGCAGAGGGATAGAGGAAGAGTGTCCTAGAGTTTCGGGGCTCAGATTAGTGCCTGAAAGCGCATTGATTACAACATCGCAAAACACAGTCACTACATTTACAGAGTATTCTGGGAAGGGCTTCAAGACGGCTCGAAGACGTGATAAGGCACTGTATCAAAAGGATTATTAGCATTAATATTATTACAAGCATTCAGAAACTTGTAGCACACAGGGGGTTAAGGTGTTGATTATGGTCGATACTCACCAACCGAGTTCTCCAGGCAGGAACTGCATCCACATCTCGCTCCCCGGCTACAAAAGCAATTGCCGTTACAATGCACAGAATAACATTAATATTCGGGAAGTAGTCCTTAACCTCTGAGGTCGGAGCCAAATCCATTTGGACTACTTTGCAGGTCACTTTTCCTCGAGTTTAGTCAGCGTTTCTGAACCCAGACACTGCATTCAAGACCACAACAGCCTGGTAGTCACTCTTTACTATCGCTACTGCTGTTAACACAGAGAAGGTTTTTCAATGACTCTTTTTAGTTCAGTAACACTTACATAAACTTCATTTCCGAGTCGGTGCTTTTTTTAAAAAAAAAACAGCGAAATGGTATCACGTTACTTCAAATGTAGTTCTCAAAAAGACCTCTATCCATTTAGTTTGCAAGTTAGCAAGAAACAGCTGGGGAAGACTGTGAACTTCCTGATCTGGGCTGGCTACTTCTGAGCTGTAATCAGTCTCAGATGCGAAGCTATTGGCGAACATTACATTGTTGAGATGTGCCAGATAAAAAAAAAGCAAAAAAAAAATTAAATTGATTCCATATAGGTCAATTCTCATCACACAGTTTACATCAATGCAAAGCCGTGTCTTTCAAAGCTGTGTGCATTGAAACTCCCTGCCCCATTATACACACACACACACACACACAAAAGTCTTTGTAAAGCTATTTAACTGCATTGTGACTGACTGTCAGGTCCTGTCTGTCTGCTCCTATTATAGATAAACATTTAAGTGCGAATAAATGCGATAAAAGCAATTCCAGACAAACACTGGTAAAAAAAAAGCTTATTTAACGTGGCTTCGCGGATGCCAGAAATAACAGTTGCTGTAGCAACATCGCTGGCTTAAATGTGACTTGACTTCCTCCATAAAAATATTTAGGTTAAATACTGAACACAAACGAGGGAGACAAAACTTCAGCTCAGGAGAAGACACTTTGCAGCTAGATTGTGAATCAGCTTTTCTTTCACTGAATGTTTTAAGGATTGTGGCATTTTTCCTTCCTCACTGGTTTCTTTTGTTCCTCTGTTAATAATAATCCTTTCATTTTATACAGCGCCTTATCATGTCTTCGCGATGTCTCCAAGCGCTTCACAGGATATGCTGTAAAGCGAATTGACTGTATGTTTCGTGGGCGAAATGTAGCAGCCAATTCCCACAGCAGTGTCCCACAAACAGTCGTGGATTGAGTGACCAAATTATTATTACCATTAATTTTTGAAGGGATTATTACCCCCAGAAAAGTGATTCCCAAATCGACTAACAACCGCAATCCTAATTACTGCTTGGTAAACAGCGGAGAATGGACTAAGCAAACTTGCCCAATGTTTTGCCCTGCCGGAAATCAAACCCATTCATTCCTCTCTCTTGCGAGGCCACTAAGCTACTGGACTCTACATCCTTTTGTACCTTATACTCAAGGTTCCCGTCCCACCTGCTGGGGAGGATTTAGTAGCCTGCCTGACATCTCTCCCAAAGCCTCTCCCAGAGAGCCAAACCAAGCTGCCCCCACAGAAGTGGAGGGTTTCCAAAACCCATACAAGAGGTGAATTTATAAACCTCGGGATAGGAAGCTCGCAAAATGCAACTGTGAATCAGAGAAGTCTGTCTCCACTCTCACAGCGGACCATGTAGGTCACATCAGACAAAGTAGTTGTATTTTAATAGCACCTATAAATTCAAAATATCTCGCAGCTCCTTACATTAATTGCTGTCATGCATAGCGCCTTTTATCATCAGTGAACACAGTCATTTTCCCCACAGCCAAAGGTCCCACAATTAACCATGGAGGTGAATGATCAATTTATCCAGTTGGCCAAGTCAACATGATAATCTCCCTTCTCTTTTTGAATAGTGCCGTGGGAATGCTAACTTCCACCTGAACAGGCAGACGGGATAATAATCCTTGTGTTTGAGATTGTGCTTTAAAATCTTCGAGACGTCTCAAAGCGCTTCACAGGATATACCGTAAAGTGAATTGACTGCGTATTTCGTGGGCGAAGCGTGGCAGCCAATTGCACAGAGCAGCGTCCCACAAACAGTTATGGATGGAGTGACCAAATTATTATTATTTTACATTAAGGATCCACCAATTGACTAACAACCGGGTTCCTACTTTTGGCCCCACCCGGGAATCGAACCCAGTTCCTCTCGCTTGCGAGGCGAGTGCTCTAACCAATTAATAATAATAATAATAATCCTTGCATTTGATATAGCGCTTTTCACGTCAGGAGGACGTCCCAAAGCGCTTCACAGAACACACTGTAAAGTGAATTGACTGTATATTTGTGGGCGAACGCGGCAGCCAATTGCGCACAGCAATGTCCCACAAACAGTCGTAGATTGAAAATGACCAATTTAATTATTGTTTTTGTTTTTTGTTTTTTTTGGAGGGATTATTATTCGGCTCTGTGTGGAGTAAGGAAACTTGCCCAAGGTTTCGCCCTCTGCCTGGGATTGAACTCAGGTCTCTCACTTGCAAAGCGAGTGCTCTAACCACTGAGCTACAGGACTCCACTAATGCGAAGGGCAGCATCATTGACAATGCAGTGCTTCCTAAATAATGCGTCGGACTAGATTTGTGGAGCTTGAACCCACACCAGTGATTAAAAGGAGCTATACAAATGCAATTTGTTGCTGTTATATCAATCGGTGACGGAGTTTGTAAAGTTAAAGGGCAGATGGTTGTCTGAAAGATTCATCCTGTGAAGTGAATTCCATTCCCTCTAAACAGAATCTCTCAGGAATCAGCAAGGAATCAGGAAGCTCAAAGTTAGGAATCTCTGTATATTTGTCTTTTAATCGTCGGTTGCTGGAAATTATTGAAGAGGGGGAAATAAATGCTGCAATTAAATGTTAACTGATTGTAAATCCCGCGATGGATGTGGATGTAAAGGAGAATTTAAGAGTTAATCATTTTAGGGCGGAGACAAAGGGAAAAGGATTAGCGAGTTGCTTATCCTAACTGTTCACTGATCTGTGAAAGCTCATGGGGGATAATAGGGTTGTGCGAGTGGATGTTCACAAATCAGAGGTCATTAGGCTGGTTCTGTAGGTTTTTGCAAACTCAACTGTAGGATGTGCTACAAACTTTGCTAAAAATATAAAAGGGGCAAAAAAGAAAAGGGATCCAAAGGCCATGGTTTTCTTTCCGACTTCTCATTCGCTTTTTCTCAGGCCTTTCCTCAACCGAGAAAGGCGTTTTTGGCGTAATAATGTGCTCCATTGGTCTTACGTTTAAAACAGAAACTTTCACCTAAGCGCACTGGGACCCTGCACTGCATTAGGGTCGGTTTACAAATGCAAGTTGTTGTTGTTGTTGGTTCATTTACCCTTTTAGAATCAAATGCAATCGGTGTGTAAAGACTGAGCTAAAAAGAAAAGTTACAGCAATGGCCCAACTGTGCTTGGTGCAGCGAGATGTCTGAACTTGAGGCGTTGCTCCCCAAGGGGGGCATTGCACAAGGTGTGAATAATAATAATAATCCTTGCATTTAATATAGTGCCTCATCATCATCCTAACATTTGATACAAATGCCTTTGACATTGGGAGGATGCCTCAAAGCGCATCACAGGATTTCACAGAAACAGAATGTGCAGTGACCAGACATTTTGTACTGCAGATGATACCAACTCCTACTTGAAAAAAATTCCAGCGTTATTTGCATTTGTCTTTGGAGATGGAGGGAAGTCAACATGAAACAGAGCCCAATAGTTCAAAGGCAGAAGAAATTCCACAAGATCTAACACTGCCACACTCCAAGATTTGATAAGCGATCAGCCCTCCTGCCCGCCCCCACCACACACACAGATCCATACTAACGTTAAGAGTGAGATATGACAATAATCCACACATTTGACATAGCACCTTATCACATCTAAACATCTCTGCAAAGTCCATTAACTGCACATTTCTAAGCAACGAGGTAGCCTGTTTGCACACTGCAGCGTTCCACAAACAACCATGAACAGATTTTTTTTTGGTGGGGGAAGGGTGGCGGGTGGAGGAAGAAAGAATTATTATTGGTCAGGGCATTGGCAGAAACTCCCTTCTCTTTTCAGACAGGGTCAACAGGACCAGCACAGATGGGGCCTTGGTTTGCGTCTCATTTGAAGGACGCCATCTCTGACATTGCAGGGTTTCCCCAACACTGCATTGCAGTGTCAGTTTAGACTATGAGCTCAAAGTGTGGACTTGGAGCCTGAGCCCATCACCTTCTGACTTGGAAGGTCAGATCGCTGCCAACTGAGCCTGACTCACACCTACGATGTCAGGATAATAGACCCAGCGGGGAATCCGCTCTGTACTCGGGCTTTCCGCTGTGAGAACAATCTGCCAAATCTATCTGGAGCCTGAAGGCGGCACACAATAAAAGGCTACATCATATTGAACCGTTCTAAAATGTGCTGAATAGCCCACTCAGCTGAATTAAAACAAGGCTTTTTTATACAGTCAGCCACTTGGTTTGTTACACGTCTACGCAAGGAGGAAGAAGTCTGTCGTTGCAAAGTCGTTTGGCAAAGCCTCGTGCATTGCTTTGAAGCCTTAAATGACCACTTACTTGACGACCAATTAATAGGGCTAAGGTATGCCTGTCCCTGGGCTGTTCATCACTCCAACCTTTGCTCCACTCAGTTTGGCAATGTTCATGGTTTGGTCCATTAGCGACATGTGGGAAACATAAGGCAAACTAACGTGGGCCAATTTGTTCTGCCGGTATAAGCCTTCTGAGCAAAACAAGGTTAGAGAGGTTTAGGAATTGTTAAGGACACACATACACACCACAAACACAAACGCACACACACACACACACACATCAGGAAGCATTTCTTCACACAGAAAATGACTGGAAAGGGAAATTCAAGGGTAAGTGGAACGGGAATATTTTTTTGTGATGGCGGTGGCGAGGGGAGTGGGGGTAAATAACATAAGCCGCTTCTTAGCTTCAGATATTCCTGAAACACCAGCAACGCTTGTAATTCAAAATAATTTATTCACAACATACACAACTTCAACAATTTGTTCTGTGGAGACAGAAGCCCAGCAGATGATGGTAAGGCAATGACACCAAGATCTCTAATGTAAGTAAATGTAAGTGAAGCTAAAACACAATACCCTTTGGGAACTCCCGTCTTCTCGTGGTTTCCGTTCTCTTAACCTGTACGAAAATCAGTTTGTTTAACTACCCGCTGTTTCGTTTCAGGCATCAAATCGTCGGTAATGTTACGATGCGGAGGAGTAGACACATGGGCGGGGGGGGGGCTTTGCAATCTTAAGACTTTGTCGGACAAATCTTAAATCGGAGCTGGGAAAGCAAATTACGATGAAAACAGTCGATGAAGGTGACAGGTACTGGTATCATTGCTGGTCGTTAAGACAAACTCCACGTTTTTAAAAACCTGTTTGCTAGTGGTCTTAGCTTGCGAGGAAGCAGCTTCTTGTGATTCAAAGTCCCTCATGTTACAAATCTTGGAACATTTGACCCTTTTTGTGAATAAAGCAACAACAACCTGAACAATCGTTGGGGAAATAATATCTCTGTGAAGACATGCAGCGCAATCTCTCTCTCTCTCTCTCACTCCGATTTAAGTCAACCTTAAAATCCTATAGTCTACCAACACTTAGCAACAGGTGAAAAACAATCTGCCCTTCGCAGAAAGACTCTCTCAACGATATCAATTCGAGCGGCTACAAATTTCTGCGGCATTAAGATTTTTTTTAAGAAGTGGGGGGGAAAAAAAAGAAAACGAGGAACATGCCTGTGAGATCCAGGCATTAAGAAATCACCCGTTTATTTCAACAGTTAATTCCTGACCAGGCCGTCTCCACAGTGACACAAACCTTTTGGCACATATGCTTTACTGACAGTAAAACTCGAGCTGGATATAAAGGCTGCATCGTTATGTGACGCCTCAATAAAATGACACACAAATCCGTTCAACAGGTAAGGAAAAGCTACGTCGATGCACAGATCACACAAATGCACGTACAAGGTATACAGCAAGCAAATCATAGTACAAGTCTTCTCATCGCTATTATTCTCCCCCGTTCCATTTCCCGAGCTCTTATCTTGATCTGCTAGACCTTATTTTGAACACAGGAAATATTAAATAGACACAAGTATTTGAGCTCACGGTGGCCCAAGATTAAATAAATCAAAAATGACACTCACATAATTCTATGAAGTTTCACTTGGGGGGGTGGGGGAGGAGAGGGAGAGGGGGGAAAGTGGGTCTATTACTGAACATGATTGCTTATAAAAAGCCACCTTTCCGTTACTTGTTTCCAAAAGGAGTTCCCATTGTAAAGCAATAATGAAAAATGTTTTTAATACGAAAGACGCCTTGAAACTCTTGGTTGCAATAAAACCACGACCTTCAATCAGTAACAATAGACACAAGTCATCACCACTCAATCTAAATGAAGCACCATTTTAGTTCCGAGACTGCAGTGTGTCGAGTTGGTTTTGTGTTTAAAACGCGATTCCCCCTCCAATTTGCCAAGGTGGCAATTTTCTTTGAACTTGCTTTCGTTTAAGGGGAATGGCATAAACAGCATTAGATATCTTTTGTACACTGACACCTTAATCTGTCAAAACTGTGTGTAAAAAAAATGAACATCCTTACGATACCAAATCTATTAAGTGCCCTTTTCAACAGTGTTTTACCTTTAGGTTTCCAATTAGTTTATTGCTTGCAACAGAATGTAGTGGTTAGTCCAAACACAGGCCAGGAGCTTGGCTCCTGACATAAGGTGACTTGTGAACGTTCAAACGTTAGAACCATATGGACAAGTGTATTCAATATCATATTGGACGAACAAATGTTAGTGTAACAGTGATATTCTGCCACTAGGTGTCGGTGGCACAGTACACCATACTGTAGACATTTATGTGCAAATTGCTATTACTACACTGAGTCTCCATTCGGACGGATCTGCATTTGCGATCTCTCCTTTTAAAAACAGAGAGGAGAATAAATTTCTTTCTGAAATACTTAAATAATAAACATATAAACCTGGCTCCGAATAAAGTTATACTTCTGCAAATAGCACTCAAATCAAGCGTACTCATTTTTAAGAAGAAAAATGCATTAGTTGGGTTGTAAAGTTTGACAGCGATCCCTTTCTTGCAGACATTCATCACTTGATTTTGCTTACGATCAGCCAAATGGATATTCAGTCAAATAGGATTCAGTGTGCCAGTCTAAATGGCTCAAATATAAAGTACCGGTACTTTTAAAAAGGGGGTAGCATTGACGGCAAAATGTGCAAGGGTAATAAGAACAATCTTCCATTTGATACAGAGATCTTTTACATCGGGAGGATATCTCAAATCACTTCACTGGATTGTACTGTGTAGCGACCAGATATTTTTGACGGCGAATGCAACAGTAAATTTGAACACAGCAATGACCCATCAACAGCCACGTGAGGCGAAGCGAGCAATTTGTATTTGGGGGAGGGTACTGTTGGCCAAGACACCAGCAGAATCGATGTGCAATATATTCTCTGCAAGGTTCCCATCTGGTCAAAAAAGACTGCACTGAATATCAACAGGGGAAAAAAATATAGATTTTTATCTGATTTTTTTTTCTCTCTCTCGCTCTCTCTCGTGAATCAACTAGCCAGGGTTCTCCACACACATTCTGTCATTTGTTACCACCTTTTTAGGACATGGTACGAGGAATTATTGTACTTGATTATGACCACGCATACCGAAACGAAAATGGCAGAATGCAGTGGAAAATAGCAAAAAAAAAAGTTGGGTTTCGTCCCCCCAAAAAGTCATATAATTAATGATATATATGTATACGGAAGTAATTGTATCCTTATAGAAGCCCCTGTATGGCTGCTAACGTTTGGCTGGAAGGCATTGTATCTGGAAGATTGAAGTTCATTTTTATAGTCCTAGGATCTTTAAATATATACAACAGACTATGAACCACAGTGGTTAGATTAAGGATTTTTTTTACAGTGTGCACTTTTTATATAAATACATACGCAGCAGGTCTCTTGAATGCGACTGGGCGCACGTCTCAAGCATTAGCATCTATTAACAGAGCGGCATTTGGGGCGGTTGGGAAATTTACTTTGCGTTCTGTACGCTGTTTCGCTGCTTTTGTTATCGAAGTGCGTTAATTCCCGCCAGTTCTTGCATAGCGGGACATTCGTTTCAAGTTAGGAAGGGGCAGAAGGAAAAACAAATTTTTTGCAATTCTCGTCTCTCGCTCAATACGGCATATATAATGGTACCAAAAAAATGCAACCACATGATTCTAAATGGGACTGATGCAAACAGTGGTACTGAGGGGGTTAAATCTGAAGTCAACGAAGCAAGCACAAACGTACTGCGGTAAAAGGTACAGAAAATGTCTGGAAATCCGATAGTATGATAGAAAAGATGGCTTGCCATGCATCAAACAAAGATCTGTATCCTCTCTCGAATGTTCTGGCGACAGATCGGACATGCTTTCAGGGCCACACTGCACTCTAGACACGAGCCGTGGCCGCATTGGAACACGAGCTTGATCTGGTTGTCGATGCATATAGGACAAGTTATCCTCTCCTCCATCTGTCTGTATCTGTACTGCAGCTGTTCCAGCAGCTTCCTCTGGTCTGGAGGTTCAGCCGTGGTGTTGCTTTCGACTTCTGTGTTATCTGCAAAGCACGAAAGTAAACAGAAAGTCGGTGAATCGATCTCTGCTACCGGCCAAATCAGCTTCCAGGGTAAAACCAGTGAACATTTCAACCAAGTCATAATAAATGGAAAGAATAATGCAAAGTACAGAACATGGGAGATAGACAGAAATTACACTGTGTGATACAGAGATTATAATATAAATAATAATAATTTGTGGGCGTTTTGCTATATCAAATGCAAGGATTATTATTATGATGATAATGATACAGAGGTTGAGGTTAGGGTCCCTATTGCTGATCCGCACTCTTAGAAAAAGACATTTTCTGCAAAGACGTGACCCGTCGTGTCTGTGTCATTGCTACCAGATTTGTTCCCTCATTACTCCTGCTTGCACTTATCTGAAGCCCAAATTTCCGCCTACTTTGAACCTGTTTAGGATACTTGTGTCTTAAGAGAAAGGGGAGTTGATCATAGGCACGGTCAAAGAGTATTTACATTTAAATCTTACACTGACGACCTTACAAATCTGTCAACAGGGAGGCCTTGGAAAGGCATACTGAGCAAAATTGAAATTTTGTGCACAACGAAAGCTACATAGTTGATCACTGTCCCTAAGTGCTGGGGTCATGGAGGGATTTAGGTTAGGCAGATGCTAGCATTAAATTCCTAAATCCCCAAAGTTCTTTTAAAAGCAAATTATTTTGACACTAGGTTAAAAGGGAAAATAAAAGAGCATGGGGAGAAAGCTGGTTGGTGGGAGTAGATTCAAGCGTCTCATGTGGAGAGAGAGGAAAACAAAATCAGCACTGGTTTAATAATAATAATAATCCTTGCTTTTGATACAACGCTCTATCATGTCTTCGAGACGTCTAAAAGCACTTCACACAATATACTGTAAAGTGAATTGACTGGATATTTTATGAGCGAAACTTGGTCTCCAATTGCGCACAGCAGCGTCCCACAAACAATCGTTTCTGAGCTGTAACATTCTTTGATTCTCTGACACTGACAGCAATAGGTGGTGGTGGGGTGATTGCCACCAGAACTTATAGGAGTGAGTTGATCTCTGAACAACCGAGCGGAATACAGATATCTTGTTCGTTTTGGGCTGCAATCTAAACCAGAGTCAAAGGTCAGTGTTTCAGGTGACGTTCTGAATAGCGAAATGTGTTACCGTGTCGGACTTTCTTTGTTATAGTCACTTGGCATTTGATGCATTTCTTCATTCTTAAAGCACATTCTGTGAATTAAACAGACATTTTAGAAATCAACGCCCAAGGAACATTTTGTGCTAATGCGCGTGCATCAACACACGCGCACACACACACACACACTACACACATACAAACACACACACACATGCCACACACCCACTACACACATAGATACATACACACACACACACACACATACCCACTGAACACATACAAAAACACCCACATATCTACTACACACATACAAACACACACTGTCAGCTCCTGGAGAAGCACAGCCTCAAGCCTTCCTCTCCTCCCCCCCACTCATCTGCTCAACATCAGGAACCTCTTATGCTGCAACGGAAGTGTGCCAATAATCATCTGGTTTCTTTTGTATCGTCGACCCAGTCTGAAACACGTTCAGCACTAAACGCAAGTGGGGGGGGTGGTGGGGGAATAAAAGCAGAAACTTGTCCCTTACTTTGCAATTCTAAATATATCTTCTCTCTCGGAAACTACGCTTGCTGTTAGCTGACTTTCCTTCTTCTCTCCTTAAAACTGTGGACAGACGACTGGAAGCCACAATAATTCTCGCAGACACGGCCTTTGTGATTGTGTCACGGTGCTGGGCTGGCTTACTGTACCTTCGCACACTACGCAGTGCTGACAGGGTGAAAACTGAACGAGCATGGTCAGCTCAGAGCACACCAGACACTCCGAAAGGCCCGTTGACACCGGCATGGCGAGGTTCGTCATCGTGTTCGGAGTCGTGTGAACTCGACGGAGAATAGCTGTGCCTGTTGGCTGTTGAGATCCCCTGTAACAAACACCAACAGGAAGGTTAAGGACCTGCGCTGGAAAGAATTCAAAAGATACCCCGACGCCTGCCAATTTCCCCCTTATGGTGACCATATGGCTTCCTGCAGTCCACACACCCTCAGCTTCCAGCCGTCAACTTTGTGTCATGACTCACATGACCTGATCCAGCGCCTTATCGCGTCTTCGAGACGTCTTAACGCGCTTCACCGAATATACCACAAAGTGAATCGACTGTATATTTCGTGGGCCAAACGCGGCAGCCAGACTGTCCCACAAACAGTCGTGTATATTTCGCCCAGAAAATATACAGTCTATCCACTTTACAGTGTATCCTGCGAAGCGCTTTGAGACGTCTCAAAGATGTGATAAGGCGCTGTATCAAATGCAAGGATTATTATTGTTATTATTATTATTATCGCTGAATGCGCTAATGTAATAGTCAAGTCGACTCTCTGCTGTGAGGCTCTCCACCTGGTGGTCAGGTGAAAGAATGAGAATGATTCTCACTCAATTGATTCCCCAATCGAAACTCACTTAGCAGGCGCTGGTAAGCATCGGTACTTGTAACACACTGAAGTTCAACTTTCTTTACAGACAGCCACCTTTCATGCCAGCATATTTGTTATTTGTTTGGGATAATAAAGGAGTGGGGTGGGTAGGTGGTGGGGGGGGGGGGGGAGGGAGGGGAAGGAGAAAAGGAGGATGGTAATCAATTAACAATAATAAGGTCATTCAATCCACAGCTGTTTGTGGGACGCTGCTGTTTCGCCCACAAATATACGGTCAATTCACTTTGCAGTCTATTCTGTGAAGCGCTTTGAAACGCCTAGAAGACGTGAAAAGCACTATATCAAATGCAAGGATTATTATTATTATTATTGCATAGTCACTACACGTCACAGCAAAAATCCACGTGAGGCGCTTTGAGACGTTTCAACGTCATAAGGCATTATATCAAACACAAGGATTGTTATATATTATGTATTACTATTGTTATTTTACCTGAATTTCTCAGCAAAACTTTTGACTATCTGCACAATTCTTCCATCGGTGACCAAATCCAGTGGCGTTTTACCCTTGTAGTTGGTGTAGTTAATATCTCCCCCTTCCTGAGCCAGGAAACAGGCTATGACGGCACCGACATTCAGATCGGCAGATCCCAGCAGCCCAGAGGTCTGCAACTGAGCAGCAAAAAAGAGAAAAGCGTCTCAATGTCTCAAACAAATCATACCAGGGCTCAAGTGCCATCACAGCTAAATTCCCATGATGATCATCCAGCTTTGATCATTCTTTTTTTCCCGAAAGAAAAACACCCCCACAACCACACACACCCACAAACCCACACACCCACACACCTACACAAGCACACATACACCCACACACACATACACCCACCCACCCACACACACCCATAAACACACAAACACCCACATCCACACCCACCCACAAACACCCACCGACTCAAACACCCACACACCCACAAACACACACCCATAAACTCACACACCCACAAACACCCACACCCACACAAACACACACATACCCACACCCACACGCACACACAAATGCACACACCCAAACACACGCACACGCAAACGCACACATCCACACAAACATTCCCATAAACACACACCCACAAACACACAGACACAAACACCCACAAACACACACACACACCCATAAACTCACACACTCACAAACACCCACACCCACAAACACACAGGCACAAACACCCACATACCCACGCACACGCACACACAGTCACAAACTCACACTCGTGTACAGCGAGCAGCCCTCGCCCTCCCTCGTTGCCATGGTGTTGACGAGCTGCTGGCGGCTGAGGGCCACGTGCATGGCCGTGTCTCCGTCCTCGTCCTCGGCATTGACGTGGCAGCCCGCGGTGACCAGCAGCTGCACCATGTCAGAGTGCCCCTGAGTGACCGCCAGCTGCAGAGGAGTCTGGTTACGGTTATTCCGAATGTTAATCTCACACTGACCCTGAAGAGGAGAGAGAGAGAGAGAGAGAGGGGCGGGGGTGGGGTTCAATCAATTACTGCAGAGCTATGGTCAAAACTTAGCTTTCTCCCCCCACAAAATATACAGTCAATTCCTTCAAAGCAATAAAAAGAATAATAATTTGGTCACTTCAACCCACGGCTGTTTGTGGGACGCTGCTGTGTGCAATTGGCTGCCGCGTTTCGCCCACAAAATATACGGTCAATTCACGTTGCAGTCTATCCTGCGAAGGGCCTTGAGACGTCTTGTAGACGTGTGAAGGCGCTGTATCAAATGCAAGGATTATTATTACTATTAGTTATTGTGAGTGTTGCACGAACCGGGCCTGAAGACCATACGAAAAATTAAACAAGTTAGAGAATGAACAGCGACAATCTGAGCTGCGCTTTGCCAAACTGGCCGAACGCCATTCCTGACATTTCCGGACAAACACTCGGACAGTTGAGTGGATTCCTTTCGTTTGAAACATCTGGTGTTTCTGAAACGCTCGCCAACACAGAGCGGGCGGTGCTAACGTGGACAGCGAGAGACGCTCACATTGACAGTCAATCTGAATGGAATTGGACATCTACTAATTAAAAGCCTTGGGTTCATTTCAGTTCACTACCGGGGAAGCAAATTGGTGGTGAGAGAGAAAGACAAGAGAGAGAGAAAAAAATACAATGAATTTAAACGAAGTAAAACGAAACAGTTGAACGATTAAATTAGGGTTTCAAATTACCCACTCATGTGCGGTAGCCAATGCAATAGCCATAAAACAACATTGACTCTATTATGACTAGTATTAGACACAAGTAGGCCATTCAAATAAGCAAAGGCACATTATCTTATTAAAGAAAATCATTAATAAAGTCGCACCTCGACGTTCTAGTTAAAAACATTGTTGTGTGGTTAAGTCTGTACCACAATCTGTCCTCTGGATAATCTTTTTGGCAATATATACAGTATTATTATTATATATAATAAAAAAATTAAATCTGTCTCGTGCTACCCAATTAAGATGTACAACGTTCCAATTATTTTCTCTATGACTGGCAGTCTGTGACGTTGTGTAATGTTCGTTTTTGCCAAAGAACAATGTGAGATGCTGTCATTTGAATGATATAACCGCACGCACACACGCAAAAAAAGGAGGAAAGTGACAACATTATGCTCAATTGTGTGCCTCTTCACAAATTCTAGGAAATAACTGTACTCAGTCGGGAGGATCCCATAAAAGAAAAATAAATTAAAAAGCAATAATAATAAAAATGTGGGTCACTCAATCCACGACACTCTTGTATGCAATTGGCTACCGCGTTTCCCCCACAAAATAAAGTCAATTTACTTACAATACATTCTGTGAAGAGTTTTGAGATGTCTCGAAGACGTGGTAAGGCGCAAGCATTATTATTATATTAAACAGCAGATTGCTAGCTCGCTGTGTCTGGAGTATCTTTGTTATGGATAAACTCAGGGAAAAGGAACAGTTCGTCAGTCAGTGGAAGAAAGGAATCCTGAACCAAACTGATTTCATAAACACACGCACAAGCGGAAGTTAGCTTCAATTTCCTTTCCTGCAAAACTAAAGGCACCATTTTGCCTGCTTGTAGGTTTGGGATTAGGATATTCACTCGCAAAGGATTAGCCTGCAGTGACTGGCAAGATATTCAATATCTTGAATGCTATGGGAGGCTTTACTGATAATCAGCACGTGTCTTCGTGGTGCGTAAAGGACTGAGACCTCCACGGTTTTCCAAGTCACGCTTCGTTTTTGCGGTCAGGTTCCCATCTGACCAGCTTCCCGCCGTTAGCTGAGAAACGATGCACGCGCTGTGAACATGGGACAGACTCGTTCTAGAATCATAGAATCTTACAGCACACGAGGAGGCCATTCGACCCATCGTGCCTGTGCCGGCTCTTTGAAAGAGCTACTAACTAGTCCCACTTCCCTGCTCTTACCCCATAGTCCTGCACATTTTTGCTTTGCAAGTTCCTATCCAATTCCCTTTTGAAAGCTATGATCGAATCTGCTTCCACCACTCTTTCAGGCAGTGCATCCCAGACCGTAACAAATCGCTGGGTAAAAAAATTCTCCTCGTGTCCTCTCTGGATTTTTTTTTACCAATTCTCCTTTTCTCAATGCGATGGGCAGATTTGATTAAAGTGTATTAATTGCCCAGAGAATCAGAAATTACTGCCCAGAAAGAGGCCATTCGGCCCATTGAGCCTTGGCTCTTTTGAGCCACTCCACTCGAGCAATTTAGTCAGATCCTAATTTAATTCAATACTCCTTACCCACCTATTTATTGTTTCTGTTGGAATATTTAATGAAATCAATAGAATACTAATCCAGAGAGCAAATCAGACGCTTCAAGTAGGAGAAAAGAATCAGAGAGAGCACCTGGATCTTTAAAAGGAAATTGTTAGACGGGGGAATCTACCTCTTTGATGAGAATTTCGGCCACTTCTTTGTGGTTGTTGAGGCCAGCCAGGTGTAGAGCAGCAAACCCATCTTCTTTTTTCACGTCCACAAGCTGCCGGGCTCGAGCGAGAATCTTCTCCGTGGCTCTGACAAAACGAGCAAACAGATTAGAACGAGTTGTCCACAGGCGGACTTTGTGAAAGTGAGGTGTGAAAGATCCATTATATGGAGTCCTGTAGCTCAGCAGTTAGAGCACTTTCGCCTCTCAAGCGAGAGGACCTGGATTTGATTCCTGGGCAGAGCAAAACGTTGGGCAAATTTCCTTACTCCACATGTCCCCGTTTACCTTTTAGTAGTAATCGATTGGCGGATCGCTTTTCCGGGAGGTAATAATCCTTTTAAACAATAGAATAATAATAATTTGCTCACTGAATCCACGACTGTTTGTGGGGACACTGCTGTGCGCAATCTGCTGCCACGTTTTGCCCATGAAACGTACAGGCAATTCACTTTACAGTATATTCTGAAGCGCTCTGACACGCTACCCTGCGTGGAGGGCGCTATACAAGTGCAAGTTGTTGTTGTCGTCGTTTAGAAGACGTGATAAGGCGCTATATCAAGCACAAGGATTATTATTATTATTTTCATGAATGGGCACGGCTTTGCAATCCCCAGGCACATCACACTGTGCAAACAGTCACCACCAGTGAACCACAGGAGTCAGTCCCACGCCCATCATTAAAAATAGCAATATTTTCCACTGAATTAAGTTTTAAAGACTTAGGTTCTTTTTTTATGGGCAGCAGTTGGCTCAGTCGGCAGCATTCTTGCCTCTGGGTTTGGGTTTCAAAGCCTAGTCTTACAGTCGAGGGCTGACACTCCAGTGGGGGAGGGGAAGAGAGTATTGCATTGTTGGAGGTGCAGTCTTTGTGAAGAGAAAGACTCGAGATTAAACTGTCCTCCTGTCTGACCTCTTTTATTCAGGTGGATGTTAAAGATCGTGTGACACCTCTGGAAGGGAGTTTTTCCAGGTGTCTGTCCTAGTTAACGATCCACCAGATTAACGAATGGGCTGAAAGCACAATCAAAGAGAGTCTTGAGACTGGCCATGGACGAGGCAAGGGAGGGGGGCGAGGTGGAGGGATTCAGGGATGGAGTTCCAGAGGGTGGGGGCAGAAAAGCTGAAGATCTGACCGCTAATGGTGGGGCCGGGCAGGGATGGGGACATGAAGCAAGCCAGTGTACGCCGAGTGGAGGGAGCGAACCAAGTTGTTATGGTGCTAATAAGAGGCAGAGGTTTACCCTGTTATAGAAATTACAAATAGTTCCAATAAATTTACATAACAAGATCAAGCATCGGAAAGAATACTTAATAATAATAATAATCCTTGCATTTGATATAGTGCTTTTCACGTCTTCTAGGTATCTCAAAGCGCTTCACAGAATAGACTGTAAAGTGAATTGACTGTATATTTGTGGGCGAAACGCGGCAGCCAATTGCGCACAGCAATGTCACACAGCAGTGATTGAAGTGATCAATTTATTATTGTTTTTTTCTTGAATGATTATTATCGTTTGTCACATCCCAACCCATCCCTTGGCACACAGAACTCCTCAAACTCCTCAAACACACCAGTTTCCATCATCTGCTCTTTCAGATTTGCCGTGCTTTTGATTTAAAACTAAAATTGCAGCAGATGGAAGGACTGTTTAACATACACAGGTCATCCTCAGCTAATCCATCCAGCACAGCTTTTACAAATGGGAGCTTCGGCAACTGTTTGAGCTAAAAGCTTGACTTATAATTGCGATCCAAATAATACAGTAATGCCATTCAAGGTAAGTGTGTGTGTGTGTCTGTGTAAAAACTAATAAATACATTGCGAGACTGCAAACTGTATAATACTGGCCCACTGGGCACAAGTAGGGCCAAGCACTCTTTCACTGCACTGTACTGTGCTAAAATATCTGTTCTGCGTTTAAAAAAATATTCACACAGAATCCGAAGGTAGTGCTTAATAGACAAGTCCATTTTCAAAATGGGATGCCACTTGGTCAGTCGATAGGCGGATCACTTTTCCAGTGGTAATAATTCCTTCAAAAAAAATAATAAATTGGTCACTGAATCCATGACTGTTTGTGGGACGCCGCTGTGACCGACTGACTCGCACTTTTCGCCCACAAAATATTGTCAATTCGCTTCACACTATATTCTGCGAAGCGCTTTGAGATGTCTCGAAGACGTGATAATGCGCTATATCAAATGTGAGGATTCTTATCATTATAATGTCTATGAGGTTTGTGGTTGATGGCATTTCCTCCGAGTTGTGTTGCAACGATATCTGCGGCAACCACAAGTGAAATCAAACTAGCAGGATTAGTGCAGGATTTTAGTGAAGCAAAACAATCTCTCTGCTTCTTGATTGTACATCAATCGCTGCCCTGGCACTTACAGTTTGTTGCCTTTTAAGGCTGCGTGGTGCAGTAAGTTGAAGCCACGATTATTTTGTTGGGTGAAGTCAATGCTTGGAATCTCGGTCAGGATCTCGATGATGTTCCTATAGTCTTTAGCGATCGCGTCATGAAGCGGTGTGTCCCCATATGAATCCTAGGAAGACAGGAGAACAAATGGTTAAGCAATAAATAAATATATTTGATTTTTATACTGCTTTATTTATGGTAACTTTACAGTAACTATTGTCAAATGTAGGGTCTGTTTTCTTTAGTTAAATGCAACAGTCCCACAAACAGCTTTGAGGTAAATGGCCAATTTATCCTGGGGAATGTTGGCCAGGACGCCGGGAGAAACTCCTTTCTCTTTTTAACGTCCACTTGAACAGGCAGACAGGATCCTGCTTTCAACGTCTCACCTGACGGCATCTCTGACAATCTCATAATAAACTCCTTCAACACTGCACTCTCTCATTACATTACAAAGTTGCTTCTTCAACCAGCCCTCGGTCATCCTGATAAACTACTGCAACAACAACAAATTACATTTTTATAGCGCCTTTCACGCAGGGAGGACGTCCCAAGGTGCTGGACAGTCAGGGAATTAAAGCTGGGGTTTAGGATCAGGAGGGGGTGATGGGCAGGGAGGAATGGGGTAGGAGGGTGGCCGAAGGGGGGGTTGAAGAAGATGGTCTTGAGGGAGGAAGGCAGAGACCGAGGGATTGAGTTTCGAAGGTTGGGGTGCAGAGAGTCTGAAGGTCTGACCGCCAATGGTGGGGCGGGCAGGGCATAGATCAGATCAGAGCCCGTTGAGCGAGGGAGCCAATGGTCCTCTGTGTAAAGAAATACTTCCTGACGTCTATCCTAAAGTTTCCCCCCACCACCCTGTGCCTATGTCCTCCTGAACCGCTGGCCTGGCGTAGCTGCTCTGGTTAAGCGAAACCCGTCGGAGAAAGATTGTCCTCTCACCTGGAGATTGACATTACAGTCGTGTTCACAGAGTGTCCGGACTACCTCTGAGAAGCCCTTGTTGACTGCGATGTGCAGGGCTGTGCAGGTAGAACTGTTCAGGAGGTTGACGTTGGCACCTTTGGAGAGAAGCAGCCGGGCCACTTCAGGCTGGTTTCTGTAACAAAAAGAAATGACGGGAGGTTTGGAAACCACAGGGTCAGGCTGGGGCAATGAAAACCCTTCAGCCCATTTGATTTCACCGTTCCATAATTACCCATCCTGCCATCTTTCCATTCACACATCAAGCCGTTTCTTAAATAATAATAATCCTTGAATTTGATATAGATATATCACTTCTTCGAGAAGTTTCAAAGCACGTTGCAGAAAGTATATTGACTGTATATTTTGTGGGCGAAACGCAGCAGCCAATTGCGCGCAGCAGTGTCCCACAAACAGTCGTGGATTGAAGTGACCAATTTTTTTTTTTTTTTGAAGGAATTATTACTCCTGGAAAAGCAATCCGCCAATCGACTGATAACCGGGTTCCTATTTACTGTTGGGTAAACAGAGGCGTGTGGAGTAAGGAAACATGCCCAACATTTCGCTCTGCTCGGGAATCGAACCGAATAGCTTGCGAGGTGCTATATAAATGCAAGTTGTTGATGTTTTAGATTTTAATCAGTACAAACCACTATCCTAAGGGTTTCCTAACTTACCTCAAGTTGAGGAAAATGAATTGCCGCCGTTCAACAACTTTTAAAACCTTTTTTCTTTGCCGTTTTGAGCTACAAAACACACAAGGGAATAGTTATTCCTACCCAAAGGATGCATAGTGCAGTGCTGTGTCTCCATCCTCATCATGAACTTCGAGCTTTGCATTTGCCTGCAGGAGGGCCTTCACCACCTCGATGTGTCCCTGATGAGCAGCCACTTGCAGTGCCGTCTTCCCCTGATTCTTAATGTCCACCTGCAAGACGGAAGGAAGCTTAGAAGTCATCTTCTCACCAACTAACATTGAGTTTCCGCTCCTGTTCTGCCTGGCTCAGTCTCTCAGCCTGGAGAACACCGAACAAACTCTGAGCCACCAGACTCAATTTTTCTTATCAATCTTGATTATTAGTAATAACACTAATCATTTGACATAGCGCCTTGTCACGTCGTCGAGACGTCTCAAAGCGCTTCACGGAATATACTGTAAAGTGGAGTGACTATGTCATTTGTGTGCGAAACTCGGCAGATAACTGCGCACAGCAGTGTCCCACAAACAGTCGTGGATTGAGTGACCAAATTGTTTTTTTTTTTGGAGGGATTATTTCCAGAGAAAGAAATCCGCATATCGATTAACAACTGGGCTCCTACTTATTGCTTGGTAAACAGAGATAATAATAATAATGTTGATCCGGTTCCTTTTATGTCAGAAGACTGTCTCAAAGCGCGTCACAGGATTTTAAAGTGCTGTGAGTGTATACTTTGTTTGCAAGCGCATCACCAATTTTACCTGGGGGAGGGTTGTTGACTTGCACACCAGGATAACCTCCCTTCTCTTTTCGAATAGCACCACAGGATCTTTAACATCCACCTGAACAGGCTGAACACGGGTCATTGCTCTGTTTCCTCTGTGTAAAATGCCTGTAGTTATAAGTACACACACTTGCCTTTTCTGGATATTTCTGAACCAAATCTCGCACTTTGGTGGCATTCCCATGAGCAGCCTCGATCACTACCCGCCCAGGATTATCCGGGTCGGTTGACTGTGACAGCAACTTTTCTAGCACGGAGATCACTGTGCCTACGATACATTAAAGGTGGGAGAAAGAGCAAAAAAAGAAATCTTACTTTTCTTTCTACAAACGGCATGGTGATTGCCAATACAACAATAATAATCCTTGGATTTGATATAGCATCTTATCACGTCTTCGGGACATCTCAAAGCGCTTCACAGAATATACTGTAAAGTGAATTCACTTTATATTTTGCGGGCGAAACGTGGCAGCCAATTGTGCACAGCTGTGTCCCACAAACAGTCGTGGATTGAAGTGACCAAATTGTTATTTTTTGAGGGGATTATTACCCCCGGAAAAGCGATCTGCCAATCGACTAGCAACTGGGTTCCAACAATCTTAATACAACACCTTTTGTGTCAGGAGGACATCTCAAAAAGCTTATGTGATGTGTAAGCAAAGATCCTGCAATGCCTTCTTTGACTAATTGCTTGTTGTGTCTGGTAAATTTGGCGGACATTTTAGGAAAAAAAAAGTCTCTAGAAATATGATAAGCCCTTTCTGATAGGATAGGACATGCATCCATGTTTATACAGAAAACAGATTAAAAATAAAAGGGTCATAAAAAAAACTGGAACATTTGAATATTCATCAAAGCGATGAGAGCAAGTGGAACACATCCAGGAAATACTTAAAATGAGAGTAAAAGCTTTTGGGTGCAATTCATCACAGCCCGATCAAGAGACTGAAAAATAGCTGAGGCTCCAATTTTAACAGGAGGTCAGATGTGTAATGCTGGGAAAGTCAGTCCTGTTAATACGATATCTTTAGAAAGGAAAACATTGTCTGTTCATAAAAGATTCAATCCTGAAACATTTTAATAATATTCCTTGCATTCGCTATAGCTCCTCATCACATCATTGAGACATCCCAAAGCGCTTCACAGAACATATTGTAAAGTGTAGTGACTTGTATTTTGTGGGCAAAACGCGGCAGCGAATTATGCATAACAGCGACCCACAAACAGTCATAGATCGATGGTCAAAAGATAAGTAACTAGGTCATTATTACAGCACAAATCGTTTTTTTGGCAGGACATGATTACTTTAAAACATGACCAAAGTGTAGTGACTGTGTATTTTGTGGGCGAAGCTGCCAACCAATTGCGCACAATTACTCAAAAGTCTCGATCGTGCGTTGACTCGATATGTCGAAAGAGTGTGTGTGTGAGGCAGCAACAAGCAAGGCAAACAGGATGCAATAATAATAATAATCCTTGTATTTGAATATAGTGCCTTATCACACCATCAAGACTTCTCAGAGCGCTTCACAGACTGTACTGTAAAGTGGATTGACCATGTATTTTGTTATGCTTGGGACAAGGCCAAGTGACAGACAGCCCACTGGAGAATAAATGTAACACAGGCCTGTTGTTGAATCTCAAAGCGCTTCACAGAATGTACTGTCAACTGAATTGACTATACTTTGCGGGTGAAACACAACAGCCAATTGAGCACAGCAGTGTCCCCACAAACAGTCGCGGATTGAGTGACCTTATTATTATTATTAATTGATAATGATTATTTAAGATCACACAGAATTGTGGAAAAGTCTTAAATTCTGAAGGCATTTTTGTACGAACTGTGGAAAAGCAGCTTCCAGACCAAGACCAAATCAAAGAAATTTATATATTGCTAAATCAGCTGAGTTCAGATCTCCCAGACATCATATTTAGGCTGTACGGGGTCATTCTGTTCTGGTCGCCGTGACATAAAGGAGGAGGCTATTTACACCATAGTAGTGGAGAGCAACAAGGAACAAGGATTCTAACACCCAGTGTTAGAGGAATTTTCCAATAAGTCTTTTAATATTGGCGGGTGGAAAATATTTCAAATTTGTTGTAAAAAACAAATCACAATATGAATGCTCAACGAGTTCAACGTTTCTTGGTGTTTTTGTTGCAGGAAGAATAAATGCAGCAATAACAACAAATTACACTTGTATAGCTCCCTTCACATCCGAAAGACGTCCCAGGGCTCTTTGGAGCTGGGAGTTGGGGGTCAGGAGAGGTGGAGGGCAGTGGGGTGGCTGCCTGAAAGTGTGGTGGAAGCAGATTCGATAGTACGTTTCAAAAGGGAATTGGATAGGGACTTGAAAAGGAAACGTTTGCTAGGCTGTGGGGTAAGAAGGGGGGAGTGGGACTAATTGGAGAGCTCTTTCAAAGAGCCAGCACAGGCACGATGGGCCGAATAGCTTACTTCTGTTCTCTAGGATTCTGTGACACATAAGAACATGGACTGGAGTTTTCTTACTTGCTGAATCATTTGTGCTGTCGGTGGTCATGAGGTTGGCGTCCACCTCTCCTGGCTGTGCAGTGGTCACACAGGCGGGGTTAAAGGTCCAGGTTTGACCGCCAACCCCCACACGCAAATCTCCGTCACCGTACACTTTCAATACCTTCCCCACCTGTCCCAGTGCCTGGCAAAAGTGGAATGGGAAAAAGAATTTAGCACGTCAAAAAGAGTTAACTATTCCAGAAATAAGATAATACTCACTATCTATGTGATAATTAGGAGTTTGACATTTTGAGTCATTGCGAGAGATAGAAATTCATCCAACCTCAATACAACAACAACTTGCATTTATATAGCACCCTTCGTGAAGGGTAGCCACTCAGAGCCCAAATAATTAGATCATTATTTGGGGAGGACAAGTTCGCAGGGCTATGGGGAGAAAGCGGGGGAGTGGGATTGATTTGGACAGCTGGGACAGACACGACAAGCCAAATGGTCTCCTTCTGTGCTGTATAATTCTATGATTCTATGACACCAACCTCTCGGGAATACATATAAAGGATATCTCTTGGAAAAGGAGAATCTCATTAATAATAGAGAAATCCCTTTATAAGAAAAAGAATCCTTGCATTTGATATAGAGTCTTAATCCAGCTTTGAGACGTCTCAAAGCGTTTCACAGAATATACTGTGAAGTGAATTGACTGTATATTTTGAGGGCGAATCACGGCAGCCAATTGCGCACAGCAGAGTCCCACAAACAGTCGTGGATTGAAGTGAGCAATTTATTATTTTTTTTGAAGGAATTATTTTCTTTAAAATGATTTCCTTTACAAACACACACTGGTAGCTTCACTGATGAGCAGAATTCCCTCCCCCTGCTAGAAGAGAGGAGAGAATGGGTATCCCAATTATATCATCCAAGTAAGTAATGTGGGTGGCAACAGCTGAAAACATTTGGATCCCAGAAATTTTGAAAGCAAGTGGCTTGTTAATGCCTTTCTGATCCAATGTGGCAGGCCACGGAATTTTGACACAAGTCATCCAGTTTCTGGTGGTTCGGGCTTGCGTTCCTTGCTGCAATATATAATAATTCTTGCATTTGATATAACGCCTTGTCACGTCTTCGAGACGTCTCAAAGCGCTTCACAGGATATATTGTAAAGTGAACTGACTGTAATTTATCGACAAATCGCAGCAGCCAATTGCGCACAGCAGCGTCCCACAAACTGTCGTGGATCGGGTGACCAAATTATTACTATTATAATTATTATCTCTGGAAAAGAGATCCGCAAATCGACTAACATCTGGGTTCGTACTTAGTAAACAGAGAGGTGTGGAATAAGGAAACTTGCCCAATGTTTCGCCCTGCCTGCCTGGGAATAGAACCCAGGTCCTCTCACTTGCGAGGCGAGTGCTCTAACCACTAAGCGACAGGATTCCACAATATAGCTCTGGAGACACACTTACAGGAGCCATGCTGTCCGTCCATTCCCCGTGGCCCGCTTGGAGTCTTTTTACTGTTTCCAGGTCATCCATCACACGCACAATGTCTCCCACTGTGCACGTGTCGACCTGCAACACAATCAGGTTGGACCACAATCAACAATGGAGGTTAACAGGAAGGGTTTTCAAGGTATTTTGCAAGGTGATAGTCACCGTTTGAAGCCATACATCAATCAATTGTGTATAATATTAACTCCCTTGTAAGTACCAAGTGCACTGGGGATACTGTTTTAGTGCATTCCAATTTAATACACCTCCTAATGTCTGCAAGAAAATTGCCATGAAATCTATAATAACAATCCGCGCATTTGATATAAAGCCTTATCACGTCATTGAGACGTCTCAAAGATCTGCCCTTGTTCTTCACCTTCTCATCAATCTCCTCCTAACCCTGTCCCCATTCATCTCATCTCTGGCTCTTTCTGTGCTTCAATTAACGGTTTGGTTTGTGACTCTTTTTCCATTGATTCTGGATTTCCCCGGGGCTCCATTACTTCTCCACATCAGAGACCTCCCATCAGCATCCAAGGCTGCACTCTCCACCTCTCAAAGCCAGTCAGGAACCTCGGCGTTTTGTTCGACCCTGAGCTGTCCTTTCTCCCTCACATCCGCACCACAACTGGCACCGCCTTCCATCACCTCCGGAATATCGCCAGATTACGGCACTACCTCACCCCTCACGCTGCTGAAACCCTGGTTCACGCCTTTGTCACCTCAAGGCTGGACTATGGAACTCTCTCCTCGCCGGCCTTCCCGCCACCTCCCTCCACAAGCTGCAGGTCATTCAGAACTCTGCAGCTCGTGTACTGTCCCGCACCAGGCTTCGGGACCACATCACTCCCACCCTCGCTCGCCTCCACTGGCTCCCATCCCCCAGAGGATTGATTTCAAGATCCTCATCCTCACCTACAAGGCCATTCACGGCCTTGCTCCCTCCTACCTCTCCAACCTACTATCCCCTACCTACCTGCCCGTACCCTCCGTTCCTCTGGCTCCGGTCTGCTCCACGTCCCCCGCCCCAACCGCCCTACTATCGGTGGTCGGGCCTTCAGCCTCTCAGCCCCGAGGCTCTGGAACTCCATCCCCCAGTGCTTCCCTGCTTCCTCCCTTTCCTCCTTCAAGGCCGGTCTCAAAACCTTTCTCTTTGACCGTGCCTTCAGCTCCCCTCTCGACTCTCTTCCTCCTCCTCCTCCCTCCCTCCCCTCACCCTGACCATTCCCCTCCTCTCTCCCTCCCTTCCCTCCCTCACCCTGACCATTCCCCCTGCTCGGGTCATGACCCAACTGTGCAGCGCCTTGGGACGTCCTCCTGACGTGAAAGGCGCTCTATAAATGGAATCTTGTTGTTGTTGTTGTTGTTGCTCATTATCTAGTCCTGTCCACTGTTTTGCCAATCATTTCTCACCACCTTCGTTAAGCTGCTTCAGATCACGTGTGACAGTGTACGCAACCTTCATGCTTCGCAGTCCAATGTGCGAATCACTAAACCTTGATCTTCTCTACGCCTTTGAATGTGGCAATAGTAATTCTGTTTCAACAAACTCTACAAAGACACTTCATCCCTCGTCAAGTCTAACCAACACCCATCATCAAAGGCCCATCTTTTTTTCCCTTCTTCTATCGATCATCTGGCTTTCACCCTCTCCTCTGATTTCAAGTGGAATTTTCATCTCTTCCCCAGCCTCTGAAAAGCTCAGTTTCTTCACTTGTGCTCTACCCACTAAACTACAGGACTCCATAAAATCTATGTGATTAAGAAAAGCTCACTAGCAACATACTTGAACTCATTTCATTTGGTCCATCTTCTACAATTTTTAAATAATATTATTTGTTGGTCCACAATGTTTTGTAGCTGAACCAACAGGTTACAGTACACTATTGGAGGTACCTTTGTAAGAGCCCCAGGATGGAAAGTCCATCGAATGTTGTTGCTGTACTGCACTCTCACATCTCCTCGATCGGTTATTCTGTGCACAGTCCCGATCCGACCCACATACTGCAAACGGGCAGAAAAAGCAAACACAGTTACCAATAAAACAGGAGCGAAATTAAGTCACTCACAGTGACACAACAGTACTGTTCTCCAAGACCCTCCTCTTCGGCAGCGCCTTCCTGATGCCAACCCCCAGGTCACATACAAATCCCTGACTGTCCAGCGCCTTAGGTCATCCTCCTGACGTTAACGGCGCTGTGTAAATGTAATTTATTGCTGTTGTTGCATTCGGTGCCTGCTTAAACGTCCATATTATACCTCAGCCATTTTAGGATTCCACCCTCCGTGTCCTTCCTGCATCTGCCGCAGAATATCCACCTCCAGGAGGCATTTCACCTTGTCACCGTTCTGGAACGAGTGCCCATCAGCACTCTCCTGCCTCTGGATCTCAGCATGGTCACCTCAAGACAGAATGAATTGACAGGAACCTCAATACGAAGAGTTCATACAGACGGAAAATGTACAAAAGGACGTAAGGACTAAAATCTAGTTACCCCGTTAGGAGACCGTTTCACCCACAAAATACACAGTCAATTCACTTTACGGTGTATTCTGTGAAGCGCTTTCAGACGTCTCGAAGACGTGATATATCAAATATCGCTATATCAAATGCAAGGATTATTAATATTATTATTATTTGCATGAATAGGATCTCTTACAGTGAAACTCTGGTAACGCGTCGCCCCCAAGGGAATTAACTCCAATAACTACTTATCAGATTTGATTAGTTATCCAAAGTACAGCATGTGGAAAGCACAAAGTACTGAAAGAGCCAGGATATGGCTCTGGACACTTTTGCTGAATGTGCAGGAATACAATTCTGGTCCTTGCCGAGCACAACGATTTGTGAAGGCAGTTCTGGCGGTTTACTTCTGGAGACCGGCCAGGAAGTGGGCGTTGCTATCAGCAATCAGAGAGGTGTTGCAGCACTTTCATTCTGTCAGCACAAGGGAGTGTTCAAAAAAAAACTCCACAGAGACCCAGGACTCAGTGTGTTTATAAAACAGGACTTGCCAATCGCTTAGAAAACACTGGGACAAGATGGCGGAAAGTGCGTTACAGGAAAACGACAACAATCATAATAATTCTTGCACTTGATTTATAAATGATGACTCAACCGCTGAGCTTCAGTGCCTCCATTAATCTCGTTAAGCTTCAAAACCAAAAACACAACAGCAGCACCCTGTTTCACACTGTTGGGACAATTATTAATCAAGATGGTCTCCAATCCATTCTGTTAAGACGTTCATTAGCTACAGAACGTTGGTGCTATTAAAATGGTCAGTGCACTAAAATTCCACCAACAGACTCCTACTGAGGTTACACAAACTAGTTAGCTGCAAGTTCTTATCCTGGTCTTTATCAAGTTAATTGATCTCAGTGAGACAGCAGTAATGGATGCTACAAGTGGACTGAACACTCCTGGGTTAGGGAAGGGAAAAATCAACCAGCTGCTCTTCATTGATGTCCAGACACTTCCCCCCCCTTCCGCCTCCCCCGCCGGAAAATGTGGACGTAATAATAATAAATAAATATCCTTGTATTGATATAGCACCTGATCGCGTCTTCGAGACGTCTCAAAACGCTTCACAGAATATACTGTGAAGTGCAGTGACTGTATATTTTGTGGACGAATCGCGGGGGCCAATTGCTCACAGCACTGTGCCACAAACAGTCGTGGACCGAGTGAGCGAATGATTATTTTTTTTGAAGGGATTATTACCCCCATAGAAGCGATCCGCCAATCGACGTGTGACGACAACTGGATCAGCAGTGCATAATGGTTACTCGGCTAAGCAAACCAAAGGGCAACTCTTGCTGTGGGCCTGTGGCTCAGCAGAAGTAAAATAAAGGGAGTCAATCACCAATAATAGCTCACTCCACTCCAACCTGCTTCCAGGCATCTCTACTAGTGATAATGTTAGCTAGCCACAAGGTGGTGCGAGAGGGCAACTCGGATGTAGTGCTTAGATATTCTTCCCCTATGGGGAAATGGCTTCCATTCAACGAAATACAGATTACCCAGGTCACTGGAGCTGTTTATAACAACTTGCATTTATCTAGCGCCCTTCGCTCTAGTAGAGTCCCACAGCACTTTATACAGCCCAAGATTCTAATGTTATCTTAAAAATCTTTGGAGACAATACATCACGCGTAAGAAAAGATGCACTTATATTCATTTAAAAAGTACTTCAGTAAAATAATGGGATAAACCAAATACAGTTAAGTTGAGTTGGAATATATTAACTCCATTTGGTCCACAAAATATACGGACAATGTACTTTGCAGCACATTCCCTGAAGCGCTTTGAGACGTCTCGGAGACGTGATAAGGCGTAATATCAAACGCAAGAATTATTATTATTAATTTCTATAAATCAGTGATCATCAATAAAGAGCATAACTTGAAACAATAATCAAGGCTTCAGAGTGCTTCGCAGATATAAGGAACTGACTTGGATAATGAGCCACCTTACAAATAAAATAAAAATTAATTAAAATATTGTTTGTGGATAATATACAATGTAAATTTATATTGTGCCTTTTTGTTGGGAAGATGTCAAAACGCTTTGCACAGCTGAGCGGGGAAAAGAATTAAAGATATTTTAAATTTTAAAGACAATTTCAGACTTTCAGATTGTTTTTCCACATCACCTCGATTTAGTCCAGTGACAGAATCAAAGTAACATAGAAAAGCAGCTGATGGAAATCCCGTAGCCTTGTCACACACACGATCCAAACATACCTAACTTTGGCAAATGGTCTTTGTAATAGTAGCCCCCTGTAGCGTCTGTCACATATTTCAAGTCGACCTTGCCCTTGTGACCCATTCGGTACACGTTAGTAGTTCCGTTAGACCACGCGACGCTTGAAACACTGCGACCGGATTCCGTGTCCCAGCCTCGAATGTCAACTACTTTCCCTGTTTTTCCTTCGCCACCTGGAACAAAGACGGAGAGATATTAGGCTGCGTTTCCCTGTTCTACATTTTCTTTCACTTGCTCAGGCTGGTCCGGAGCCAGCAAGGAGCGTTCGTTTGTTGTGAATTTACAGCTGCTTTTCAGTTAAGAAGTAAACACAATGGGGTGAGGGCAGAAATTGGACAGCAAATTTAGTATGGGCTGAAAGCACCCAAATCTGTCTTCATTCGTAAAACTATCAGACTGCCCTGAATACTCTAAAGCCCTAAAGCAAAGTGATGGGTTTCTGCACATGTCAGACGTCCAGTTGACCAAAACAAACATTAATACGTGGAAAGTGGCTGCTGTTGCTTTAATAGATAATAGTTGTGTTTGCAAAGCAGCAAATTCAGTCTGAACCCAAGTAGTTCATCTGAGTTACTGTAGTTTCATAACAAGTTGTTGCATCTATAATCAGGAGTGTCCAGAGACACTTTAGATGGCAAGTCAATAAAATAGATCTACTTAATGTATGGAAGAGAGGGTATACACATGAAATCACTTCCAGTAAAAACGTCAAAGATTGACTCTCTGGGATTAATAGGAGAGCTAAATTGGATGGAGTACTGGGGCAACAATTTCTGTCTCTACAAATTACATATTGTGCCCTTCAATGTGAGCATTTGACACTTACTGAATTATATGAGCTACTCGTGGGAACATGACAGGTTGGAAACATGACAGGTTGCAGGAAGAGTGGTTGAGCCAGGACGTATTTACAAAATGGACTGATCCTGAAATGAGAAAATGGAAAGGGGAGGAGGTTCCGGAAGGATAAGATCAAATAGCCTTGAAGGAGCTCTTTCATCTGAACTTCTCTTATGACTTCACAAGATTGGTTTGGATGAACATCAGCCCGTCTGATCTCATCCATGTAGAACATTCCCCCTACTGCCCTCCCATCACAGCGACGTCATGGAATGGGGGGAATTGATTCGATGGGATCAGCCTATTGTGAGCTTTTTAAGCAACTTAAGGAACCTTAAGAACAATTATGTTGCAAATGACAGACGAGGTGTGGATTTAAATCCTTTCACCAACAAAGACCACAATTTGGAAGTCTCCTGATAAAGTTTTCTAATTATCTGCCTTTTTTTTTAATAAATCTTTCTCATGAACAAATAAAAACAATAAAAGATTATTTGCAGCACAGTGCTCACTCCTGGGCTGGATGAAGTTAATAGCTTCTAATGTCAGAACATTTTTTCCCACCGACAGTGTGAGAATGGATAGCCAGGTCAAACCCAAAAGAATTGGATTTTTCTTTTTTGTAAAAAAAAGGGTGAAGTTACAGTGATTACAACTTTGATTGAAAAGAAATTGTGATCTCCAAGACACGTTTTTGATTTCTGTTTTGTTATCTGATATTCAAGACTGAGGTGGATAGAGATTTGTTAAGGCAGGGTATCAAGGGATACAGGGAAAGGGCGGGTAATTGGAGTTGATGTACAATTCAGCCATAATCTTATAGACTGGCCGAACTGGCGCGAGGGGCTGAATGGCCCACTCCGGTTTCTGTGTTTCTATGACGGTTTGTCAAGACTTGTCTCGTGCGGTGACCCTCAGGGCTCTGTCCTCGGTCCCCACCTCTTCACCCTCTATATGCTCCCCTTGTGGTGACATCATCCGCAGACATGGGGTTAACTTCCACATGTGTGCAGATGACACCCAACTCTACCTTTCCTCCTCTACTCTCAACTCCACGACCACCGATGTCCTGACAGCTGTCTGTCCAACATCGAGTCCTGGACGAGAGACAACTTTCTTCAGCTCAACGTGCGCAAAACTGAGGCCCTCCTGATTAGCTCACGTCAGCGCCTCCGCACCTCAGGCGCTGACCGCATCAGCATCCAAGGCTGCACTCTCCACCTCTCAAAACCATCAGGAACCTCGGGGTTCTGTTCGACCCTGAGCTGTCCTTTCTCCCTCATATTCGCGCCACAACTGGCACCGCCTTCCATCACCTCCGGAACATCGCCAGACTACGGCATTACCTCACCCCTCACGCTGCTGAAACTCTGGTCCACGCCTTTATTACCTCAAGGCTGCACTATGGGAACTCTCTCCTTGCCGGCCTTCCTGCCACCTCCCTCCCTCCCTCTCAAGATCTTTCTCTTTGACTGTGCCTTCACCTCCCCTCTTGACTCTCTACTCCCTCCTCGCTCCCTCCCTTTGCTCCCCTCACCCTGACCATTTCCTCCCAATGCTCGGGTTTCTGACCCAACTGTACAGCGCCTTGGGACGTCCTCCCAACGTGAAAGGCGCTCTATAAATGGAATCTTGTTGTTGTTGTTGTTTCTTGGCTGTGAAAACAGGACCAGAAGTCAGAGAGCAAAACCAAAAAAGCTTTGCCAACATTCGGGATCAGGATTTTGTTAGTGAATTGCACAGTTTCACACACAAATCCGATATTATCACAGTCCATTTTGGATCCCCAATCCGCAAGCATGAATTTTCAGGAGGAGGCATACAATTCTTGGATCGCATCAACTGTTGTGATTAACGCTGGATTTAACACAGCTCTGGTTGCTGAGGCTCTGACTGTAACAGAAAGATCCGAGGTTGTACATGGGGAGTCCTGGAGGGATTGATTTGATCTGACGTCCCTGAACAGCCAGCGCTGACAGGACAGGCTAGGACAGTGCTTGATGTCACTGTGCTCCATTCATCCCCACAGACACACACAGCAGATTAAGTGACTCCCCACTACAGCAAATTGCACCAACTGCAACGATGTGGACGGATAATTTATCGGCAGGATTGATCGGCAGGACGCAGGGAGTAAATCCTTCTCTTTTCCAAAAGTGCTGACCTAAAGAACAGGCAGACAAGACCTTGGTTTATCATCTAATCCATAGGGGGTCAGCTCGAAAAATGTGGTTCTCCTCCTGCCATGAGCTCAGAGATTCCGTTACAAGGCTTGAACCCACAGCCATCTGGCCAGGAGGCAAGAGGGTTACCGACTGAGCCAGAGGGGATCCCTTGAGCTGGTGCAAAGCTCAAATGCACCCATTCTCCCAGAGATCAGATCCACAAAGATATGCACCCCTTGCATTGTTAGGTTCAATATCGAAACCACATTATCATGAACAATAGGGGGGAGGAACAGTGTTCATAACAGGACGCAATAAGGATGCGATTTGTGATTGAGGTTCGTTCATATAATCAAAGCATGCTGGCGTTTAATCTTGCACCTCTCCCCCTCCACCCCCTCCCAGCACGCGCTCCCCCGCCACCCCTTTAATAATTCAGATAAACAGTGTGCTCACCATCTTGATTTCCCCAGTCCCAATCCGGCCCACGAACAACTTTAGCGCTCTGGAAAATCCCCTTTAGTACAATTCTGGGCAGGTTCTGCCGAGGGCCAACAGTAACACTGCAACATAGAGGGAAGAAAAAACAAAGGAAGAATGCTTTTTAATAATGCAAAACACAGGAGCTGCAATGAATAAATGATAACTTGTGGCAGATTACTGAGCACATGCATTGCTTTAGATCCAAAGTTTTAGATTCAATTAACAATCAAAACTAAAGCCTAAGAGAAACTCATTTGCACTTAACGAGTGGTTAGCCCCGTAGCTCGGTGGTTAGAGAACTCTCCTCGCAAGCTTTATTAATTGGCATCACCAACCCCACCCCTCCATTCCCTTTTCACCTCCTCCCTGCTCTATCCTGGCCAGTTTCACTTTGACATTCGCTCAGCTTCTACCTCTCTCTCTCTCTCTCTCAAGGTTTTACACTCTCTGCGAAGAGTTTGCTCGCCAGGCTCCAGGTAAATCTCTCCTTATAAGCTGCCGCTGTAATGTTCTCTCTTTTCTCTGTCTGGAAAGCACGCCCTCCTCTCCCTCTCTAGGCTCGCTCCCTATGTAAAGCTATCTTCCCTCTTTAGGAGATGCTCGCTCTGATGTAGAGCCCTGAGATTACGATCAGAGACTGAGCGTCAACCTCCGACACATTAAGCCATAGAATATTCTCCCCCTATCATCACAAAACAAAGAACAAATGGACATCATTCGATCAATTTGTCCACAACACTCACACATCCCTTATGAATCAGAAAACACGGCAAAGAAACACACTAACATGATTGTGAGACGTCGCCCAACTTCAGCAAGCTAATAACTTCTTAATCCAACAATGACCTTGCCTCTGGTAGCCACGGGAAAGCGGACGTATACGCGGGGCTAGCTGGCTCCTTCGATTGCGCGTTTTTTTTTGTTACAATCTGTCGGAACGGTTGGGGATAAACTTGTGACGCCAGAGATAATGCCCAGAAAATAACAAATCCCAGGGCTTCAGTTGATCAGTTCGTTAACTCATCAACGCAAAGCAGCACAGCTTGGAGCTTCTCAGAGAGAAAAAAAAGTGGTCGGCATTAAAGGTTTGTTGAAAGCTGCATCTTACACGTGTAGAACTCGCATTAAATAACTCCTAATACGGTTAAGGAGGAAGAGACAGAATCGCACAGTCAACTGTGGAACCCACGACAACTACCAGACTGCCTAGTTGTCAACTTTTCTCTCTGGGCATAATAGGAAAAAATAATAATCTTTGTATTTGTTATGGCGCCTTATCACCTCGTTGAGACGTCTCAAAGCGCCTCACAGAGTATACTGTGAAGTGCATCGACTGTGTATTTTGTGGGCAAAATGTGGCAGCCAATTGCACATAGCAGTGCCCCACAGACAGTTGTGGATTGAGTGACCAAATTACTATTATTTTTCATTGAAGGGATATTATCCCCAGAAAGCGATCCGCCAATCGACTAACAACTGGGTTCCTACTCGCTGCTAGGTAAACAGAGCCGTGCGGAGTAAGGAAACCTGCGTAAGGTTTCGGCCCGCCCATTAAAGGGCACCAGTGATGTAAGTAACTGGAGAGATGAGCGGTTTAAATGCGACTCCTTAGTCCTTCAAGAGCGCTTAAACACCGGATTAAAATTGCGTAAATAACAGAGAGGCCGGAGACATCTGTCCGTGATCAGCTGACCAACCATGTCGCTGAGGTGGTCATGGGAGCGGTGCAAAGCCGGTTACCGCAGGCTGCTGCTGTCGAATGTTTGTTAATGTTTTTCCTGGAATCCCCATTATCCGAATCACATAAACAGATTGTGATAATCGGTGCAAATCTGAACGGACAGCGTTCAGTGCCACATGGCCCATTGCAAAGGTTAATGCACTCAAAAAAAGTAGGACCGGTATGTTTGCATTGCAGCACGTCTATGGACTTAGTAAAGTCACAGAATCATAGAGTAGAGAAAGGAAGGGGCCATTCCGCCCATAGTGCCTGTGCCGGCTCTTTGAAAGAGCTATCCAACTGGTCGTATTCCTCTGCTGTTTCCCCCCATAACCTTGCAAATTCTCCCTTTTGAAGTCACCAGGGATAGACAACAACTTTTCCCTGAAGAAGTGGTGCCCACAAACTGGAGTGGGCTGTAATTGTGCACATGAGTGTCCAACACCTACAGATTGGCAATCGGTTTCCTAAAGTCATTGATTGCCATTTGCAACTCAAGAGCTTTGCTCAGTGATGTAATAATAATAATCCTCACATTTGATACAGCTCCTTATCACGTCTTCGAGATGTCTCAAAGCACAGAGTAAGCTGTAAAGCAAATTGGCTGTATATTTTGTGGGCAAAACACGGCTGCACAAACAGTCATAGATTGAGTGACCAAATTATTATTTTTTTTAAGGGATCATTTTCCCCCGGAAAAGCAATTTCCCAATCGACTAACAACCTACTTACTGCTAGGTAAACAGAGGTGTGTGGAGTAACAAAACTTGCCCAACATTTCGCTGTACCTGGGAATCAAACCTCTTGCTTGCGAGGCGAGTGCTCTAACCACTACGCTACGGGATTCCACTTCGATGCTTCTAAGGATGGAGATGGGATTTTTGTACATTGTCCGATACCAGGTAGCATTCACACTCACACACCTCCACCATTTGCTCAGTCACACACCAATGGTCTGGCTGCCCTCTGACAAGTCCAGGAATAAAAGTAAACTATGAGAAGTTACGCAACCAAAATCTACATTTCAAACAAGCAATAAAAAAAACACACAGGTCAATGTTTACACATTGCCTTTAACAATATTTGTGCTGACAGTGTAAGATGGGATGATTTTATGAATATTCAGTAGAATATGCTCCAGTTTTCTAAGCTATGCAGGAGACTGGCGTTACACCATCTGCTGTGCTCCATCACTGAACAGATGCGAACATAGATACAGTCACATCAATCTTTGATGTGCTTTTCCGTGTCCAAACAGGAGGTGGTGCCAGGAACCTGGTACAGGAGCTCACAGACAAGGGCACGGCTGACATGCCAGTGCAGTGCTGGAGGGAGATGTGCAAAACGAAACAGGCAAATGGTTGAAAATCAGACGTAGGCACTTTTGACTGCTACTACCACTTTGACCCAATCCGGAGCCACAACTCTTTGATCCCTGTGTAACTCTCTAGCCCAACTCCATAGCTCCTCAATGTGACCAGCCACGCTGTTTTTACACTGCACTTTTGGCATTGCTGCTATTCCAACTTGGACACAGATTTAACACCAAGTGTGTGACAATGGGCAAGTGCACTGACAGCAAAGCTGCCCTGGAGAATTGGTCCTCATATCGGGTAAGGATGCACATCAGCTGTTAATATAAAAGCAGCTGTTGCAATGGCCAAGAGAAGAGTGAAAAACAAGCTCTGGTGTTTTCCTGTAGCGCAGCTCCATTTTACTAACCCCACCGTCTGATCAGCTCTCACCAATCATTAAACATCTGGCTGCAGTTCACGATTACAAGAATGGAGTCTTGGGTTCCCGAACTTCAAAATTACACGACTCGGCAATGGTTCCCTGTGATAAGAGGACTTCCACCCTCTCTTTCACTTGCCCCTAATCTTCACAGCCCATCTGTGTACCGATTCACCACACCCTTCCCTCGTCTTTCCAATAAGCAGTAGTAAGAGAATGAATGCTAGGGAAGTAGACTTATGTATCCCACCATGTATTGCTCAAGTGAAAGTGCTCTATTATAAACAAGGGTGGTTTCACTTGCAATATGAATGGTGCAATAGCCTCACCCCCCCCTCCCTCCCCCTTCAACACCCACTTTTAGAGCATTCTCTTCCCTAAAGAGAAAGTTACGACTGCAAAATTGGCGGCGGAAGATTGACCCAGTTTGCTTAAGATACGATAAAATTCCCTTTCACTCTGATGGTGTTGTAAAAACAATGCCCGCATCAAATATGTAAGGAGGCCTACAATGGAACACACACTAACGCACGATGAGAAAGCAGCAACAACTGCAAATGATCCTCTATATTGAAGTTAGAGGTTAGCCTTTCAGCCTGTAATGAAGTCTCCAGATTCTGATAACCTTATAAATGGCTGTAGCTTTGTTGCAGTGGCTCAGATCACCATTAAAACTTCTCACTTGCTTTCCCGGTAAGCTATAGCCAACTAATCACACAATACATGTCGGTCACATTCAGAACATAACCCAAATCTCCCCTGATGCCATGGCATTTTGTTCAAGCCTAGATATAAGATCTACTAATCTGATAGAAAGGTCAAAGAAAAGCAAAACATGCAATTGTAGCAGTAGTTATAATAACTACACAGATAATATGCAACTCAATTGCTCTTGTATTAAGTCTGATGTGCATGAAATTCAATGTGAGGCCTTTATACACGCGATGGTGATTATATGGTGGAGAGATTTAAAGTGGAAGAAAGTCTTGTAGGGAAACAATCTGATTCAAAGTGCTCTCCCCTCAGGTTTGCGGGGAATTAGTTTCATACAAGTGAAATAAATGGTGCAGTGAGGAATCCTTATTTATTTTGGAATTTATTTATTTTTGTTTAGAACAAATAAAAACTTGGAATTTTCTACACTTCTTTTTGGCTGGCAGAATTTGGGGGGATACTGCTGTGCGCAGTAGCCTGCCGTGTTTCACCAACGAAACACACAGTCAATCCACTTCATGGTATATTCTGTGAAGCACTTGAAGACGACTCAACAACGTGATAATAAGCTATGTCAAAGCAAAGATTATTATTATTATTATTATCGTTATTAGCCTCGTTTTCCTGTCTGTGTACAACATCCTTTTTGGAACTTCTTCAATTCAGAGGTATTTAAAGAAGAAACGGATAAACATTTGGGCAGGAATATATTAAGGGATGTGGAAGCAGGGAAATGGGATTCATAACAATAGGGCAATTCAGTAACACAGACACAAACAACAACTTGCATTTATCCAGCGCCCCTCTCGCAGAGTAGCGTCCCAGAGCACTCAAAGAGCTGAACGGCCCCATTCTGTGCTGAAATTTCTGAATTCTTCCAAGTGATTTTATTCTTGAAAAGTCCTTAGATAG